TCTTTTGCTCTGAGAATTTAAATTATATAATTTAAATTTTTTTTTAGTTAAGCTATTATATGAAATCATGGACCATTATTATCTGAAATACATTTATTATTAAATAAATTTAAATCATGTTATTCCGACGAGAGAAATACATATATCTATTTTTTAATTAGCACGTAAGGAAACGACTTTTCGTACAACTATGATTCAAATAAAACATAGACCCAAATTATATAGATAATACAACTCACTCTGCAGTAGTTTTTAAACTGTTGCGACGTGTTGTAAACATTTGTTAAATTATTGTAAAATCGTTTTCCCATTGACCTCATTACTTTATTCCAGAACTAATGCCTGAATGAATTATATTATGTTCTACTAGTTTTGTATTTTAAATTTACACTGTTAGAAGTGTCTAACGAATAAAATATTAAGGCTATATGTTTATGCGAAACGTATAGTATAATATACTGTGTACGGTTTGTGCGGTGTACATAATGAATTCGCAACGGCCAAAGCAATGGTGACTACAATGCATGTACGTATGATTTGGCGCATTTGCGACAAAAATGGTTTTATTTAAGATTAATTAATGATTGAACGTTTAAGTGTGTATAGTTGAAGATTTAAATAAAAGTTTTAAGTAATCCAGAATGAATTATTGTGTTCATACAGTATTACTTTTTTCATATCATTCACGAAACTTTTAACATAATAAATACAACGATGCTTTGAAGGAATGAGATGTATATATAATTCAATTTTTCATTTATGTGTTGTTGATTAAAAATATTTAAACAATGAAAATGGAAACTTTCACTTAATTTATTTTCTGATTTGTATAATAAAATATCAACTTTTTCTGGTAATATATTTTATTAAATAACACTAACCTATACAGACTACAGTTATTTTTTCACTTTAAAAATATTACACGAAAACAAATTGAAATTTGATTGAAAAATAATAATTAAGAACAATATATAATTGGTATAATAAGAAAAATGTAGATATGTAATTAACAATTTAAATCAGATAGCCAGAACAGAAGGAATTCCATTAAAAATGTATTTATTTTTTGTTGCCCGTATATATTTGCAAACAAGACAGTATAATATAATAACAATATTTTTGGTATTTATAACTAAGGAACTATTTTAAACTGCAGGCGATTGTTTACCTGAATTATTGTTTTGAAGTGAACAAAACAACAACAAATTAGAGCTTGATTTATTATTAACGTATTAAATTATTGTTGTTCAATTTTTGTACAATTTCACAACCATTAAATTTAAAATTAATATTAATATTTATATATTAAAATCATATATTATATGGCAACAAGAGTATATATACTATATACAAATATAGTAGTAATTAGTATATATACTATATAAAAATATAGTAGTAATTAGTATATATATACTAAGGTTGATTTTAAATTAAATAACGTTATGAATTGTTATACATTTATAAATTGAAATTGATAATATATATAATATTTATATTCGTGTTTTAATAACTATTTCAAAAAATACGCATGCAAATTATTACAGGAATGTAATATCTACAAAATACACACACACCTAACATCAATTTAAGAATAAATTATTTTTTTAAATATAATTGAATAACGACGATAAAAGCATGGTAAGTGTAATGATATTTTATCCCCGTATGCCTTGGTACAAATAATTATGATTCATTCTTAGATTTAATAAATCCAATGTTCTAAATACGTAAAATAAATAAATTGTTCTGATGCAAACGCTACCGCACAATGAGTTAAAAAAAAATAGTTAATATAACAATAATTATTGTCTAATAAAAAATTAAATAAAAATTAAAAATTAATAAATGATTTATATTTATAAATTAATATATAAATAAATAGTTTATTTTTAGAAATAAATAAATAAAAACTTAGCTTATATTATTTTTATAAAGTACGACAGGTTTCGAATAAAAATTCATCATAAGGTACCTCTATACACATTTAATAAAATTGTGACTGAATATGAAAAAATAAAATTTCAACTTTTTATTTTTTCATATTCAATCATAATTTTATAAATTTTGTATATACCTTATAGTGAATTTTTAATTTGAAACCGGCTGTACTTTACAAATATAATAATACTCCAAGCTAAGTTCTTATTTATTTATTTATTATTATATTTTTGTTTATTAGCTAATTAATTATTGTCTGTCATTAAAATATAATAATTTTATCTTTGTTAAAAAGTTATTGGAATATGAAAACCTTTATTTAATATATTTATATATATATTGAATTCATTTCACTAGAAATTTATCCATTATTAGTACATTAAAAAGGTATTCGTAACAACCAGCATGTTAAGAAATTGTTTTATGCATCAAGCTTAAATGGAGTCAACAGATTGTAGTCATTCTATAAAAATACGAAATTACATACACTACACGGGAAAACCGGTCTTGATCACCCGCACCCGCACAAAATTCAAGTAACTACTAGCTTAAAATGTTTACGAAATTAGTCATTGTTACTCGACATGGAACCATTAATTATTATTGTACATTTTATTTTGAGTAAACTTTTATAATGCTAAATCCTTGTTTTTTTGTAAAACACTTAAACGTTACAAAATCATATCTGTAGACTCCAAGAGCTATAGGCAAGAGTAACATTTACACCTGAAACTTAAAGTAACAATAAAAAATACTTATTTACATACAAATATTTTAATAAAATTATATTGTTTTATCTATAGTAATAAATTAATTTGTTCGCATTTAGCTTAATTTACATTTGTAGCTACTTTCGAGTATATCTAACTACCTAAATACAAACTGTATTATAGTTGTGTTACTTATTTTTTAATTTTTGGAAAAATGTTGACTAACTGAAAAAACGGGACAAAGCCTATCAGATGTTGATAAAATCTATCTTATAAACTGAGTTTGATTTTTTATTGTTTTATGAATAAAATGTTTTCTGTAATCAAATTTTAAGTTATGACACATATATTATTTTATATACGGGTTTGAAGATTTATAGTTGTAAATCACATACAATGCCTAAAAAAATATTTTATTAATTAAAATGGAGTTTTTAATTGTTTTATGTTAAAAAATTGCACCTTGCAAATGAGAATACCAATACAAGATTGACGATTATTAAAATAGTATATATTCTATGCATTGTTAAATAACATTCATTAGAATATCGTTTAAATAATAATCCCATTTATTTTATAATATTCTAAAATGTTAATAAAAGTATCATTGATCGTACACAGGAAAACTCATTTAGATTTTTTAAATTATAATAACTCTGAAGAACAATGATTATATTGTTTAATACAAGTTTACGAATTTACTTTGACTTTTCTGAGGTGTTTTTTAATATTACACTAAAATTGGCCAAAAAATGTACTTAGGATAACCTAATTTAAATACCTTACTCGTCAATATACCTACGCATGACATATAGATTGAATAAACATCAATATACGTTCAAAAATTAATCACGTGTAAATAATAAAGCAATGCAATAACCAAACGCAAAATACTTTTAACAATTTCTGTGTATTATAGTTTCTTAAATATTATATAACGTTATTCAACTCGAAGATGCTGTAATAGTATAATAGACACTAGGAGACTAGATAATGCAACCATAACAGTTGATGTAAACTTAGAGATTAACTTAATGATCTTAATATAGGTACTATGAAATTAACGAACAAGAACAACAATTAAATATCATGTTTAGTTTAAATAAATTTTGAATTTTATAAAATAAGGATTTAGGTCACTCATTTTATTTTTCCTCTTAATATGAATCTATTGGAAACCGGATTTTAAAATAACGTCATTAATTATGACATACATTTTTTAATATTGAATAATATACTTATTCAACATTTTTGAATCATTGTTTGGAGTAAAAAAATATTCCTATTATATCATAAATATGTGTACGTTATCCTTTAAACTTTCACCGAAATTAATCGATATTCGATTGATCTTGATAACAATTTAATCAGAATCATAATAATGATGTTGTTAGGTATCATTAAAAGGTTAACGATATTTCACTTCTGAATACAACATGCAATTCACTTATATCTACCTCATTTGTATCAACCCATCTTCCAAGTTTATAATATCCACAGAAAAGCTAGTGTTTATCGATATTTTAGTCGATAAATATATATAAAAGTATTTTTGAACAAATGTCGAACAGTACTCAAGATTCAGGAAACCGGTTTAAATTCTTTTAGCCATATTAAAGTAAGAAAAACGTGAAGGTGAATCATGTATCAGAACAAAATCGCTAGGTATCCATTGCAAATTGCAACTAGGTCTAGGTAAATATGTATGAAACTGAAGACACCATCATGATTGCAAGATTAATTATAAATTCTGATGGAACTACCAGTACTTTTAAAACTTATTTTATAAATCTGCATAACGACCAATAATCAAAATGCTACAAATAGTCTCAATACCAAGAACGGCACCTAAAAGTATATAATTAAAGAACTATTTACTATGAGATAAAAAATAATATAACCGTAGTACCTATTTGGTATCTTTTTTTCTTGTACAAACTAATAGATAAGATTTGTTGGATTATTTACATAAAAAAAATTATGTCTGTAGTTAATAATTTATTTGAAATGTTCGCATTGCAAAACGGATAGTACCAAAACAAAATTATTGAAGTACTCATGGAGAATGAAAAAGGTTTTGTAACTATCATTGAAGTAAATAAAATTTACACTATACTATTTACAGTTCATAAGTATAATACTTTCTATGAATTGTGGCTACTTTTTAAAAATGTAGTAAACCTTTTTGAAATACACCAAGCAACCTGTGAAAATTGTAAAAGCAATACGAATAACTGCGAAAAACTTTACGTACATAAAGCGCTAAAACAAAGTTCATAGACCGTCACAATATTGATCACTTTGGAAACTCAACAGGATAATGGATATAAAATATAAATTTCAAATACTTACTGAACTTTTATTTTACGAATTCTCCAAACAGTGTTGCTGTAGCGTTGTGTGGCACGTTGTAGGCTTGTTAGTCGTGTGAAAAAAATACATAAACAGGAGAAACGAAAAATGAGGAAAAATGCACGCCAGATCTCCGTGCAATTCAAGTCATTAAAAAAAAAACTGCGAAGTCGAATAAATAAAACCGTAAGGAACTCCTAAGTGTCAACCGACCGGTCGGAGTCGAAAAATGACGCGCCAACGACGCATTCAGCGATGTATGATAAAAATAGATACCGGTCGTTTTGTCGTACACAAATCAGTCGGTGTTCATTCCGGGTCGACGTAACACAATGATACGTATTTAACAACACGGCGATATTATAATTATTGTCATTAGTGCGCGCGGTTAGTCGGACGTGTAAAGTAGCAACGCGAGTGACGGAAACGCGTGTGATACTGATCGATGTGTATCGCGTGTCCACGGATCGACGAAAACGTAATGGCTAATATTTTTCGACGGTGGTACAAATGACGAATAACATAGGTAACGTAATACGGCGTGTCCCTCGGGAAGTGGCGTGCGCGCTGTGTGTGCTACAGGCGCACTGTCGTGTGGCGCAAGTATTCCGCCTGCCAGAGAAGGTACATACGGAGTCGCAATAATAATAATAATAATAATATGAGAGGCGATTAAATGAACGGAAGTCTACGGAACTTCGCGGGTTGTTGCGGTTGTTCGTTGTCGATTCCACCGCGACCGCTGTAGTAGTACAATGCAGGTGTATACGCACGACGGTCACCACCACCGTTACCACTTCTTCTCGTAACGTGTACAATGTTATACCATGTTATTAGTTATTACACCATCATCATTCTATGATCACTCTGCATTTTCTCGTAGTGCCCGTGACGCAGGACTTACAGGTTAACCAGAAAGAGGTGTACTTGTATATATATATATGTATGTACGTGTGTTGGACAAACCCGGTACACCTATACTGCCAATGACGTATAATTGGGTAAAAAACACGGACGTCATAAGAGAAAATAATACACTGGTGATTCAAGTTCATAAAATACCATTATTACCTCCTCCTACCACTCTCATAAACGTCAAATATTGCTTTTAATTTTACGAAAAAAAAGAATCAAAATTAATTTTTAAGTAAGCTTATACTGTTTTCCTTTAAAAATCACGTCCTTTATATTTGCCATTTCTTTAATTTAAATGTATATACAATATACTACTTACAATAAAATAAGTATAATTGATAATCAGTGTTTATCCAGTTCCTTATAAAAAGAAATTCGTTCCGTTCCTTGTTATTTTTTTAAAAAAAGGAATTTGTTCTTTTTCTTGTTCCTTAAAAAAAAGGAATTTGTTCCATTGTCGTTCATTTGAAAAATGAACAAGTCTCTTTTTAGTTCCACGTAAAATAAAATTTTTCATTTAATCATCAATGTTTTTTATTCATATATTATACTTAACTTTTTAATCATACATTTACGTACAAGTATTTATTTTAAATAGTTAGATATTAGTTATGTACTACCAAGTCCCAACCCGCATCATAAATGATTTTATTGTTCAGTGTTCGCTGTATATGCTATTTTCAGACGTGATGATAACGAATTATATTTCTTTATATATAATATATTAAAATATATTTATATTTGTTCTAAGATTTATATATTTATTTCTACAATATATATTGCCTATATTATAACTTAGAAGAAAAAATATTAAGCAAGTGACTAATGAATAATATATGTAATAACTTTATTGAAATGATAAGCGAATAACATTAAAGTTGATAGCCCACAACGATTACCTAATTGATAATACACACACTAAGAAAATATATATTTAAATTTTAATTAGGTATCTGTATAAATTGAAACTTGAAAGGAACGAAAAATGTCATTCTTTTTTCTTCGAAAAAAAAGAATCCGTTCATGTCTTCGTTTTTTTTCTATAAAAAGGAATTCGTTCAATATGCCGTTTTTTAAAAAAATAATTCATTCTAGGAATCTGTTCCTTTTGGAACTCGTTCCTTCCAAACACTGTTGATAATATACGAAGGAAAATAAGGTAGAAATTTCGGTTAGTATGTAGAAGGCTTTCGGTGAAAGGGCAGCAAAATATTTAAAATAAAAAATTGAAATATTATATTTATACTATTTATAGTAGTTTTAATTATTTAAATGTTTGAAGAGGGCAATATGAAAATCGTAAAAAAATTATAGGGGGTATCAATTTATTTTTATTATTTATGGTAACACTATCTTAACGGGTATATTTACCAAGATAGAATAATAAAATAAAATAATAATTAATGCAATGTAATATTATACATATTATAAATATTTTATGATGCGCAAAAGTCGAATTTAATATTTTAAAGTGGTGAGGCTAATTCAATGGTAAAGTAACTGGATGGCTAAGGTCTCTCTAATATATATATACACAATTATATAATTAATTATTATTTCATAACGGAATTCTAAATTTATCTATTGATTTACTAGATGTGTGTAGGTACTTTTATATACTTGAAATAATATTTCAAATATAAATTTTTATTTTAAATGTAAAAAAATATTAAAAAAAGAGTAATATTATAGACAATGGTTAAATAAATACAATAGCTAAAGTTATATTAGTCTTTGAGGAGTATCTAGGTTTGACCCTGTCCTTCGCACTATCGAGCAATGTCAATGTCCATCTCTATACAATGATTTTAAAGTAATGAGCATTATAGTCTAATAGATTATCTTACGAAATAATATATAAAATCATTAGGTCCATGTAGAATATATAAGTGCTATTCTAATGCTTTCTAAAGTGTCCATAACGACCATAACACTGGTGTATAATACGAATTTATCATATCTCATCTATATATCTTATATAACCTCATACGTTCAAATCATTATTATCCCTATATTAATATTTTGATTGTCTATATTATAAAAATAATAATACTTGCAGTTTTATAACACGGATGTATGAGATTTTTAATTTTTTGTGACTATCTACACAACGTCGTGGAGTTGGTATGGTATGGTATAGTATAAACAGTGCTCTTATACATACTATTGTTGTTTTTTTTTTATAAGATCAACTGTACACGAAGATTTTTCCCTTAATGGCGAATATTAAGTCGTAGTCCTTGAATCATTTTATAAATCGTTTCACCATTGACGTCATTCATCCAAAATAAAATAATTATACAATATTATGATTCTAGAACATGCCAACAAGTATGTACAGTACACACAGTAGGTATAAACAGTGTTTAATTATGTATGTAGTATATGCATTATCATTTTTTACACTATTTCTCACTAAACGGTTAACATTAATTTTTGAACTCTACGTACGTTATACAGATTGATGTATCGTTTTTATGGAAAGATAGAATACTCAAAAAGACCGAAAAAACCGAAATTAATTTATAAATGAATAAGTATCTATGTTTTAAGCTTTATTAATAATATTTTACCAACTTATAAATAATAGTTTCCGAGGTTGTGACGTAAAAATGAAAAAAAAAAATATTGGAATATACACTATAAAGAATATGTAATAAAAAAAATGTGTCCTTAAAAAAAATGCATAGTTAATTCTAAATATAATACATCGTGCTTAAATTTTCAACCAATTGTTCTTTCCTATTTTTTTTTTTTATACATTTGAACCTTTGACTAACCTTGACTAACCTTTGACTTAAATATTCAACTGTAACCTTAACATTAATGAATTAGTAGTTTTTTATTTATATTGGCTAGTTGTATTATAATTAAATAAACAATTATTTAAAAATTGTTAGTAAGACGTTTTTATACACAGTGTAAATAACGACAATTATATTTCATTATTAGTTACAAAAACTATAAAAACCTATATATAATTATAAATAATTAAATAATAAATTATTTATACATTATTGAATCATATCGCATCGCATCGAATTTATACACTACAAAACAGGCAAAAGAAACATAGACAAAGGTAAGGAAAATTCGTTGTAAAATTAAATATTACATTCACATCGCAATATTTTCCGATCTAATTGAAATTATTCGTAAAATATAAATAAATGATACTTTTGGATATAATATTCTGCTTTGAATACGAAGGCCATTATCATTAGACTTGTATTTTCCATTTTATACAATATTTGTATATTACATTTACATTTTTGGGAAGGAAAATGTAGTCGACATTGCAATTGTTGACAGTAAATGGTGTAGTATTTTAATTCATTTGAAAAATTATTTAATTCTATTACGTTACTTTTTTTGTTTGTATTTGGGCCAAGAATTTTTTTTTTTTTTTTTTTATTATAGCTTCAAGTTACGAGTAGAAATTAATCGTAAAGTACGAGTACAAATTAAAGATAAAAAATTACAAAATTACGACCTTTAAAACATAGATTTTATATAATAAAGTCAGCATCCAAAATAAACTTGATAATACACAGGGCCAAGAATTAATTTAATAAGATTGCTTCATGTTAAGTTCTTCTCTTTGTTTTTCATACTTTTTACATTCCTTGAAGCTATGTTTGATTGCAAGCATAGTCCCACATGAATGGTATATTTATTTTTACTATAAAATATTCATGTTCCAGTTTGTATGACTAAATAGTAGTAACTAACTAGTATACTAATATTTGGATTTCGTTTCTATATTTTTGATCTTTGTTTAATTTGTTTTAATTTGTTTGTTTAGGTGTCCTATTTATTTTTCCAGGGGGAGGTGGTGTTTTATTTAATCTGATTTCTTTATCTATTTTTTGTGAGTCCGATGAGCGAATTGTTAGCTTGGCTTGTTTATCTGCCTACTCGTTGCCAATTATTTTAAGATGTCCAGATTTAAATTATATTATTATTAATTTTACAGAGTTCTTTTATTATTATTTTTTTTTTTTTTACGTACCCCAACTCTATTTTTTCACTAGAATGGAGCTATGTTCACCCTAACAAATGTCCAAAATAATTGTTATTAAAATATGGATTTCAATTTACGTAAATTTTATAACGTATATTACGATTTATAATATAAAAACGTTGAGCTCCGCTAGTATTATCACTTATCAGTGCCCAGCCTATGTTAGCCGAAATTACGTTCGGTCGACTAGTGACTACGCAGCACGGTTATAGTTAAAACCGAGCGTGCAGACACGCAGTACGCGTCGAATTAGCGACTAGCGCGTAGCAATATACAAAATATATAATTGGTCGAAAATTAATTCGAATTATATTTACGCTTAGTACCTATGTAGGTACATGAGAAAATACATTTTCATAATAAAAGATTATAATATAACCATATTATGGTGATTATGATAAGCAACGGTTTCGTCATTTCAGGAAAAATATAAATAGTAATGTCTGGTATATACAGATATGATTTGGTATATACTTTATTCATTGTATGGTTTGTCATTAATATTATCAATATCAATATTTGGAATTTAAATATTTGTGTAACTGAAAATGGTATTCAAAATATATGTAAGTTTGAAGAAAGGGGTGTGGGGGTATAGCCCCTACGGGTCTGTGTTAAATAATTGCGCCCATGGAACGCAGTGTTTAAATCGCTGGACTGAGCTTCTCTACTTAATTTTTCCTAATTTGAGCACTGCTTACCTACTTATTCACTAATTCACTAATCATAGCTCATTTGGCTTTATATTTTTATTGCAAAATACTTAAATTCATTTTCTATAACTAGTAACTTTACTAGTAACTAAATAGTATACTTTAAAATTAAATAATATACTTACTAATTATTTTTATTAATTCAAATTTCGAATTTTAAGGTTCTTTGTAAGCTGTGGTCCTCAACAGATTTCTAATTTTTTTGGGAGATGATAAGTTCCCACACGAAGCATAGCAGGTAAATTTTTACATGCGTAAGTTCCGAGACGAAAAAATATACTGGTGCGTAAATTACTACACGAACAAAAATATACCGGAACGTAAGTTCTTACACAAATAAAAGTACAGCAATAAGCAACAGTAGCGTATCCAGGATTTTTTTTTTTTTGGGAGGGGGGCTGATCAATTACAAAAAAAACTATATTTAATATTTTAAAACAAAAAATTATTATTTTCATATTTTTTTTATTTTCATCATATTGTTAATTTTAGTCGTCTAGCTTTTCCACTGTTCAAAAACTTATCTAGTGTCATATCATCAATAATATCTACATCTCTGTGAATAGTTAATAGAGCTAGTACTACAAGTCCTGACTCAGATGTTGTATTTCGAAAATAATTTTTCAATCTCCTTAGTGTTGAAAAATTTTTCTCTGCAGTGGCTATTGAAACTGAAAGTATTGATATTATCTTCTAAGAAGTTCATACATATTTGAGTACATAGATGGATCACGTTACTATAGTGCTTCGATAGCCGCCAATGACCGAGATTCAACCAAGTTCAATTTTGACTGTCATAATTGATATTCCGCTTCTATAATGTCATCATACCCTTTTAAATCATCCTGATAAAATTTAACTGCTGTTTTAAGATTTGAATATGGTTTATCAACAATCATATTCGGTAAATCGTATAACAGAGAATTTATTATTTCATGATGTGATAAAAAACGTTCATTCAATGATAAAAGTATATCATCTAAGTAAGGTATAAAAACTGTTCTCCTATAAAATTCTTAAGTAGTTTGAAATGGAACATTTTGGCGATTTCTTTGAGTAATACAAATTCGTGGCATATTTTCTTCCACATTTAATACACTTCCTAAGCTATTGACTTCTTCATAAATATCATTAAATTTATCAGTTGTATTATCTCTTAAAATTTTTAGTTGAATTGTTACCTGATTTACTCTACCAATGGCATTAAACAAATTAATATTTTTACTTTGCAAGTATTCTGATAAATGATAAGTATAACTTAACAATTTAGATGATACGCAGATGGAAACTAAAAAGTTAAAATTATAGATGCTATTTAATAAACTAGTTGTTCTGTTTGAAGAATCACATTCTATTTGTTTAAGTGCAGCGACAATAGGTTCTAAAAATTCCTTAAACAGTATTACAGCTTCATGGCGTAAAATACACTGAGTTTCGCATAAAGACTTTAATTTAAACGATTTAGCGTCAGGTAGTATCTCTTTAATTTTATTTTGTAAAATTGTCGTTCTTTTTGTCGAAGAATGGAAAAAAGCACAAAAATCAGAAATGATACTTAACGAATTACGAATGGCTTGTGTTTTGACAGCATCAGATTAACAAAGATTCAGGGAATGAGAAACACAGTGAGTGTATAAAGCTTTCGGGTGACTCTTTTTCACTATTGCTTGAACACCACGAAAGTTACCAGATATAGTAGCAGCCCCGTCGTATCCTTGTCCATATAATTTATCCAAGTCCAAACCAAGTTCTATCAATGTATTTTGTAATACGGTTGCCAAACCAAGACCAGTTACATCATGAACTGGTACAAATGCAACAAAATCCTCTCGAATAACTATCAACTCCTCGTCTACATACTGTATACAAATTGAAAACTGTTCTATTTGTCTTTTCATCTGCAAGAACAGAAAAATACTTTGATTTTGAATTTTTTTTAATTATGTCTGATGGAATAAGTTCTCCAAAAAAGATAATAATTTTATTTTGAATAAGTGGACTTATGTACATGGCATTGGAAATACAAGTTTCTAAATATTTTTTTAGAGTATTATCTCCATGTTGTGCACAGTATCTCAAAAGACAACGAAAATTACCATCATTTTGAATTGGTTCTTTCATTAATATACGACCAGAATCTTCATGCCCCCTTAAAGCAAATTGTTGTCTACCGCACAATCATATAGTCTGAATAATAAGTTTAAGCATATTACGATTTTGTAAAATATCCTCTTTAAGTTGATTATTTAACTGAACCAAAACATTATCTTGTTTTTTGTTTAAAATTACAATAATATTATCGGCATTTAATACAGCAATACGGTGATAACTATAATTAGGGTAATATCTAAATGTTTCTAAAGCTTTTTTTAGATTTGTATAAGGTTTGGTAACTAATCCACCTAAAGATTCATGAGAACCTTTACCAACTTGATTTTGGTTGAGAAAAAGATCACATTACTTACAAAAGGCTCCTTCTTTACATTTAGAATATGCTAACCAGTTAAATATATTAAGCCATTTTATTTGAAATTGTCTTTTAAATTTAGCACAACTTTGAGTTGGAAAAATGAAATTAGGATCAGGTATCCATACATTATTTAAAATTGAAACTTTTTCTTCATTTGTTAGTGAACCAACATAATTTACATAAAAACCAATATCATATTTGGAATTTACTTGTATCTAATATAAAATATAAATAACATTACTCATTTTATGTTGAATTGTAATTATAAATTTAGTATATTTAAATAACTAATAAACTCAAATTACTTGGAGAATTTAGTACTAAAAAAATAGGTTCAACCACTTCAGATGAAGCTACATTATTACTTGCTTCACAATTGTGGTTAATCTAATCAAAATAAGCAAAATTCAAAAAAGTATAAAAAAAGAAAAATTAACTTTATTTTAACACAAAATATAAAAAATAACTGCATTTAGTAAAAAAAAAAATATTACATTAGCTTCAGTAATAAAAAAGTACTATGTTAAATTGTAGTTAATGCTAAAGCAATAGAGTAATAAGAAATAAAACAAATATTATAGGTATATTTAAAATACTTCTTATTTGAAAATTATAATTTGAATATTTTTTTCAGTATTTAAATTCATTTTACATAATATAAATAATTATTTCCAGTAAATAGATACTAGAATTATAGTAATTTAATTTCTTGAGATTTGTTAAAAATAAGATTAGCATTAAAATATTTAACAGTTCTACTGAATATTATATAACTTAATACATCATGTAGCTTAACAAAAGCAAAAGGCAAAAGCTATAGATTAGTTAAATGTATTAAGTATTATTTTTGTTTTTAATACTTACCCAGTAAAAATGATTAATTAGTTTTAATAATTTATAATTTAATTTTTATAATTTATATTGGTATATAAACAATTTAATTTACCTTTGTTAAATTAAAAATTTGTTAAACAACTGTTTATAGCAATTTTTATAAAATTGTGTTTTATTAAAAACATAATGCGAATGATATAATTTGAATTATTAGAGTACTAACAGATTTAGATTTTTTGCTGAAGAAGCTATACAAGTTACCTTGTGCATGTTTCTTATCACTCATTTTTAAAACTATAGGCAAACAATTAGTTAAAATAAGTTTGTTAAAAACAAAATGTTTAATAAATAAAAACGAGTGTTACACGTCTTACAACAATGACAGTAAATAGTTAATACCATTAATCAAATTTTATTATTGATTATAATTACGTAAATTATTATTTTTGAATAACTATGATAACAATGTGAATATGATTACATATATTTTATACGATAAAATAAGATCTATGGTCTATGGATAACATCGATACCGATAAGCATGACGTTGTACACGTTTTTTGTCTTTGTGATATTATAGTTTGTTCAGAGAAACAACGTATATCATACTGTCGTATGATGGTATGTAAATTATTTATTAATTTAATAATAATTTAAGATTTTCTGAAATTTCGGAGGGGCTGCAACATCCTCAGACCCCTCTCCCCCGGATACGCCACTGATAAGAAATATGTAGTAAGGGATACCGTTTCCATTTGGGTCATGCTTGGTACCGTAGAATTCAAAGCTTAGGTATAGCACAAAAGTTAAATGATGCAAATGACAACCTAGAAAATTGGTTGGTACATTTATTTGGTTTACCATTTATTTATCCAACAGAAGTTGGAGATTGTTTTATGTATAGTTTAAGGTCTGTAAAACCAGATAATATAAATATAATATAATAAAATAAATTAACTTTGTGATTATTTAGTGACAAATTACATAGAGAAAAATAGAACGTTTCCCCCTATTTGGGCAATTGCTAGTTCTTATAGAAGTCTTACAACAAATGCTAGTGAAAGTTTTCATTCAGAATTCAACTCAAATATTTATCATCATCATCCTAATATATAAAATATAATAGAATTTTTAAAAGTGCTTTAAAAATACAAATATCAAAACAAGAACATCAGATACCAATAGAGCTAAAAAAATAAACGAAATTATATGAATAACAGATTATTAGAATACAAATTAAAAAGTAAAACAGTATGATTATGTTAAAAAATTGAGTTTTCATGATAAGCCCTATAAAATTGTATTTTTATTATAATTATCATATTGAATATAGTATGTATAACATATGGACTACACATTATTATAAAAATATATGGACAAGATTCAATTAAAAATTGGATTAGATTTTTTTACAAAAAAATTTTAACTACATTGTCAGTCCTAAGTTTGAATAAAGTAGAAAAGAAATTTGTATTCGTTATACATTTATTTCGTGAAGAAACTTACGTATTGGTGTATTTTTCTCGTGTAAGAACTTACGAAGAAAAACACAAAGGTGATTTTTTAGAATGATTCGTCAATTGTTTAGCTACATGCTCAAGGGTAAATTTATATTTATACTGCTTATAGACCTGTAAAAAATCGTCGCCCTTAATGACTAAATTATAAATTTAATTTACTTCTTACCTAATGATCCATATTAAAGATATCAATCTTCCATCATCGATATCTTAAATCCTCTTCCAACTCAAAAGTTAAAACATTTTACGAATTTTAAATGTTAAATAAAACGAAAAAAGTATGGATATTAAATAATACTTGAATTATAGTAATTTTAGACTTTGATACTCAAAAATACTAAAGTATTTTGTGTTTTCTAGCTCATAGGTACTATTAAAATTGTATAGATGAAGAAAAAGAAGACTTATGCTATTATTGGAAAAAATATCGTATTCAAAACCACAAGTAAAATAATACTCAATGATTTAAATATCACTGTTGAAAATCAATCAATGTACGTATATAAAATAATTTATTATGTATTCAGTTTTAAATAAGATTACTAATAAATTTTTAGTATATATTTATAGCGTACTGGTGCCAAATGTGAGTTTTAAATATCCCAGGGATTTGATACAACTTATATCATATTTTTAAATGGATAATGAATGATGATTGTTGACCAAAAACTATTGAAATATTTATATACAGTATTAAGTTTTGTGTTTTCATAAGATATGAAGTATTAAAGTTGGTATATTTGACTGGTTATTGGATGTTTATTTATTAATTAAAATTAATTTTAATTAATAAATAAACATCCAATATCAAAATATCAATATTTTATGTTCAAGAATTATGTAGTTTTAGGCTTATACTGTTTGTCATTGAAACCTTAATAATAATAAAAATTATATAGGTTACTGTAAGTGTTAAAATACATTCATTTAATATCATTTTACTTTTTGTTTCATAAATATTATTGTAAGAAACTAAATTAAAAATGATTACTACATACATTTAATAAAATTTCGTTAAACGTTAACATTTTTACCTCAGCGGGCCACTTTGGTAAACAATTATTTTAGAGCAGGCCACCAAATATAAAAGTACGAATAATATCAATATTAATCTAATAATGTTATTTTGTTACACATAATAGGTTTACAATGTACATGTAGGTACATGTTGAATTTGTTTTCAAATATCTTATTGACTGAAAAGATTACAGATCGAGGTACACGCTGTAGTTACACATTAATTTGATCAGTACGCTATTTCAAGTACATGGGTTATTCGTGAAATTTATATTTGAAAATGCTCAAAAATAAAATTATTACGTTTTTGAAAAAAATGAATTTTATAATTTTTTTTTATATTGTATTTCATTTAAAAAAAAAATGTAATGGGCCACATTGATTACCTTCAAGGGCCACATGTGGCACGCGGGCCGTAGGTTGGGCACCACTGCGTTAAAGTCTATTTTATTTACTAACATTGATTTTTATACAATTGAGTTATTTCATTTTTATAACACATACTTTTTGATTCAACATTTTTAATATTTTAAAATCTCAAATATCGTTGTAATCTGGTTTACGTATGTTGTTTTGCTATTTAACAAATTTGATGGTATGTTTTAAGGTCAAATAATTTTCTTTTCATAATATTCGCTCAAGGTTTATAGTATAAATCATATTACGAAAATATAACTAAATGAATCGTTAAGTATATGTAATTTATTTATAAATATGTTCATTTCCTTCTTTCATATTTAGATGATTATTGAAGAAATAATATTTAATGTTTATAATATAGAAACAATATTTTGATTAGAGTGGTTGTAAATGGTATAGTTATTCATCAGTTTGTACAGTTTTATTAAATATAAATCATAATTATAGATATTATATTATTACATATTACATTTAATCTCATAGTACTCTACAATTATTAAAAAACTCTTTTAGATGGTATTCACTATAATATACTTTGACCTTATCATTGAAATTTAATGAACTATTTTTATAACCATGAAAAAATTTGCCTATGTATTACTTAAGTACATCATACATTCGAAACTCTTATTCATTTAAAGAATCTATCTAATATATTATTAAATTAATCAACAAAATAATAAAACAATTTAAAATTAAAAAATATAAAACATAGACGCTGGTGAACAATTAATTTCTGCTTAAAACAGCTGATATCTAGAGTTGAAAAATAGTATATTGATTTTATTGCTATGTAAAACAATATAATAAATATGTATGAATTATTATTAAATATAAATTCTATCTAAAATTAAGTTTAAATTGTTTATATAATTACTATATTTAATAATCTTTAGTAATCTTTAATAATATTTTGCACTCTTTCCTATGTTATTACATAATGTATGCAATAAAAGATAATTTTATAACTAAAGTTTTTTTATTATTATTTTATTCACTTTAAGAACTTAAACTTAGTGCCTATAATTTTATATACTTGAAATAAATTTTTTCATCTATTCCTTTCCTCCCCATTCTTCATTATTAGATCCGCGTCTGCCTTTACCGTGTGTAGTAGAGAAATCACATCGAATTACATTAAGTTATACTGTTTATTTTCGTATTTATATCTTTTGTTGCAAATAAATCAAGTATTCCTGACATGAAAAATACAGTTTCAGTTATATAAAATTTAATTATTATGCATATTTAATTGCTGAATTGATTATGTTTATGCTAAATATATATTATATGTTTCCGTTCTCCAAAAATATAACTTTTTATGAAGCTTGAAGTATTAGAAACTTAATAATTCTGTATTTAGTCACCTGTCCAAAACCTCGGTTATTATGTCAAATTTTACATTTTCAATACGTGATAACAACATGTATACGTGTGTAATTTTGAATCTATACTTAAGAAAATATGACATTTATTTATTAATATATTTTATCGAAAGTAATCGGCTATTCGTTGTTTTTCAAAAAAAAAAAAAAAAAAATCATATAAAAATAAAGATCAAGAATTCTCAACAATACTTTCAGAAATATTAACTATATATACTTGGGATGGGTAACTCAAAGTTACTAGAAAGCAGATTTTTAGAAAATTAAAATCTAGCGGGCTAGAGTATAGAAGAGAAAAAAAAAGGTCATTCAAAGTATGAATTTAAATAAGCATTTATATAAATGGAAATAATAAATTCAACACACACGACAGCACGATATGAATTATACGAAGAAACTGATATCAGTGACGGATTACGCATTTTTTCGCCATGGGGCAGTTTTTTTGGCCCCCCTCCCCCACTACTCCACTACACAACATAAAATATTTTAACTTTAACTCGACAGCTCGCCAAACTTTTGACTGCTGTTGTGACCTATATGAATACTTTTTCTTAAAAATGTTTTCAAAAAATTATTTTTAGTAACTTAAAATAAACGAAAATACAGTCAACCCATTGGTTTATAAGGCGCCCTTTTAGACCTGGCGCCCTGGGGCAGCTGCCCCGTGTTGCCCCGTGTGTAGATCCGCCACAGACTGATATAGTTTGGTACAAACATCTATGGTTGAAAGCTATACTTACACATAAATATGACATTTATAAATTTAATATTTAATACCAGATAACAATTATTATATTGATAAGTTATAGTATAAACTTTAAAATTGTATGATGTAATTTTAAAATATAGCACGGGCCAGATAAAAAAGGCTCACGGGCCACCATTTGCCCACCCCTGATATATACTATACAGTGACGCCGAACGCTTACTTTTATGGGACAGTTCACTCCATTTAACTATGGTGGTTGGTGTCTGTGGGGTAGATTGGATGGATAAATTTACACTCTAATTAGTAAATTTTAGGAATGTACCAATTAAGTGACAGTCGGTCTATAGATGGTAGGATACTATGATGCGATAAAGCAATTCGCCTATCAATACATGTCTTTATACCATATCAAGTATAAAGACGTACATTGATATTTAAATCTATTTCGCATACATAATGAACCTAAACGCCTCTTGATTGTCAGTGTTTAAAAGTGATTACACAGCATGCAAATACATCTTTTAAACATTTTAAGATAGTTACTTAAATTACCAATAACCCCGTGAAATATTTTTGAAACAACTTTTTTTTTAATTAAATGCAGTACCTCAGTTTTTTAAAAATAAAAAAATCAACTGTTTTTTGTTTTACATTTCTTTGATTTTAATAACGTATTTAATATTTAAATAATTTTAACTTATATTTATATACGTTTCAAATTGATATTAAGTGTTTTTTTCTAAAACCACTATGAAGTAGGTAAGCAATGAGTAAGGTAAATAGGTAATAATTAATATCTAATTTATAATTATCATTTTCAGTCTGTATGATTATTGATTTATGATAAAATATGAGGCATTGCAGTGGCGTAGCCAAGGGGGAGGGGCTAAAGGGGCTATAACCTCCCAATGGGCCGTGTTTATATGTATAGTATATCTTGAATATTTAATAAAATCAATGGATGCTCGTTTTAATCAAAGGCTTATTGATGTTACGCCAATTGAAGGACTTATTCCGGCCAATTTAAATATGTATGACGATGAAAATATTATAAAAGCTGCTAAAATATATGCCCAAGATCTCCATGTTGATACCTCATCTACAATCAGAGCTGACCTGTTCATATGGAGGCAATAATGGAGTCAAAATACTATTCCAAAACCGAATTCTGCTTTTGATTCACTCTTTCATTGCACCAATCTTCAACTTAACATTTAAATACTTTTACAATTATTCGCCACGTTACCAGTTACCTCTTCCACTCCGGAAAAAACGTTTTCTGCACTTAATCGCTGAAAAATTTTTTTAAGAAACGCCATGTTGGAATACAAACTGAATGGGTTAGCTATGGTTAATATAAATAAAAAATAGCAATTCGATGAAAGTGAAATAATAACTGAATTTGCCAGAAATTCGCCTAAGAGGATGCAGCTGTCAGAGTGGAGCAAGTGACTGAACACTGAAACCAAAATTATTATTATTATTATTATAAATTATATATTAATAAATATTTTTAAAACTATACTAAAATGCTTGAATTACATTTAAAAACTTGGTGGTAGGTGGTGCGTGGTGGGTTAAGGGTGAATTCTCATACCTCATACCTCTCTTATATTCTCTTACCTTACTTATCCAATTAAGTGATTAGCCCTTCCCATTTAAAAATCCTGGCTACGCCACTGAGGTATTATACTCGATTATAATTTATATTAATATTATTATGTGCTGTTTTAAGTGGCACATTTAACAATAAATACAATTGTATTCTGAAATAGACTTAATAGTGCGGGCTGTCGGTTATAACCCCTTACTCCCCTGGGTACGCTACTGCTGGATAGTACCTATCTAATAGAAGAAATTGGAATAATTAATTGCGAGCGAAGCGAGCAACTTTATGATGGTTAAATTTACAATATAATGATTCAATTATGTAACCCGTCATTATATTGCTCTAACTTTTTAGGTGATGGTATTAATAAATTGTTATATTTTGCCCCACCAAATAAAATACAAATCGGCGCCACTGATACTATATATAATATATTCATAACTGAAAATTAAATACTTAATATTTACAAATAATTTAAATATTATAAAATACTTGCTTACACATACAACAAATATACAAACATACTTAAAAATAATATGTTCATAGTTACGCGGTTTTGGGTGAAAATGATTCGGGCAAGTCTGTATTATTGAAGTGTCTAATAGGCATTTTAAAATTGGATGGCGGTGATGTAAGATTACCAAACGATGTCAGTAGCCATGACATAAGGAGCGTTGGTTGTAATAATGAGATAATGGCCGCAGGACGTCCCAACATCGGGTTTTCCTTACAGGTGTGTGTCACATGCAACAGTTATAGTTGTTAATGTTATTATAAACACTGGTTGAATCATTTTATTCCCTCCTCGTTCCTTCGCGACCATGCTGACCTATTACCGCAGGACTTCGACATTCCGGGACCAATGAAAATATACCAACTGTTGAACTACATCAGTGCCATCAATGGACTTCTCAAATACCAAACCATAGAACGATACCATACTATAGCAACGATGATTCAGATACCAATGTCCGACAACTTGGTCAGTCAACTGAGGTTAGTTCAATTCATAATCAGATATTTTAGATTATTTATAAATCCTCTTATTAATTATTAGTATGAATTAATTTTTTAATACCGTAATTCTGAAGACAATTTTTCAAATTTAAAAATCATAATTTCAAGACAAATTTAAAAATTATAGAATGTAAACATTTAAACATTTGAATAAATATATTATAAATTATAGTATATTTTTTTAATTATAATATACATTTTTGTTTAAATGTTTGTATGACCAAAATAATTATAATTAAAATTATGTGTTTTATGTTACATACAAAAATAATTATACCCTCAAGACCTTGGCAAAGGAAAGTTTTATCTCTGGTGTTAGCAATTATACACGAACCCAAGCTGATCATTTTCGACGACATCACTAGTGGCATGGATAATGAAACACTGAAAAAGTAGGCTAATTTTTAACAATATTCAATAATGTTTAATCGCAATAAGTCAACCGTCGAATAAAGTTGTTAATTAACTCGTCGCTTCGTTATCTACGTTATATTACCGCATATTCTTAAACTCTCATTTCGTCGTCGTCTTCGGGCGATGGCGGCAACCGGCCGCTTGTCCTCAACAAATCCACCGGAAAAATTAAAAAAAAACCAATGCCTCCAGATTACACAAAACCAATCAGGACTGGACCATAGCGCCCAACAACAAAGCATCTCAACGTAAAAAGGTATCAAATCCAACTAGTCCCACATCACCCACGCTACAGCAGATTTATAATAATCAGCCAGTTCTACATTTGTCCGGTCAAACATTCGATTACGATAATACGTTATTTCAGTCACCTAATAAGACGTAAGTAGACCCAACTCTACCAATTCTTGCATTGATTTATCTTTATCAACTCCAAACCTATTCTGGCTTTCATCCTGTCGTACTTTAGACGATCCTAACGATTGCAATAATGTACCAATTATCATATCAGTTAATTCTCGTATAAAACCTAATATCCCAACAAATAACAGACCAATTTCCATTCATTCCTCTAATTTTAAATTTAATCTCAACAAAACTGATTGGTCTCTTTTTTCTCAACTTATTAACTCCTCCATCCATTCTCTTAATTCTCAGGCATGTCCAATCGATGATTATGTATAGTTCAAATGATTTTAAATATCTCTGAAAAAGCAATTCCTATCATACACAATAATCACATAAATTTACTTCCCTCCCCCTCTATCGGGAAAATCTTCTTGAACCAAAGCCGTGTCCAATCGCAAATCCTTATATAAATCTTTACTCCGTTCAGGCTTCATTCAAGATGATCTTATCTACCGCAACGCCAGCGCTGCAACCATGCGTCTACTAGAAGAGTCTAAAAGACTGGTAAAGAAACAAGTTTATATGAATCTTAATCCTTTTTCATCTAGTGAATTTGGAAAAAATAAGCATTTTCTGCTGGCGTTTGGTGGGGATAAGGAAGTCAGATTAAATTAGGTTTATGAGTTAAATATTCAAATTACAAATTAACTTTTATTTTATATTGCAATACCACAAAAAGAAGTATTATACAGTCAACTATCGAAAAATCATAGTAGCACGGTTATTGATGTTTTAAAGTTGAACGAAACATTACAAGACGTTCCATATTGTCAGGTTATTATTGTTATCAATTATAATACAAATAATAGTTATATTTCATATCAATCAGCCGTTTTGCGTCTTCAAAATAAACCATTTTTTTTTTTACGTAGAATTTGTAAAAAGCTCAGAAAATTTTCGGGGGGGGGGGGGACAAACCTCAAACCTCACCCTTAGTTGCGCCACTGAAAGCAGTTATAAGGTCCAAACTTGACTATGGTTTATAATGTTGCTATACATGTGTGTTTGATTTCACCAAATGTATTCTCATACTATCAACCTGCAGAATATAATACATTAATATATAAATACACACATAAATTATCCGACACAGCAAAATAAATACCCAAATGTCGCGGCCCACCGAGTTTTGCTTGGTACCTCGCCTGGCCAATCCGGCCCTGTTACATTCACGTAGACACATGATTATATTTGTAAGATAGCCGGATATTGGTTAGGTTAGCATAGCATACAGTTAGTTATCCATAGTTATTCATATTTATTAATCCAAGATCATTAAAAAAACTGAATACATTAGATATTTTTATACATTTATAAATATTTTCATAATTATGAAAATAATAATTATTGATTGATTTAAAACTTAGAATCATTGGCCACTAGAGTATTGATTTCATAAATACATTAATGTATCTGTGTATCCATATATCGATATATTTTTATTTTACTCCTGTTTTAGTATATGGACACTTTTATCGTTCATAAATGAATCCAGAAAATGTACAATAATTGTGTCGGCTAACAATAATTTTGACTTTATGGAAACATCAGTTACTCATGTAATGATCAATGTTCATGTATTCTTATAACAATTTTATGATTACTATTAATATTAGATAGGAATATTGGTCAATGGTAAAATTGTAGAAGAAGACACGACATTAAATCTTTTAAATAAATATGAAGCGTCGAACATAAACTGTTTGCTAATAAAAATTATTCTCAACGAAGATGACCAAATCGCTATCGTATGTATCATGATCATAATTTAATATATAAATTGTAAATCAAAAGTATAACATTTGTTTAAAGTCGGAAAATACAAATAAGTCATTCAACATTGAAAGTCATATTATACTCAATGGTACGTCACCACTAAATTCCATGTTTATTACAGTAAGTATAAATTTTAATAAGAAAATAATATATGTTTATTATAGTGGCTATTACAGGATTAGCAATAATTACTAATCCTGAAATATTTTATGTAATCAATTTTTTATGATACGTAGATGACATGATACATGGATGACTTGTATTTATAATAAATCCAATTATTACTTTCGTCATTTATTTTTAGCTAATAAGTTTATTTGTGTGATAAATTAAATCCTTTTGTGTTTCGGATTCATAAATTAAAATTTCAGAGTATCTACTTATTATATATGAATTTTAAAAATTTGATAAAATAAATTTGTATTATAATTATTAATATAAATTATGTGCAAATATAATGTTTAAATAGGTAGGTACATAATACTATTGAAATTTACATTTTTACTATCATTATATGTGATATTATACTATAGAGTGTATTTTAAATAATTAAGTAATACAATAAAAATATTTTAGACATTCGTAACAAATTATTTTATTGATTTTAGGAAAATCATACATCTCAAAAACGAAAAAGCGTATTACAAACACTGATACTAAATCATTTTTGTCCTTTAGGTGAGATAAAATTGTAAGTAGTCTTTCAATAAATAGCATACTAGATTTTACATTGATAATTATTCAACTACAGCATATATTGTAATGCGTCAAAATGCAACGCTGACTTTTTACATATAATGAAATTTAAGTGATAAGGGTTAATGAAAATAAAAATCTTTTGTCTCTAAATAAAAGTTTTATTTTTTTAAATTAGAAATAGGAGTTTTATTAATAAAATATAACTATATAAGTTATAAATATATCTCGGATTTAAATGCCCTAAAAAAAGCTACAAATGTGTTTTAAATACTCCATGTTGTAACTTCGAATTTTTTTTGGTCATTTTTTGCTTTTTTAACGGATTTTATACTTTTTTGAGAATTTTTAAATTTTTTGAGACATTTGATTCCGAGCCCTACTTATAACTAATTATAAAATATCAGCGTTATCAGATTATATTTTAGCAAATTTTATTAAAAATGACAGCAGATATCCACTGCAAAGAGTAAGCTTTAATTTTCTAATGAAGTAAAAGAATTTTAATACGGTTTGATAGCCAAACTTAATAAAGCACAATATAAAGCGGCCCCCACCGTAAATTTTCAAAAAATGTCAAACCAAGACCTAGCCTTAGTATAGGGTTCGGCGCAACTGGTATCCAGGTATCTTGGATGCTGAGCGAATTACACTATATTCTCAGTTGTCAACAGAGTAGATAATGATTTTTGAGGACTTAATATTATGCTAACCACTTTTTGATAAATCAATATCATGTTGTAAATCATTTAAAATTTCTTATGTCTTATAATAAAATTGAGTTAAACTAGACGTTATAAGAAAGACTTCCTGAAGTACAGAATTATATTAAAATATAGGAATACTTTACCATAATAATAGTCATAATACAATTATTAAATAATGTATCAATAAAATAATACACAAAATTACTTAAATTATTTTACTAGTGTTTTTTGAAGATGTTATTTGCTGTATATATGCTCATATGTGTGATACTGTTAAATATTAATTAATTTTTAAGTACTTAAATTAATGTTTTACAAATCTTATAAAATAATGTTATCGTATTTTAACAGAATGTTCATTGCCGTAATGATGTGCATGATAGTGTTCCCTTTAACTGTACATTTTGCATTTTTTGCATTTATGTATCCAAATAATGAATACCCCCAACAGACAAATATCATAGCTGTATATAATGAAGAAGCGCGTGTGACATACACGACGAACGAATTGGGCGAATGCGATGCTTACCATCGAATAGAAACAATGAGTTGTATATTCACTGAACAGCATTTAACTAGATCATTTATATTAGTAAATATGATTTGTAAATAAAACAATTATTACATTTATACAAAGCGACTTTGGAACTTTGAAGAGTACCTATATTTGAAGTGTTTTAGTCTTGACACAATTTTACAATTTTAATTAAAAATAATTTATGTTTTTCTTAAAAAATTAATTTAACCTTATTTTTATAAAATATCAAGTATAAATATATGAAATCTATAGTCATTTTTTATCAAGCCATTTATACAATTTTCTTAAAAGTTACATTTGTAGTATCTTACACATATAAGCATTTAAGCATTGCTATTTATTTCTAATATTTATATCTATTATTTTTCTACAATGTAATTTTATTGATTGTTTTTAGCTATTCCAGAATACTTTTTTAATTAAAAAATATCTTACAACAAGACGTTTAGTATGACTATTGTTATTATTACAATTTATAAAGCATAAGATAATAGGTATGTAAATTTCGAATAATTGTGATGTAACATTACGAGGCCATATTAGGCTATATTTATTGTTGGTATTATCGTAACTCATGGCATTAAAAAAAACAATTAAATTTACTATTTTCAATTTGTTTATTTAAATTTAAAAATAAGTATAAGTGTACAAGTTTTATTAGTTACAATTTATAACTAATTTGAATAAAAATTACTATTAATAATAAATTACACATTCAATAATTATACTATTTACATTTATTTGAAAAATGTTACAAAATTTCAGAATTTTTGGAATTAAAACCAAATCGAGTTTATTATAATCAATATCTAATTCATTTGCTCTAAAAAATAACTCATTAGACTGAATTATATTGAATAAGAAAACTGTTTTGTATTTTAAACATTAAATTAAAATAATTGTTTATTCGTATATTATTAAAAACACAATAATTTAAGGATCAATGTAATTTTCAAGTTAGTCGTTTAGTTTGAAATAACATTAAACGTTGAAAAAATAATATAATGAAATTGTCTGTGACACAAAAATACCCTATTTCACTCTATATATTAAGAGGCTTCAATAAAATGTATGATAATATTTTTTTACGTGAAACTTTATCTATACTTAAATTAATTAGTCATAATTTAGTTCACCCATTATAATTAATTTGGCTATTGCAAGAAATCGGCTTGACAAAATACCCTGAAACTCTTAGTATATTTTTTTTAATTAGGATAGGTGACACAAATATAATCGTTAGTTAGTTAACTTTTTTCACCTTAGTTTGAAAAAGTTCATTCTTTAAATATATTAGATAGTTAAAAATTATATAACCTTGGCTATTCATATTTTTTTTACACATTATACTCATAATGTTTAAAAAATTAGTATTATGTTAAAAAAAACAACTCATTTATCTATGTATATATAATATACAACTAAAATATTTAATATTTACACTATTTTTACTTCGAAATAGGTATATGTAACCAAAGAAAACATCACCAATTACGGCGATGGTAATAGCAATTATTATTGTTTATTGCATTTTAATCGAAACTATTCGTCAACATTACGACTACGAATGGAAAGGAAAATAAGAAAAAATACAGATTTTGAAAACAGTAAATTAATAATTAAAATGAGTATAACCGGTAAATTAAAACTTGATTTTGAACAATTATTATAATCTCGATTAAACGTATAATAGGTAACAAAAATATAAAAATATTATGTGTATATATATATACATAATGTTATTATTATAGATATAATATTCAGAAATAATTCTAAACCCATGTCAACAGTATAATTATTTTACATTTATTTATATACGAAATTAAGTCATTAAGAGTAATATAACTAATCAACTAATAAAAACCTTTACATTTATATTATATATTAATATACAGCAGTCATATTGACAATAGAGTATAGAAAATTATAATTTATTTTTATTACATTTTTTTATTTAATAATATATTTCTATATCTATCTCGTTATTTTCAAATATTTTATAGTTAAAATGTGGAAGTTATCAATATATGATTAGAGTTATTGACTTTTATTGTATATCTTATTTTTTACTAAAATGTAATTAATATTCTAATACCTAAAATAAATACTAAGATGAAGTTTTTTATTTTAACTACGATATGATTTGGTTATCCCTTTCCGTTTTTTTCAAACAAAATGTTTCATAAATAGATTATTCTCGAAAGTAATAATGACAAAATATTTTATAAAAATTTACATTTTATAAGCTTTTATGGTTCATTTAATAAAATGTATATTTATAATTCTAGAAAAAATACCCAACCATATTATAATTTACATTCAGGAATCTTGTATTTTTTAACATATCTTTTAAAAAAAACCTTGGAATCTTAAAATATTATAACACAAACACCGATAAAACACTATAATCAAAATAATAGTAGTTTAGAATCATATTTGTGTCCAATGATTTTTTTTTTTTTGTTTTTAACTAAATATATCTTATACCAGTAGGGTAGTATATAAATATAATTACATGAATTGCAAATCGATAGACTATTCTGGTATTATACATATTGTGAATATAATGAACTTTTTTCTATATAATCGCTGCGGAATGACCAGTATGATACCTACTAAATATGATATTATTATATTCTGTCTATATAGAATAAAACAACAAAAACAAACACTCAAACTCTACATTTGTATCGAATTTTTAAAGCTAACATTTTTCTAGTTTTACATACATTTATTAATTATAATTATGATTATTTACATTTTTATTTATATTAATAAAATAATATAAAAATATAGTGCAGGTGCGACTCCACTCTCCAAAGAAAAGTGATTTTTAGTGATTTCGTATAAATTAAATAGTGACTGTATGGTGTATAGTGATATTATAGACGTAATTAAGAGGGTGCTCCCTCACCCTATCTATCTCCCTATAGATTCCCCCAGAAATTTATATTACTAATATTTTGCAATAATTTATATTTTATGCTTGTATAACAATTGCTTACATTGCTGTATTATATATAACATATTACACGTTCATGATATTGTGATTTTGTATTGCGTATTTTGTGAAATATCCATAGAAATTCTTCAGTTTGAACAGTACCTAGAACCTATTACCAACTGCAGTCATACATTTTGTCATTTTCTTCTTTTAATACATTATATACTTGTAAAACGAAAAATAAAAGAAAAAAGAAAATAGCGTTTTATTTTGCCAAAAAAATAAAATTAATCTGGCAATTAGATGTAAGATGTAGATGTAGATGTCTGGCAAGTAACAAAGTATACAAACACATATTAGGTCCAAATATCCTAAAGCACTGTATATTTATTGTCCAGCCCATTTCCATAATTAATACATAGTTTTAACTGCTAATAACATAAAATCGATTAGAAACTATTTAAAAATCAATGAAAAATTAAACATTTTTTTTTTTTAATACTCCTAAACGAAACACTTTTCTTCTATCAGCCATTGTTAGCAATTTATCCAAAAGTTAAAACTAAATTACTATGCGCAACGCATTGGGTACAAAAGTATGTGGCAGTTTATGATTTAACTAGCTTTTTAAGTTTGTAGTAGTTTTAGATTTCATATCAGAATGAAAAGATTTCTCAGTTACAGATACTTCATTACTTTTAAATGATTTGATTCAGAGTTTATTATTTCAATTCATAATGTTTAATTATTCAGGTAATGATTAATTTTATCAGTACCGTAAATTGGACTAAGTATTTACGGTTGGAGATAATTTGAAGGGCAAACAAACTTGCGGGGGCTTTGCCTATTATTTAAACATTACAATTATATTATGTTAATACTTTATTCTATATTTTATGTAAGTAAGTAAAATATAAATTTTAGTATAAGATATACAGAACACATTTCTGAAATTAAATTAAATAATACTAAACCTAATTAAAATTTCGCCAAATATGTTTTAAAAAATAACCATAATATATATTTTTATATCAATACAGATTTAGAAATATTAAACACTAAAAATAACGTTTACATGTTTTAAATTTCAAAAGAATTTTATAAATAATGAAATAAAGAAAATAATTTTAATAATATTTTAAATGTTCATACCGAATTTTAGTTTTATTTTATTATAAAATATAATTATGCTAGTGCTGCAGTACATCAACAAGAATTTAAACTTTGGTTCTTAAAATATAAATTAGTTTATTATGACATGATTGATAATGTGGTCTTTTAGTTTACAGTTTTCTATATTTCTATAGTTCTTCTTTGCTATCAATTTCACTAAAAATTTAAAATTTTATATGGTATCTAAATTCAATTGTATTGTGTTAAATTGTTGTAAAGGGCTTCACCCGTTAATATATATAAATAAATAAATAAAAGCTTTGAAATCATATACTGTTTAAATATAGAGATAAATTTTTTTTTTTTTTAGATTGGCAAGTCGCAGCTTACGTAAAAAATAAACTAATAGAACATTACAAAGACTTTTTGTCGGATTATACGCATAGACATAGTATGTTGACGGATATCAACTACGAATCTATTAAGGTGACATTAACCCACTGCAACAGTGATCTATGTGTATAAATTACTAATAATCAATTATTTTTACAGTACAACTACACGACAACATCCGACCACAACATAAATACTACTTGCAGTCGATTCGTGAATTCGGGGCTGATTGTCATGTAAACTATAAATATAAACTATTTACAGTGAAATCTTATTAAAGTTAAAAGTTAAAAAGTAGTCCTACTTGTGAAAATATGTATGGTCGGAGTAGTGGGAACGTAGGATGTGAATTAGCATTTGAATCCCATATCCATTTTTTATTCGACGCATTTCCCCCCCATACTTTCATCGAAATGTGTTCATCAAATAAATCAGAAAATAATTCTGCTTCACTGTACACAATTAAAAATAAGAATTGTCGTTCCGCAAATTATAAAACTAATGTAATTCAATTTATAAAAATATCGGGAATGTTTTTCAATTTCTTATACACATAGGCTATATATTTATGGCGTATAAATTTGTCATACTAAGTTCTAACTCAATATTTTATGCCAAAATCAGCAAATAATAAAATAGACTAATTCTGTTGGTCAGTGGTCGAAATGGCTCAAGATAAGTGGAGGGATGCCTTACAATTCAGATTTCCTGATATCCATAACATTCTTCACACCTTATGTACCTTAAATATTTTTTTTTTTTTTTTATAGTTCACATAAGGTATATTATCTTAGTCCGTGGCTCTAAACACAGGTATAATACGGATTGCGAAACGGCATATACTAAACAATACGATAAGCCGGGCGCACAGGCCTGAATGTTAAAAACAATTAATTTCACCGAAAAAAAATAATTTCTTATATATAAATATAAAAATGATAATATGCAGAGATTATTCTAAGGATTTTTATCAACTACGCATTTTGTTTAAATAAGCCTATCAAAATAGAACTATGATCTCAAAATATACTGTCAAATTATAGTTAAAAATGATAAAATGTGTAGCTTCTATGCGAAGTAATTTAAAATGTAATGTATTTAAAAGATATAAAACAATTTACATTCGTGTTCAAAGTATTTTTTAGTAAATTTCCTTTTTACTTTGTTTATAAATCATAATGTAATGTATAAAATAACACTAAACAACATCGAATTAAAAATCAATTACGCAAAATTTTACTATCAAGTGCACATATACTTTATCCAAATACGCAAAATAAGCCCAACTGCGCTTTAGAATAAGCCCTGATAAAAAGTATATAATTTTAAAATACAAGTCTTAGGAGAAATGCGTTATTCTAGACAAAACAAGTAGAGGAATGAAAACTGTAAATATAAAAAAGTTGAGGGAGACCATCCCTTTGTATCCTCCCCCACTTCGAGCACTGCTGTTGGTACCTATTTAACCACTTCGACCACTATGATTACGGTACAGAATATATATATGTATATTTATGGCTCTGTACTTAATGTATAATAAATCTGGCCTTTTTTATTAAATTTCGTGTACCTACCTACTTTCAAAATTACACTGTATAAAATTATATATTAACCTATATCTACCTAGTATTATTATAATTTTAATTAGAAAATCTCTTACATACCCCGTGCTTATTCTACACTAGTTTGGCGTTTACTTTTCACTCGCTGGTTGCCGTTCAGCTTCTGAGGATTACTAGCAATGATTATTGCACCAACGAATGGATACTATATCTATCACATCTTGCAATCCAATTACCAGCAGTCATTGTGTTCAACTTATTTACAGTAGCCTACATGCACGTACTGTACAACGTCAAAGCTTATCATGGCTACTTGTTTTTGTGTTTGTTATTCGAGAGCATCTGTGGAATAAACTTAGGTAAGAGCGATAAATTGTGAGGTCTAACCATCCGACAATAGGTTTATACTTAAAAAATTTACAAGCCGTATAAAAATTATGCCAACGAATCGTGGTTCAAAAAAATAATGATAAAGTCGTCAAAGCATTCGACGATATATTTACACAATATAGGTATCGAGAAAAATTAAAAAATGAAATACTTGGGTTACATAATTATATATTGTTATAAGTTTATCCAAAGTGTTTCATGGCGATATACCGTTGTGTTATCATTCGATTATACTTTAATTTAATCAAAAACTTTTATTTTCTTCACTGGTTAGTATAAATATGTGTACTAATCAGGGACTGAGACCTTAATGATTTAACGGTTCCGGTTAGGGTTCGAGTATTTAAAAAATTTTAAAAGGGTTTAGGTTAAATTTCGGGATTTCAAAAAGTTCAAAATTTAGGTTTCGGTTAGAACCGGCTTAATTTTAGATATTTATAGCTTAATTATAATCAATTGGTTAACAATTTTAGGAATTTGATAGACTTTGAGCAACAAGAACATTTATAATGTATTAATTATCTAAATTTTAATATTCAATTGATCAATTCCAATTTAAAAAATTAATTTTACTAGATAATTAAGGATAATGTTTCTCTCTCAAAATAAAATTATATCAAATAAGAATAGCTTATCTATATAATATGTAATATTTAATAGTCATTTTTTTATAGGTCATATCTTAAGTTTTTTATCAAAAAATTACCTCAATATTACTATAATGCAATATTTTCAACTTATAATATGCATCTACACCTCAGGTAAATTCAATACAACATCATCAATGGTAAATCATTATGTATTATTAATGTATTCTTTTACTAGGACTTTGGTGGCCAACAAGTGGATCATACAATTTGAAAAATATGATGATTAACTACTTACCGATTTCACTGGGCAATAATTTTATCAGGAATTTAACTGAAAATCAGTATTTTGATGTAAAATTATTATGTATCTTACTTTTTTGGGCAATTATACTTGTGATTATCACAATTATAAGAACCCATATTGGAAAAAAGCATATGAAGTTAACAAATCCAATATAAATATTATTTATTTCTCACTCCCTCATTTTATTCCTTATTATATAAAAGTATAGGGTGTCTCAAAAATAACGCAGAATTAAAATCTGCTAAAAATTAAATTTATTTCGTTTAAAAAAATATAACAAATATATCATTTTCTTTTGGAGAAGTTAAGGTTTAACAGTGAAAAACAATATCGGGCATATTACCATCCCTATAAGCCCTATAGGCAATTATTCTTTCCATAAATTTTATCTTCACTCAATCATACATTGCACATTAAATTCGTTGAGGACACGACGAATTTCTTGCTTAAGTTCCAAGACATTTCGAACCAGTGGCGTAACCAGAACTTTTAATGCCCGTGGCAAAATAATCCAATCGGGCCCTTAGTTTTATAAATTTGGAAAAAAGAGATATGAGGAATAGCCTACAAAAACTAACCACCTATAAAATTCTACCCTTTAAGGTTACAAACAATAAAAAGCATGTTTAGTGTAATATTATTTTTATAGTAAAATTGTAATAAACATTTTTTGGTTTAAAAAATATATACAAAGCAATACAAAAATTTAAATATTTAAAATTTCTTCTTTCTTGCTTTTGCTTCGGCAAACATATCGATTAAATTTTCAAAGTCAACTTCTCGGACTGTTTCTTGTTCGATTGAAATTAATGCCAGGCCACTTAAACGATCTTGCATCATTGTACTCCTTAAATATCCTTTAATAATTTTTAGTTTCGAAAATGACCGTTCCGCGCTTGCAGATGTAACAGGAATTGTCAAAAATAATAAAAGAGCAGTACATACTTCTGGGAAACTGGCTGTTAAAGAATGATTTTTCACCATTAAAAGTTGAGCAAGATCTCTAGTTGAATTAAGTTGACTTATTTGATTTTTAAGAGTTGATCTTACAGCTAAAATTTCACTTGTAAATGTTTTTGATATGTCTTTATCATATTTGTTTACCAACTTCGTAGCTTAATTTAAAAGCTCTAAATCTGTTGCTGATGTAAGAAAAGATGGTTGTAAACATGTGAAATTTAGCATTAATTCATGAAAACTTGAAAAACGTTTACTTATTTGATTTATTAATATATCCAACGTTCTATTAAAAATAGTTACACGAAATAAGCTTTCTGGACAAGTTAAACGCATATCAGTACATAGTTCATCGAAATATCTTTTTACAACTTTACGACGTTTGTTTTGAAACTCTGTAGAGATAGACCAACTTTTAGCAACTATATTTGCTTCTTCCAAGAGATCATTAAAATTACATCTATATTCTTTTAATTGTTCATAACAGTTTTTTAATAAATTGGATGCATTATCTAAATCAACTGACTTTGACTGGAGAATTTTAGAAGTTAGGTTTATAATTTGTAAAATTTTACATTGAAAAACTAAAGTGCAAATAAAATTATAATTTTCAATTTGTTTTTTAATCCCTTCAGCTTCATTTCGCTCATCTAACTTAGAGCTGCAAAGTATAACTTTTGTTAAAGCTTTTTGAATTTCAACAAATCTAATTTTAAGCGCAAAAACTGCTTCATAACGACCAGCCCATCTTGTGGGATTAAGTTTTTTTATTAATAATCCATTTTGACTGTTCGATTCCTTAATTAAATCTGATAATATACGCCATCTTACTATACTATGTCCAAAAAAAACAAAAACTCGTAGAACAACATCAAAAAAGATTTCCATTTCTGTTATTTCTTTCACAGCATCATTGACAACTAAATTTAAATTATGAGTAGAGCAATGGACATAAGCTGCGCTTGGCTCAATGTCTTTAATTCTTTTTTGTAGGCCATTATACATACCACTCATATTGGCAGCCCCGTCATAGCCCTGACCACGACACTTGGCGATAGACAATCCCTTTTTTTCAATATTCTGTAATATTAGTTCAGAAAGAGAAGAGGCAGATTGATCAACAACTTCATGAAATGCTAAAAAAGTTTCCTTAACACATACATATTTTGGGTTTCCGTATTCATCTTTTTCTATAACACAATAACGATAAATTTCACTTAACTGATCAACCTTTGAAATATCTTGCGTTGTATCAATTATAATGGAAAAAAAAGGAGCTTCTTTAATATTAAGTATTAACTCGTCTTCGACTTTATTTGAAATTAACTGTATTAGTTCATTTTGAATTTTAGGGCTACAGTAGTTTACTTTATTATTACCCTGATTAATAACTTTTTCTAGTACTGGGTCGTATTTTGCAAGTAACTCAATAAAACAAATAAAATTGCCGTTTTCTCCTTTTCCACTACCGAGCTTTTCTCTGTGGTCGCGAAAAGGTAAACTTCGCATAGCTAATGTAAGAGTAATATTTAAAATTCTCTCTAAAACCTGACGCCAAAATAATTTTTCTTTTTTTATATTCTGTTCTAGTTCTTCGTTTAATGTTTTATTTAAAAACCATTTTTCATATACTAAACAGGAAATGTAGTGAACGTGTGATTGCTCGTGTCTTTTAATACCATCTACTATGTGTTTCCAATCACAATATCCTGTAGTCCAAATTTCTTGAAAGCCAGTGGATGTGCGATCTCCAAATAGCCAGCATGACCTACAATACGCTTTTTGAAGTATAGTCGAATAACATAGCCACGAACGTTCGATTTTTAAACCAGATTTGGACACTGTAAAATAATACTTTTCAGAAAAAGATCTACCGTCTGAATTTTTAGCGAAAGGCCCTTTAGCTTTAGGTTTACTATGCCCATTTTCAATTATGAACCGTTTAGTTTGAGCATCTAAAACGATTTCTTTAAAATGTCCAATATCCGTCGGATCAGAAGAAGTTTCAATAATATTTTTAAAAACAATATCAAAAGATTCATTTTGATTCGTACCTTTATATGAACAGCATGACAACATTTCTGGGGCGGATTCTTCATTTTTTCACTATCTACAGAACTAAGTTCAACACTTTGTTCACTATTAACCTCGGTATTAACACTTAATTATTATTTCACTTTTATTTTCACGAGGAATGGTACTAGAAAAAAAACTACTAATTTTAGGCAATTTTAATAATTTTTCTTGTTCTTCCGTTTTTTTCTTACGCTTTTCATACCCACTAGGTATTTTTTTCGACATGATTGATCACAATACCTATACGAATACGAATCACTGATTCACAGCAGAAGGCGAAAACAAAATCGGTCTACGACACGTCATTGACTAACAAAATAAAATATAAATTAAAAGAACATAGTGTAACAACGACTAAACGACGGTCACTTTTTCCTTGAATAGTTCTAATCTAATCTAGTATCTAAATATAACATATAAATGTTACGTTCGGTTTCAAAGACAAGCGATTGCGATACGCTTCATTGTTATTTCCATTCTACAAATAACAATATCATTAAATGTATAATAATAATATTAATATCGACAATGTCGACGGACTGGTAAATAAAATAATCTATAAAAATAATCGTGATCAGTTATTAAATTTATTTTATTTTACAAGAATATACATATATTTTTAAACAGAATCGTATTTATAAATTTCACTAATGGTGATTTGTTTTTGAATGTACTATTTTTTTCTTGAAGGGCCCTCTAGAGTCGTGGGCCCGTGGCCCATTGCCCGTCATGCCACCCTATCGTTACGCCACTGTTTCGAACTTTGTTCTGGTAAACTCGTGACTTAGTGTACCCCTATAAGAAGAAATCACATGGCGTCAAGACGCAAGAACGTGATGGTTAGCTTTGAACACGCAACGAGATTAGTCTGTTCGAGAACTTCTCACGCAACAGAGTGATTGTTTTTCTTGAAGTGTGACAAGTTGAAACCAAACATTTTTATGTTCATTTGGTCCAAATAAAATTACTGGGCTCAGTAGGTATTCTCAGTGCCGTAGAAACCGCCGGTGCAGGCGATGCAATGCACCGGGGCACTTGATCTTAAAAGGGCCCTACGGCCCTACGCCCTTACCGATTATCTGATAATGTGACCTAAAATATACAACAAAGAAAAAAGAAAATTATCTTATAAAATTATATTAAATACTATTGTGAGATGATGAATAAAGGCCTTTTAATATATTATGTTGATAGACGCACAGACGGTAATAATTACATAATAATATGTAACTATATTACCTATAGTGTCGTTAGCATGAGACACGAGTTCGCTGAAACTTATGATATTTCTGGCTTGCGAGCGACTCTATCAGTTTCGGTTCACGTTATCGCGATTACCTATTTCAAAACGTGTATTTATAGATTGTTGTGTTGAACAGTGTATCTATAACCAATCAGATAAACATAACATTTGTGATTTGTCGACTACGCGTCGTTGTCATTCATTCCTTAATACGCATGGAATATACAGCCTAGCTCTAGTGTACGAGTATCACTTATTTTTATTCCAATTAAAAATGTCTACCAAAAAAACAATTAAGTGGATATGAAAAACGAAAAAAAAAATACAACAGGGAGAACATATTTCAAAGTTCCCTAAAATAAGTGGTTTTTTTACAAAAACAAGTGGATTGCCAACCAACGGTATGTATTAAATTATTATATTTTATAAATAAATATGAAAGATGCATAGGTACAATAAACAATAATACAATTTTTTTTAGTAAAACAATTCAGTAAATTATTATTACATATTTAGATACATTGTAAAATAATACTAAGTTATTTATAATAACAAAAATAATGTTCAGCCTTTTCTCAGTATTTATTTTTCAAGACTTTTTCACTATTATTTATTATTATTATTATTTTTACAAGTAATGTATTATAATATGAAGAATTTTTATAAATATTAATTATTATTTATTTTCAATATACGTATTTATTTATGTAGTTTTACCTGAACATATGGACAAATTTGTTCACTCTGACAAAAATTCGACCACAGAATTAATATCAAATGACACACACACAGAAAACAAGACAGGAGTGTTGCTCAGTTTTAATACTGAAACTTGTAAGTCAACTGATGAAGATGAAATTATTGAAAGTACTACTCTCCCGGGTAAGTTAACTTTCTAAATACTTGTACTAAAAGTATTTTGCACCTGGACTACTTCTCTGTTGGCGTGCCTGAGAACCATTTTTATTTATTTGTAAAATGTATGTAGTTTTTACTGAACATTTGAACAATTGTTTCGCCTCTGATGGAAAATCGACTAAAGAATCTGATACCACCGAATTTACTGAAAACGACGATGACTGTGGTGAGTGTTTAATGATTATTTTAGTAAATTAACATAAGATAATATTAATTTTTTTTATAACGAAGTTCAAATTTTTTTAATTTAATGCTCTTTCGACTTTTTCAATTGCTATTTTTCTTTGAATAAAATAACCAACAAAATTATCTAATTTATACTGACTATAAACCTTATACTATAATTTCAAAATATGAAATTACAGAACTCGATTTATCAGCAAGATTTCCAACTGACCGAGGAATGTTTAAAAATTGTATAAGCGATAAATTAAAACGTGAAATTCTGAAGTATGGGCCTTGTAAGCCAGAAATAGATTTTCCTCTTAATGACTCGAAAAGAAAATTTTCAAAAATATATTACTACGTGAAGTTAAAAAATGGTACACTTATTCCTAGACCGTGGCTTTGTTATTCTGTAATTTGGGATATGGTTTACTGTGAAACTTGCTGGATTTTTTCTGATAAAAATAATTGTAATCTTAAAAAAGAACGGGTAGAAGGAATAAATGACTGGCAACATCTCTCTCAGAAAATAAATATTCATGAATTTTCACTGTCACATTTGAATGCTATGAAAGTTAGATCAACGTGGACAAAAAATTTAACTATCGACAAAGAATTTGAAACACAAATATCAAAAGAAGCGAAATTTTGGAGAGATATTTTGACGCGCATAGTTAAAATAATATTGACTTTAACTTCAGGAAATACTGCTCTAAGAGGCAATGAAGGAAAACAATATTCTGAAGGAAATTTTCTTAGAACTGTAAAATTAGTAGCTGAATTTGATCCTATTTTAAAATCAGTATTTGACAATGAAAAAAAATTTAAAATTAAATATTTGAGCCCTACTATTCAAAACGAATTGATAGAAATTCTAGCTTCAAATGTAAGACAAATTATTTGCAACGAAATATCAACTTGCAGTTCTGGATTTTCAATAATTATGGATTCTACACAGGACATTACCAAAGTAGATCAAGTTAGCATCATAATTAGATATGTTATAATTGATCATGAAAAGCATGTTTTGCAGATTAAAGAATCATTCATAGGATTTTACAAAATAGACCAACATAGAGCACAAAATTACGAAAACCTAATTTATAAAGTTCTTTCCGATACCAATTTAGATATAAAAAAAATGCAAAGGGCAAGGGTATGATGGGGCCAGTGTCATGAAGGGTATGTATTCAGGAGTTCAGAAACGAATTATTGATAAAGCTCCAAACGCCACTTATGTTCATTGTTGTGCTCACAATTTGAATTTAGTAATATGTGATGCCGCTAAAAGTTCTTCAGACGCTCTACAATTTTTTGAAACAATACAATCTATATTTAATTTTTTCAGCTCAAGCGCACCTCGTTGGGCACTTTTAGCTTTTGGAAATGAAACCAATGATATTCGTAAAAAAACACTTAAAAAACTTTGTCCAACACGTTGGGAAGCTCGGCATAAATCGTTATTTGCTCTTAAAGAAAAATTTGTAGATGTTTTAAAATCACTTTCAATGATTTTGTTAACTAGTCATAAGTCAGATGAAAAAATTGTAAGTAAATCCTTAAAAAATTCAATGGAGTCTTTTGAATTTGTTCTTATGATATGTCTATGGGAAAATATTTTAAGGTCTACTCAATGTGTATCAAAAATGTTACAATCTAAAAAAATAAATATTCAAAGTGCTTGTACTTTTCTAGATCAAGCTTATCAGTCAATTTCGAATCTTAGAGATAATTTTAAAGATATTTTAAATACAGCAGAACTAATATGTTCAAAATGGAATATACCTACAGATTTTAAAACTAAGCGACAGGCATTTGCTAAACATTATTTCGATGAAGTAGATGGAGATAGACGTTTAAATACAACAAAAGATAATTTTAAAGTCAAGGTTTTTTTTCCAATTATTGACACCGTTTTGTTTCAAATACGTAGACGATTTGAAGGATTATATGAAGTTGCAAGTACGTTCAGTTTTTTAAATCCTTCTTCATTAAAAGAAAACAATGAAGCTGATATCATCAAAGCATCTTATGATTTTGCTGTAAAATACGACATAGACATTAGTTCTGATTTTACTTGACAAGTATTGTCTTTTAAATCAATTATTAATCAAATTGAAGAAAAATTTTAAAATCTAACACTAATATTCAAATTAGGTAGTTAATACAATTAGTATTAATAATACTAATTTCTGACTTATGAAAAATATAATTTCGATAATTTTTTTTTATTATTATTATTATTATTATTTACAAAGCTAAATTAAAATAAAAGCCATCAAACCTATAATTATTAATAATATGTAACTACATTTTTTTTTTTTTTGAAATTTGTACAAAATACAATTTAAATTATATGTACCTATACTAGTTTTTATAAGATAATAGTATGCATTTTGTTTTAATTTTCTATGTGAGTATAGTATACGAATGAAATATAATATAATCATTATCATAAGTAATCTAATAATTTTAAATATTCAATACCTAATATAATCTAGTTATTGTTATAATATACCTCTTAACGTTTTCGATGTTAACTTATTAAAATTCTTTGATATTACATTAAATTATATAAAACTTGTGTAAATTTGTTTGTCTTCATATATTTATTCTAATATATGGTACACTATAAATGGTGTACACTATTTATGGGGCACTTATACCATAATTTGCACCGGGGCACACAAGTATCTAGCTACGGCACTGGGTATTCTTGTATAGTTACAACAAGATTGCACAACTTGATACACTTCATTATACGGCACCGTGTAATTTCTTCTTATAGGGATACACTAAGCCACGAGTTTACCAGAACGAAGTTCGAAATGTCTTAGAACTTAAACAAGAAATTCGTAGTGTCCTCAACGAACTTGATGGCAATCTGTGATCGAGCGATGGTAAATTTTATGAAAATAATAATCACCCATAAGGTTAGTAGGGAGGGTAATATATCTGATATTGTTTTTCACTGTTAAAACTTAATTTCTCCTGAAGAGAATGATATATTTGTTAGGTTTTTATAAAAGAAATAAATTTAATTTATAGCAGATTTAAATCCTGTGTTCTTTTTGAAGTACCTTATAATTTGGATTTTTATAGGATTTAGGTTAAAAGATGATCAAAGTATTTTTGTAACTGATTATAGTGGTGGAATTAAGCATTTTTACGATAGAATTAAAGAACATGAAATGAGCAAAACCCATATAAAAAATTTAGAATTATTTTTCATATTTGACAGTAATAAAGACATCATAAGTTATTTCAGTAAAGCACGAGAAATAAAACTCAGAGAAGTACAAAATAATAGAAATATTTTGGAACGTATTATTAAGACAATCAAAATGATAGGCAAAAGGGATCTTAGTTACCGTGGTGCTAATGAAGCATCTTATACTTTAGATAATGATTCATTAGATCATGGAAATTTACTCGAAATATTAATGATAATTTCTAAATTTGATCCTGTACTAAACAACCACGTGCAAAATCGCATCGAAAAAAGAAAAAAATGGCTGGTACCGAATTGGTTCCCAAGCTCCAAACCCACACACCAAATTGGTTCCCGCCTGAAAAAGTTATTTTATTAGGTATAGCCGAATTGGTTCCTGTTTGAAAAAGGTATTATATTTGGTATAGCCAAATTGGTTCCCGTTTAATTACGCACATTTTCCTTCTTAATTTTATAGGCTTAGGACTGTCAACTTAAAAGTAGGTTTGATTGATAATGTGCGTTAATGTGTGTTAAAAAAAAATGATAAAATATATACAATTTTAAATCGTTGATTTGGAAGTCAACTAGTCATCACTTAGGTATACGAAGTACAAATAATAAAATATAATAAATACAATTTAAAACCACTGATTTGCAAATTTGAAGCTAACTTTCTTTAAATATTCAATTCTCGTAATTTTCTCATTAATGTAATCTGTCATACAATTTTCCAAGTATTTGTTATTTCTTTCCTATTTGCTTGTAATTTGCTAGTCTCTAGTAATCTATAGTCTTCTATATTTCTATACTCTATCTTATAGATATAATAATTGTGACTATTATTATGTCATAAATATAGTTTTTAAAATTTTGTTTTTTACTCTTTATGCACTGGTCCGCTAGATTTAAATTTTTAACATTGTAAGTAAATTATTTTAAAAATTAAAATTGTCCTTATTTTACCTGTACACAAACGGGAACCAATTCAGCTATACCTAATAAAATGCCTTTTTTAAACGGGAACCAATTCGGCTATACTTAATAAAATACCTTTTTCAAACGGGAACCAATTTGGTTACTCCCAAAAAAATACACGACAAACAAAGTAACAAAGGACGAGGCAATCTTGTTAGTTTTTTGTCGAAAACTACTGCCAATGTAATAATTGAAGGAATAACTAAATTAATAAAACAGAAAATATCTGAGAAAATTAAACAAGCCAATTTTTTTACCATACAAATTGATACCCCACAGGATATCAATGTAGTCAACCAGTGTTCCGTTGTAGTTAGATACGTAAATAACCAAGTTAATGAATGAGTTATAAGCATTGTTAATTGCAGTGCCTGAATTGATAAAATTAAAGAAGGGGGACTCTATTTGCTATAAGAAAAAGAGCGTCCCCAAAATTTGTTAAGCGTTATAATTATTACGTAATATTACGTTAAAATTTCTGAAAATTAGTTGGGGTACTCCGTCCCCTTGCGCCCCTCCTCTCAAGTCGAACACTAGTTAATTGTAAATTGGGTAAAGGTAAAGATATGCACGAACTTGTTTCAAACGAGTAAAAAAAATTAAATTTAGATATTACAAAATGTATTGGGAACTCAACTGATGGTGCAGCTAACATGCAAGGCCAATATAAAGGATTCACTAAGTGGTTAACTGATGATTCACCCAAATAACTTCATGTATGGTGCTATGCACACGTACTAAATTTGGTTATATCGGATGTAACTCAGAAAACTAATGAATCTATTTCACTTTTTAGTCTTTTGAACAAAGTTGCAGTATTCGTTCGTGAATCATATATACGAATGCATTTTTGGAAAAATACGACAGAAGGTAAAAATATTAGTTTCATAAGTACGTTAGATGAGACAAGATGGTTATCGAAAGAAAAATTGCTAAGAAAAATTTTTGGATCTTTAAATGACTCTCAAAATTCAATCTTTGTTCAAATATGTCAACCGTTGTTTAATATTTCGACATCAGAAAGTATGAACTCTGATACACAGTTTAATGCTAACGTGTACTTAAAAATGTTAATAAAATTTGACACAATTATAACGACACAATCATTTCTTCTTATTTTTAAAAGTACCACTCTATTATCAAACTATTTACAAACATCAGGAATGGATTTGCTACAATCATACAAAATGGTAGAAAACACAATAAAAACGTTAAAAGATGCAAGTAGAAAATGTATTGATGTGTTCGAAAAAGTTAAATATTTTTCGTCTGCTATGAACGTGATTTTTGAAAATGAAGATACAAAATTCAGAGTTGAAGAAGATTTTAAAAAAATTAGAATTAAAAGAAAACTAAAGTTTCACGACAAAATCATCCTTACGGTTGTTCTGGAAAAAAAATATGAAATTTATGTTTATAATATAACCTTGGATACTGTTATTGAGAGTTTAGAAAATAGATTTGCAAAGCATAAAGAAATACGTACATTTGTACGTAGACTTTGAATGGCTACATCCTATTAACTTTAAATTAATAAAAAATTTACCTGAAATGCGATGAATAAATTAGCTTAGCTTTTGACAGACTTTTCACCAAATATTGATAAAAAAATATTACAAGAACAATTAATAGATTTTGCCGGAAAATGGGATTCACTTTCAAAAACATTACTTGAAAAATATTACTTTATGACATTAGATCTAGAAAAGAACGATGAAGAAGAGGAATTTGAGTTAGCCATAGAACATCTTGTACATAAAAAGACATGTAAAAATTATATATTTTGCCGTTATCAAATTTTATGGAAGTATAATTTGTATGCTACAGCATATATAGAACTGTTTTTAGCATACAAGTTTTTGTTAACATTATATATAACTCAAGTTCAGTACGAAAGAACATTTTCGAAATTAAAGTATATTTTGAACAAATTAATAAGTAATTTAAGTCAAGAACGTGTGGAAGAATTTATTATAATGTCGTGTGTGAAAGATATACTATATTCTTTACAAAATGTAGGTATAATTGAATATGTTGTGCAAAGCAGTAACTTAATGAAAAAATTACTAATTGGATAGATAAATAATTGATTAATATATTTTATTACATAATTATATAACAATAATAATAATAATACATAATTAATATAGCCTATAGAGGTACTACGTAGGTAACTATGTTTTTTCTTTTATTTACAATTAGTAATTAGTAAGTACCTACAATAAATATTGCCATTATTATTATTATATTTAAAAATATTTTTTTAATCTAAAAATTGTATTTAAAAAAAAAAAAAAATAACTTAAAATAAGTACTATTATAATAATATATGATTTTTATTTAATAATTATTATAGAATTATATGTCTATATCTATGTATAATAATTAGTCGACATTTAATATTTTATTTTAAATAAAGGATTATTAATTTTTTATCGTTTAACTAAACTTTTAATTTTTAATTAATGTAATAAGTTCAATTTAGAAATAAAAATGGAGATTTGGTGTCTTCCAGACCATTTTCTCTATTGTAATACGAATATAAAATAATTTCACTTTGGTAGGGCTGGTAAAATTTTTTAGCCTGGGTCGGTTTAAAGACCCAATCCAATCCTGTTTGTACGTGATATAAATCTCTATAATTTTAATTACATAATTTTTACAATAAGTTCAATAGATAATAGATTATAATCAAAAAACGACACCAACATTATTTTGCAATTTTACAACCTTCTTGGGGCATGTGAAGAGAGTAAACATAACCAAATTTAACTCAAATTACTTTCTTATAATAATTTATCCCAACAAAAACACTTCGTCGAACTCCGTGTAAAAAATTGCTAAGAAAAAAAAACTAGTCATCTATAAGACTTCAGCATTATAAAGATGTGATATCATTCATAAATGCTAAGTTAACTTAAATTTAAAAAAACTAGTAATTTATATGACTTAAACATTATAAAGATGTGATATGAATAAATGCAAAGTAAATTAAATATACAAATAAATTTATTCTATCTCAATCATTTATTTACTTTACGAGAATTTATTTTCTTTATAAATTAATAGTTAAGACTTTTTTATAAAACAAATTTAGTAACATTTGTCATGGAAATTTGTTAAATAGTCCAGTCATAAACAGACATGTTTATTTGTCGAAATAAATAAATTCTCTCAAAGTAAATAAATGATTGAGAGCGGATATACACGTCTACAATAAACGTCGCTAGAAACATGAATGTTGATAACAGAAATGACGAATACGATAAGCGAAGAAAGAGATAACGGCGGGAACCGCAAATCGCAACCGCTGCCCAGTAACGAGCGCTTCCCCGCAGTAAGGCATTTGACTGGCTTATCATAGTTTTATAAATTTTTTACATTTGATGAATATAAATTATACTATCTCCTAATGTATATGGTAGGTTGGCAGTAGAGCAAATGAATAGTTGTAATGGAGACTGGAGTTATTAAATATAATTACTTTATTACATATTAATTACTAGAAAAATGTAGTTATTTTTTTACAAGAATGGAATTAAAGGTTTTAACTCTTAATATAGTATATAACATAATATAATTTATATTCATCAAATGTAAAGAATTTATAAAACTTTACATTATAATATACCTAATAGTATATTAATATATACCTTTTAAATTAAAAGAGATCTTCTAGCTCCTACATTTTACATTTTACATTTACATTTACATTTACATATACATTTACATTTTACAATTTGAAGTTATGATAACGTTCTTTTATGATAAACCAGCCAAATGCCTTACTGCGGGGAAGCGCTCGTACCCAGTAAACCACCGCAACGTAAACGTATACGGAATAAAGGGGATAATATGGTCTCGTGCACTGCTTGCGTGAAACGTTATAACTAAAAACGGTCGAGCACAATATCTTTTTGCTTCAAAAATACTTGACTTTTTTTGCTAATATATTCGGCATTATTCAACCAATTTTTTCAAAAATGACAAAGGTATAATCTACAAATCATGCCCGATCTATTGATACTACATACAGACCAATCCGTTTATTAATTAGGTCTGTAGCCCTGGCTAAAGAAAACGGGCAAATTTACACACATTCAATGGGCTCTTTGACACTTTTCACACATTCAACTCTGGCTCGTGTAATGTAATACGGTAGTAACCGCTTCGCTTTTTTTTTTTTTTTTACTCAGCTTTACGTCACTACCGTCGCGCTGAATTTATTTTACATTTAAATGTAAAATACGTAAAATACGCCTATTGACGAGACATTGCGAAGGCAGGTTAGTTTATAGAACACATCGCGTTGGGTGAAGTTACAGTTATTCGGTAGATCGAAACATGGTATGTCTAAATTACAGGAGTCATCAAAAATTGAGGATTTAGAGTATACTGAACTGAAATTGGTAGCAAATAAGTTGACAGACTTGCTCTGAGGAGCTGAGCACACCATTCAAGGATAGAGATTTGGGGACAGTATTATCTGAGCGATTTTTACGAATAAAATCACAAAATTTGTTCAGATCTTTAATTAGAAAGTTTTCTGTTCACTTTACAAAAGATCTATGACATTGTCTAGACAAATATTTACATTCAGCACGAATAAAAGAGAAAGCTTTGTAGTCAATAGGATCAAATGAAGATTTAAATATGATATGAAGTTTATTCTTATAGCGAATTAGATTAATTAATTATTTAGAGACCCAAAAAGGAAAATTAGATTTCCTGTAGTTAACTTTAGGAACAAATCTCAATATTGATGTATGCAGGGCATCTATAAATAAGTTAACTGATAAATTAAAATTACAAGGAAGAAAGATATCAGTGGGTAGTTAGCTTTATGGAAGTTGTGGTAAAATGGCTTCTATTGAACTGATTTGAGCATGAAATATTGCCAAAAGATAAACGCAGAGGAGGTATATTATATGGATCAGGAGTGACAAATGGGTCAGGTGAACAACTAATGCTAAGTTTATCAGTGTAGCTGAAAACAAGGTCCAATAATGAGTTGAACCTATGATAAAGTTTTTTTGGTAAAATCCATAATATGCGAACGTTTCAGGAACACATAGGACATGGATAGAGGAACGTGAGGAATAATGTAAGCCGTGTGCATCGTTAGCCCAGTTAATATCAGGCAAATTAAAGTCAACAAGAAAAATATAAGTGTGGTTAGAAAACTGGAGGATATTGATCTCAACTGAAGATATGTATTGCTCATATGTTAGAAGAGTGGAATTGGGATGAATATACACACTCCCAATTAAAATATTTAGAGAACTAATAGTGGCTTGTGCACCAACATGTTCGACATTAGAAATAGGTACACTTATTAACTTAGATGAGAAATCTTTTCTTATACCTATGAGGACACCACCACCCCTTAAACAATTACTAGTAATATTATTCCTATCATATCTATAAATATTATAATTAGGTAGACCCAGCTCAGAATCAGAGATTGAATCAATTAACCAGGTTTCTGTTAATATAATAAAAACATAGTTTACACTAGCAACATTACAATTAAAATTAAATAGTTTGGTCCGAAGACCATGGCAGTTTTGATAGAAACCTGATATTTCTTCAGCTTTGAGCACAGAGTTTAGGACTGGATATCTCGACGGCGATGCAAAAACATTCCGTTTTTTGACTTGACCACTTTAGGCAGACTATTTAAATATTTGATGGATAGATTATTTTCACCATCTTTATATCTCTGATCAAGTTCAAGGTGACATGACTTGAGCAGTGTACAGAGGGTTTCTGACAATTCGGAGGTCAGAAGAAAAAACCTTACTATCAGTTTTGGCATAGTAAAAATCCCGTAGCAATTTAGTTGCAGCTTCTTTAGTTTGAAATATTATTTTCAGTGGACGAGTATTGTTTGAGCTCTACCAAGACAAAATAATTTTAAATTAGAGAAGATTGTCCGTCCAAGAGGCTCAATAAGACTGGAAAAGGAGACTTTATCATCGGATATACATAGTTGTATAGTATATATAGTTGGGTAGAGGATGGAGACGACTCAGGTATGTTATAGGCAGGAAGATTGTAAGAACATCTCTCGCGTTCAAAAAGCTCTTGCATGACTTGGGTAACGATAGCCGAGGGCTGAGTATTCAACAACAAGGCTTCAAGGGTTGTTACTTTAGTGTTAAGTTGATCAACATTAAGAAGTAATTTAGCGTTTTCAGTTTTGAGACTGATTACGAATTCAGATAATTATATGTAGTCATTTATCAGTTTGTTAAGCTTAGAAGTTAAGGTGTTCGAGAGCGTACTGGTAGTAGATAAGGATTCATCATGAAAGTTATTAAGAGCTGCCATAAGATCACTGTTTGATGGTGTTACCACTGGATGAGTTTCCGGTGAAGTAATCTTGGTGTTAGCTCTATATAATAATGAAAAATATGAGACGGTGAGAAATCAAGTTAGTAAGTTAAAAAAAAGGGCCATCCTAATAAATATTAATATATTTTTATTTAATATTTACAAATAGTTTTAAGTTTTATTGACACACATATACTAAATTTTTGTAAAAAAAGAAAGAAATACATATAAATAATGTAAAAAAAAATTATTCATTTTCTTGCTTTTTACGCAATATAACAAATCCTTCCATAACTGGTGTAAGACATTTGTATTCATCCGTAGCGAGTTCTGCTCTTTCACCTACTGCTAAGAGAACAGGAGTCGTGTGTGTGTGTACTCCAGCTATAGTTTTTGGTGTACCAGCTTTTCCAATGACATCAACAGCCTAAAATACACAAAATTGTTTGTTATTTAATAGTTAGTCCAATAGTTATTATTACACCTTAAAAATAAATCAGATAAATAAAAATAAAAGCTTACTTGTCCAACTCGAACTGACACAGGGAGAGGCTCAAGGTCTTCATCCAAAGTCACCAGCCATCTAGGGTACATGGCAACCACCAATGTATAGAGTAAATAATGAGACTTTCCCAGGATAACTACAAAAAATTTATTTCATTTTTTACTGCACATTAAAGCATTAAGACATGAAAAGTCTTAAAAGATATAAAACTGAAAACATATACTTACTGTTACGAGTATCTAAGAAACTGAATAGAGTGATAAGAAGACCAGATACAGCCACAGGATTCATAACCTGTCGATCAGTATGGAAAGGTGACAGAGACAAAGTGCCTTTACCCATGTGTGTCAAACCTTGTGCAATGCGTACCATAAACAAATGACCAGTGTTTTTAGCATGATATTGAGCTAATTGACGTAACATGGTAGCTAACCTAAAAATAACAACTGGTTATTAATTATTATTATTTAAATTGGATAGAAATATAGAAATATAGATTTTTTTATGATATAAAATGAATAATGCCAAAAACTGAGTATCAGTAAATTTATTCACAAAAATCATAATACAACAAAGGATGATATATGAACTTCAATTAATATTTTTAAAAAAAAACTGTAGGCCCATGATTTTGAATATTCTTATATTTAAAATCTCTTAAGTAATTAACAAACACACTGTAAAAAGCATAATATTGAACTTATAAGGAATAAAATCATAACATAAAAATGTTCAACTAGTGTGAATATATTTTTATAGATTAGTCTAGATTAATGCAAGTATAAAATATAATTGACTACACCTCAGTATTAAATGTTAATATTTAAGAAAAAAACTAATAATAACATTAAACTAAAATCTAATTAAAAATTCAAATTTAAATAATTTGATTTATTATTATTTATCATAACAATTAATAATGAGTATAATACTGTGTTGCACTAACATAAAATGTATAAAAAAAGATCAAAAAACTTGATAATTTTTATAATTTCAAGTACCATAAATGATGAAAATATTAAATGTATCAAATTAATGATTTGTATTCATATATTAATATGCAATATTCAATAACACTCAATAAAAAACATTAAATCCATAAAACTTAACCAATTCAATACTTAATTTCTACATTATTTTATTCTTAAAATATAAAAATCATAATTTCTTTTTTTTAAAAATTACCTTGCATTATTAGTTCCAGCTCCAACTAAACCTAATGAAAATATAGCATTATGTGCTACTTCTTCATCTAAATCATGAGAATACTTATTTAGAACATCAATAATATTCATTTGAGGGTTTGATATAGATAACAATGCTATAGCTAATGGAACTGCTCTCCTGACAGGTGGTTCACCGTACCTTCCCTGAAAATAATAAATTAATTTTAAATATGAGTAATACATTTCAAGTTTTAAATCTTACTAATTGTCCAAAAATACGAGTACACATTTCAGAACCAGTATCTTCCCCCATAGCTACAACTGCTACAGCTAAAGCTGCAACAGCTTGCATTGATGAAAGATCTTTAGTGGCTGTTTCTTTATTTTTTTCCTTTTCTTTTTCTTTTTCAGCTGAATTAGTCGTTTCTTTCTTTTCACCATCTTTATCTTTTTTGTCACTTTGTTTCTTAGAAGTTTCTTCTTTCTACAAAATAATTACAGGTCAAACATTTTAATTTTAAAATCTTATTAATAAAAATAAAAGGAATAATATTAATTACAGGGGCTGGAGTATAATGTTCACTGCAAATATGTAATAACTTTTGAATAGTCATTACATCACCAGATCCAGCGCAAGCACACATTTTGACAGTCATTTTTGCCATGGATTTAAAAGGATCACCCAAAACATTTAAGTCAGCATCAAGTGCATCTGCTTTGTCCTTAAGACCTAAATATTACACTTATAGTTATTACACTATTACAGCAAAATTATTAAAATTAATAATCAAGAGAAAAAGGTGCCAATTAGTTCATAAGATATTTTTCTAGAAACAAAAGATCATTGTAAACTTTAAACTTATGCAGTATGATAAATAATTTAAATCAATATGATCAAATAAAAAATACCTAGATAACATAATCCTAAAGCAAGAGGTAAAAATCTTGAATAATGACCATCTTGTAGTTCTGAGATTGGTAAATCTATCAAAGTTTGAAGAATCGTAGATATAACTTCTTGATTTGCAGCTCCTACACTAATCATTCCACAAGAAAGAGCAGCCAAAGCAACAACTTCAGATGTAGATTTAATATTAGACATAACTGGCAACAGTAGTGTAATAACATCTTGTCGTCTAGTACCAGCATAGGCAAGTCCCAAACCTAATAAATATACATTACATATTTAAAATATTTTATGATTAATTTCATTTATATTTCAAAAATATGTTACCTAGAACAGCTCCAATTCGAAGTAAAACACTTTCATGTAAAACATAATCTGATAAAAGTGAATAAGCTGGATCACATTCATTACGGACTCCAACATTTACTATTCCCAAAGCAAGAAGAGCACCAGCCTAATTATATTAAAATTATTAATACGATTATTCAACAAAAAACAAAAATTCAATATTTACTTTAATATATTCTTCAGATGTATACAGATACTTGTCAATTGGAGTCAATCCTCCATGGACATCCCACAAATGAATAAGCCCAAGAGATGCGGCAGCACTTAACATGCCTATCATATACATTTGTTTTAATTAATATTATTATTTAATTTTTTTAATTATTTATTTAACTAGACAAAACTATCTACCATGCTGTTTATTTTTGTACATCCATTTATTTCCTTCTTCAACAGACACCAATTTGTCTCGTGAAAATCCGGCATTGACAAAAGCGTTAACAAAAGTTGATGCAAGATTGTGACGAGCTGAATCTACAGGTACATCTAAATTGTATGATGGACGTAATACTAGACCTTCCAACCAAGTTTTATAAACATCATCTGGTGTTTTGGGTTCCAATATATCCAACTTAAAAATTCATAAATATAATGAATAAACCCAAATCAAAATATAACTTATAGACATTTTTTTATAGTAAAACTTACTTCTCTTGCCAGGCTATTAAAATGTTCATTAATATGAGAATTGGACATAATATTTGTAAGATCTGCTTTATCTTTTGGTTCATCATTTAATTCCAAACCAACATATTGGCGTCCTAACATATATGCCAATTGTTTTCTGACAACTCTGTTAATAATTGAAATTTTTAAATTAATTAAAATAATTTTCTTTGTAAGTATAATTATTATTATTTATAGGAATTATGAATATTATGAAGTATGATTAATGTAAATATACAAATATAATATATTATTTTTATTACCAAAACCATATTAAGATATAATAATTAAATATACTTAGTCTTCATAAAACTGAAAACCTGAGTGAGTCATGCAGTTTTAAAGAAAATAGAATACTATGGTCTTCTATAAGACAACATAAAAATATTATATCTGAACAGATTTAGGGCTGCTTATTCCACACCATTCCTCTAAGCAAGCTCACCTCCAACTATAGACCTTTTAATCTATGAAACTATGAATCTTATTCAAAAACTATTCAAGTAATTCATAAGAGATCATAAATCAGCAAAGCCAAAACATTAGCTGGTCTATGAATTGTTAGAGGACTACCAACACCAAAACCTCATTCACTCAGAAATCCTAAGCAAACTCTTAAATATCAAATAATCTAAAGTTACAAATATTTATTATTGTTTAAAAAACTTACGGATCTTGACAGGCAACAAATATTTTTGACATTATATCAGTATCATTAACAGACATAGCCAAACACAATGCTCTTGGGTATTCTTCAAAATTCATATAATGTTTCATTACTTCATTATAGATATTAGTTCTCTCTGGTTCAACAGCATAAATGGAACAACTAAAAAATAAATGTTTATCACTGTTAACTTATTTGATATTTAATAAAAAATGTAATTAATATACATTAATAATTATACAAAGAAAAATAAGTAAATGATGATATAAAAAGATATTTCTAACACATTTTTATAAGTATTAATATGTATATAAATTATTTAAAATAAAAATTAGATGAAACTGATAAAAATAATGAGTATAAATGCTTAATTTTTGTCAAATATGGTAAAATATCTAAGAATATAACTACACATAAGAATTTAATTGACAACAGCTACTGAATATTTCGATAAAATTAACTTAAGACGGCTTGAAACAAACTTATTAGGGTTTTAAATAGTTATTATGATTTTAATATACTTACTTTATTAAATAAAGACACACTTTTAGATAGTTAGATTTATCTACTTGCAAAAGATCCAGTCTATTAATCTCCATCAATAAATCACAAGCTTGTATTTCAGCATTGTGCTTCATATCAAAAGCTACTATACTTTTAATCAATGAAAGTAATTTGTTGCCTTGATCATTAGTCCATTCTTCAGCTATCTCAGCTTCTAATTGTCTAATTTATAAGAAAAAAAAATTATAGTTAAAACATCATGTCAAAAAATTCAGAATTAATATAATAATATTTTTTAATATTGATAAAGTATTATTTATTACCTAACATATTCATGTCCCCAGTCTCCAACATCTACTTCTCCAGCTCTTAAGCAAAAACGTAGTGTATCTCTTAATTTCCTATCTTGCCCCATGGCTAATATAGATACAACTGAACAAAGTAAGGCTTTTGTTTTTTCATCAGTTTCAATGGTATCACATCTTTCTTTTAAACTTGAATAATAGGTGCGTAAAAACTTTAATGGTAATGGTACACTAGTCATAGATGTTGTTGATGTGCGAATTAATTTACGTAAAGTTTCTAATGCAGGACCATAAAGAGAAACATTTTTATCCTGAAATATTTAAAGTAACAATTGAAACACTTAGAATAATTGGTAAGATAATTGAAAATTATAAATTAAAAATCAAACAAAATCATTAAAAATTTCAAATAACAATAAAATAAATTTACAACCATAATTAAAAAAAGATTTTTTTATAAAATATTAATTTAACTACTACATTGAAGAATAAAACAAGAACACTTGTGAATAATAAATGTAAATAACAAAAAAAAAAAAAATAACTCACTAATATTCTTTCCACCAACATATGCAGTTCTTCTTCTAGTTTCTTGTCCTCCTCGGACTAAAATAAATGTAATAAAATATATTATTTTTTATCGTTTAAAAAAAAAACATAACTGCACGTATAATTTTGAATGTTTGAATACAAAACACATATTAGTACTTTTAACGAAACAAAACTCGTATTAATATAAAAGATAATTCTCACCATCTCCTCGGTCTTCTTCTCGGCCTTCTTCATTATTTTATGATTATTAAATCCAAATAAAATAAAAGTTAAACAGAAATGTAGTTACTAACACGAACTAAGATGACAAACAGTATTGTATTGATATTGTTAAAAAAACACCTATACAGTCAACGCAAAGAACGGATGACAAGCAAAATAACATTTAAGCAGGTATCTATCATCCCCACTATGGATGGTTTGACTAAAAAATGTTAGGTTATTCAATACCACGGTATTTAAACAGTAACATTTGATATTGGTTAAAATATAACCATCTAGAGAGCAGCACTACATTTAAAATTACATGTTAATTCTTCCTATTATTTATTTTTACTTTATTTATATTTACTTCTTTTGATTAATATTATTCTGGTTTTTCATTAAGTACTATAAAGTAATTTAGTTATGATATTTGCGCTATTACCGTAGATAAAATTATCCAATTACAAAATGGGTACAAGTTTAATACTAAACCTTAAGCCTTACGTTACACCTGTATATCAAAATATTGGTTTTCTAAATGAAACACGTAACAAACGATAAAAATAACACGAAACAATAGTTCTGAAGGTAAATCCTGCCACAGGACTCCTGCTTCATTGTGTTTTGACTTTTGGAGTTAATCGTATTTAGTTGAAGATATCTAAAAAGCTATAAATTATAAATCGATGCATTCGTATGAGAAACAAGTCTAAATTTGGAATGAATGCATTTTAGATGAAACATAATAATGTGTCCCACTCAGACGCGTCACTAGATAGTTTTAAAGGGAAATGAATCTATTTTAAATCAATAATTACTGATATAATACAAATAATAAAAAAGTAGGTACAATTAATTATATAATAAAATTGGTTTTTCGTTTATTTTTAGCAAATCGATCAATAACACTATCTAAATTTATATGTATGTTACTGTACACATGCATTAATACCATCCTATCAATCTATTTTACCCAATTTGGTTCCTGAACTAAATTTTTAATCTAAAAAACATAAAAAGCAAAAGTAAAAAGAAATAAAAAGCAAACAATTAGGTGAAAGTTAAACTAATATCTATCATTATTGAGCATTATCTAAATATAGCAAATATACTTTTGAAAACTTGAATAATCATGAAAAATAATACTCATATTTTCATATTTATTTAATCTCATATTCTTCATAATAATAAAAGAAATAATTATCTTAATATATTAATTCTAGGCCTGACGCTCGATAGACACTATACCTGGTCTCAACATCTTAAAAATAAAAGAAAAACAGTAAACTCCAAGCTACATTTACTCCACCCTTTCTTGAGATCCAAACTAATCACCAACAACAAACTTTTAATCTATAAAGCCATCATCAGACCAACGTGGTTTTATGGTATCCAATTACGGGGCTCTGTCAAACCTTCCAACTTAAGAACCATCGAAGCTTTCCAATCAATATGTCTCCACCAAATCGGCTCTGCCTCCTGATACATCAAAAATACTAACCTACACAACGACCTTAAAATTCTAACTTTATCTAAATTAACTAAATCACATTTCCATTAATTTTATAATAAACTAACTCAGCATACAAGCCCGCTAATAAATCGTCTTTCCTCCCTCGATAATCCTATCAACCCCCTGAGAAGGTTAAATCAGACCTGGCCAAGAGATCTATTAAAATAATCTGTCCGGTGGCATTACTAAGTGTGTTATAATGTATAATAAAAAAAAATTACTAAATGTACAAATTTGATATAGATTGTAATTATTCTTTTTATCATTAAAAAAAAAAATATATGTTGATACACATGAATTAATAATAATCATTCATCGTAAAGGATCCTTACCGAAAACAATCCTGTCCTTGTCACTTTATAACATTCAACAGCTTGCTCAAGACCATGACCCGTTTTTTTTTTTTTTTTTTGGAATTAAACAAATTTTAAAAGCACTGCTCAGTCTTTCGATTTATTATTAATCATTCATAAAATTAATATTTTTTCTACGTTATTTTTCACCCGATCAATTAATCTTTGGGTCTGAGTGGCCGTACATAATAATGTATTCAGTGATATTAGTACGAGTCAGGGTTAACAAATTATCATAAGTAATAAAATTGGTTTTTGTTCAGCTATCTACGATTATTACAATAATTTAAAAAAAAGAAAATTAAGATAGATAAATAAAGTAAAATACTGAAATATCTAAATTTACATTTTACTTCAAAAATCAAAAACTATACCTACCTTAAGTCCTTTAAAGGGGCTATCACATGAGGCGATTTTATTCGCTACAACCAATAGCAGCGACTTCTCGCCACATCAAGTCGCTGCGACTTAGTTGTCACACACAGGGCTGGACGAGACAGCGAGTAGCGAGTAGCAAAAATGTCGTCAATCGTATCACGTCGTACCATTTTAAGACGAATAATTCGCCTTAAGTGTGCAGAATTAGCAGAACAATTAATTTTTCTTAATCTTACTTGTTATTCATCATAAATAGAAAAATAAGTAGACGAAAAATTAACAAATATATAAAAGTTTATTCATAAAGTATATTGATTGATGAAATAAAGTTATAATATTAATATAATAACAATAATAAGATTGATAAAAAAATTAATATTGATATACAATAGGAATAACCTAGTTAATAGCGACCAGCAAGTGTCAATGTCATACGGGGGTCTACGATTTTTAGATGCGAGAGGATCACGTGACCAGCATAATTGCGCGTTTTTAGCGAGTAGAATTGAAAAGTCCGGCGCAATAATGAGATATCTTTATGAAACTGTTTGAAATTGTTTTTTTGAAATTGTTCAGGGGACATAAAAAGCAGCTTACTAACTCCCTTTTGATCAAATTACTTTTTAAAAACTGATTTTCATGCTTTAGATGTATACATAACAGTAGGTACACAAAATCTTATTGCTTTGGGATGAACTTAAATAATTTTAATTAATTATAATTAATTAAAATTAATTAAGTATAATTTAGTGGAGATGTATGGTTTTTTGCCCCAAAATTAAAAGCCATGTTTTTTTTTACATATTTCAATGATACTCGTAACATTTACACTAAATAATTTCAAAAAAAATCAACAATGTGTAATAATATCTATTATTATAACCATCCTACTAATCACAAACTTTCATGATAATTAACTTAAAAAAAGGAATTTTTTCCATCGTTAGTTGTGAAAATAAAAGCAACTAAAATAACCTTCATTATCATAAGTTCAGTTACAGAATACTTAAGTTATTTAAATTATTTTCAATGTTTCTGTAGTAAGCTTGGTGATGGAAAATGTTTGAAAAAGGTTTTAGTGCCACTAATTCCCTTATCATTATCGTTATTTATTTCATGTTTTCATCGACAAATTATTTTTGCACAGAATAAACTTGGGAATTTCAAAAGACTAATAATGTTATTCTAGTTTTATTGCAAATCAATACACCATGCGTCCAAAATATAGTTAAATGAAAAATTAATATTAAGTAGAACATTTTTATATTTTAAAAATATATAATATTGGCCTGCATTTATTTATATTTTTTCGCTGTTATAAAATTAACCCATCTTTATTTCAAAATCATGACTAAGAACCTAAAAATTAAAAAAAAAACCTACTAAGCAGTGATTCTTAACGTTGATGATACTACCTTTGATGATGTCCCTTTGGGACATATTTTATTTTCAGGAGGAGTTTTATTGAGGCGAGTCTCCTGTTACTCACGTTTTTATAAGGTATATGAATCATTTCGATTAAAATAAAAATGATGTACTCAAAATTTTTGGAAAAAGTAGAGTTATTAATTATAACTTTTCCATCGAAATAGACTTTAGTATGGTTCAACAACTTCTAAAAAAACCAGAAATCATTTGAAATATATAAAAAGAGATATTTAAGACTGTTTCTGAAATTAATTTAACATATGATTTCATAATCATTTTTAAGTAAGTATTTGGTATATAATTTTATTATATAATATATAAGTAATTATAATGATTTTACTAGAGTCAATTTGATAAATTTTTAGGAGATATTTACACATATAAATAAAAATTGTTTATGGGATAAAATTAATGTTTTTTTAAATTTAATTAGGTGACCGATTATAAAAATTAAACTATCATTTTTTTTAACGCTTTGGGTGTTTGTGTGTGTATGTGTAGGGGGTGCATAAGTGCAATTAGGGTAAAAAATCTTTGGGGGGCTACAGCCCTCTTACCAAAACTTAAAATAACCTGTGAATTACCCCACCTCTTATAAATCATGTTAATATATTTTAAATTCTGAGTTAAGTTGGATTTACTGCAATGTGTCTTTTTTTGTATGTGACACTTTTGTGAGTTAAGTATGCTATACGTCTTATTACATGTATGACATGGAATATTTATGGGGGGGGAGGTTAAATATTTGTCAGGAGGAGGGCTAACCCCCCAACCCCCTCTCCTTCCCAAGTTGCGCCTACGGTGGGGTGAGAAAGTTTTGAAAATCTAAAGGAGGCAATGATTAAAAAAAAAAATGGGAAACAATGCTATAAATTGTAGGTACTCAAATATCCTAGATTTTTTTTAAACTGAATATCTAATAAGTTTTTATTTTAAATTACAACTTCATAATAATTTTCCTAAAACTATTAACGTCTTATATTTTAGTATTTATTTCAGATATTTGGAGAATTTTTATTACATAACATATCTGATTCATTAGAGACGATTAACTTGAGATAAGTAGTAGTAGTATTTATTTTTGATCAAATTTGTCATTATTATTTGTTACCTACAGGGTTTAATTGAAATAAAGATAAATGTCCATATTGTATATTATAATTTGTGGTAAATTATATATATTTTTTGTTTAAATGTATTTGTTTCTCAAACTTATCTTATTTTATGTGTATCACTATAAATTCTTACTTATTAATATACGATAAACCTTATAACTATTGAATTGTTAGATATGACGAAAATTGCATAGATTCAAGTTCTATTAAATAAAAGAGAAAGTTTAGTAATATTATATATCAAAACATGATTGTACTATTAATTTTCATACCTCAACATGATAAATCAGTTATAATTTAATCGGTATCATGTTTTAAACAATTTTAAAATAACATTAATTTGATCGAATTATTATGTTATTATGTAGGTAGGTACATTATCTGTAGGATTTCTACATTTTCCCAAGATATAAGTATTACTAACTCTACAAACATTAAATTTAAACTTTTAACTACAATTCTCAACATTAAAAGGATTTTTTGAATATATTAAAACAATTGTAATTGCAATTAATACTTAATAACTCGTATATTAAGATATTACATATATATATACATGTATAAAGAATAATATTATAAAATATATTAAGAATATTAAGATACATTATATTTTCTATATATATTTTTAGTACTAACTTTTGAAATTTACTTATTTTCTTCTTATCCTTCGCCTTTCTCCCAACTATTTGGGGTCGGCTACCCTTACCCTAAACCTCCACTCATCTTGATTTTCTATATCCCCTACGCATACACCAACGGCTCTCATATCATTCACAATTATTTCAAACCATCTCCTTTTTGTTCTTCCTCTTCCTTTTTTTCCTTCAACGTTCATTTTTATAATAACTCTTACTGCATTCGTTTTCTCTCGTCTCATCACATGTCTAACCATATCAGTCTATTTTCTCTCATCTTGTCCACTATCTAACGCTACACCAATACTACCTCTCACATATGCGTTCCTTACCCTATCTTCTCTTGTCTCTCCACTCATCCATCAAAGCATTCTAATTTCTGCAACACTCATATTCTTTTCTATCCTCCTGTCTAACCTAACCTATTTTATTCAAAAATTGTGAGAAGAATATGAAATACCAAGTAATATATTTTTCATAATATAGCCAGTGGGGAGATTCCAATAATTGAATCAAAATGGAGCGAAATATATGAGTACAAAACTTAAGTTACTCAGGCTCAATAGTCGATGAATGCGGAATTAATCATGATTGGTAAATCGGTAAACATAACACATAAGATCACAACTCATATAATTACATATAAATAAAGAAAGTGCATCATTATATTGCAGCTATGATATTTTGAATATGATAACATAACTATTGGTACTTAATTTAAGTGTAAACTTGTTATACAATGATATATAAGACTCGTACTTTAGTTAATAATCTACCTAGATAAATAAAAAATAGTTGAATATATTGTGGGTTATCGAATTCATCAAAAAATAAAAAGCTTGACCATTATATATTTGGTAGTGCTTTTGGTTTGGTACGTGTATTGATATATACATATACACGCAGTCCATTAAATAAATAATACACCCGTATATAAGGTCTAGAAGTTTTTATAAAATTTATAATATCGTCGTGTAATTCTGACGTACCTACTAAATAATGCCAATTTTTTTTATTGAATTATTGTATATATTGTAATCGTCCAAAAATTAACATTTATTAATATAGATGAACTCTTTGTGGCATGGCAGTCAAAATCTTAAGTTTTTTCATAAAGTTTTAACTGACGATTCGTTGACCTTGAAGTAACTTTAACGAGTACTAAATCATAAATTTTAAATAGCGATGATAAACACATTATCGCAAATGCAACGATAACAAAAATTGGGAAGAATTATTTTGAGTGATTTATTTTAATTCGTATGTTGTACATTGTCATTTAAGTATACATTATTTTGTTATTTATATTTAGTGAAAAGTTAAGTTTGAAAATAATCAAAATGTATGTATAATTGTTTTAGATTTGTCATAATTTTATTGTTTTTTATATGACGGTTACATTTAATTTGTGAATATCAAAATGTTAACTATTTTAAGTATAATACAATTCTCATTATTACTTTTTATTAAATGTTAAATATATTATACGCCAATATTCGTATAAATAAAAAATAAAAATAAAATAAATAATAATATTATAGTATTATGTATTGGTTTTCTTTAAACAACATTAAAGATGCTATCATGCCCCTATGTCATCAGAACATGGACTTTAAATACACGTCTCATGGGTACCGGGTACATGGGCTCTAAATACACGTGTACACGTGTATTTTAATTAGATACACAAACTTTACCTCCGTTTCCATAAAAACACGTACATTCGTGTTCTTAGATACACGTGAAATAGAGAACCCTAATATTTTGTAATAGGTTTTAATAAATTTATAAATATCTTTTCAAAGAGATACTACTTAGGGTGATCCCTTTATAATATATTTTTAAATGATTAAACCCATAATTGAAATAATGCATATTTCTATTAAAATAATTTGTTTTTGATAGTTTGATGAAGTCATGTCAAAAATCAAATAGGAGTCAAATAATAATGAGAAAAACTGTAGATCAGCTGACCTCCCAAACCCCTCTAGGTTCGCGCCTACATAATGTTCAAAGTTAAAAACATGAAATAAATTTACTATATTAGCATGGCTTTTTGAATTTTCGTCTAACAAGGAACACGTGGCACAAATATCTCATATTTACTTTTAAATATAGCATCAATTTGAATCAATTTGATGGTAATTTTAAAGAATAACACATTTTGGAAAAATTTAAATTTTTCAATGCATTCATTACACTTAGGTACAACTATGGTATATTGGTATATAACGTTCATGTTTTATACTGCTTATTTTTAAATCAATCAATTCACTTCAGATAATTAATATTTTATTATTCTAAATATTACTCTTTCTTTTGAATAAGCATAAAGATGATAACATTCTTAAAGTATTTTTTTTTTTGTACGATACATAAATACTTGAAATTTTCATGTTTTCTTAGATTTATTTTGTAAAATATTTATAACATAATTTTAGTTCAACAAAAGATAGTAAAACAGTTCTATAGAAGAGATGGCCAACATGAATATATGTTCATTAGCCATATGGATAAATGCAATGATATCAAAAGCCAAAATGTTTATAAACACATTTTATAATTTTTATAAAAATATTTATATTATTATTAAATAATAAATGCAGCATTACATTCACTCAGAATGATTTTTCGAATGCAATGATAAATATGAATCATTTAAAGAATATAAATCCGTATCTTAATAGATATTTAATACCCATACTATATGGATTTCAGCAATCTTCTTATCAGAAATATTAATGGAACATGAAATAAAAATGAAATCGAAGGCGATCTTATAGTTTGTAATTATCATGAATGATTAAGGATAGCAATTTTTTTTTTTTGGTATTTAGCGATGAATATTTAATTTTCCAATCTTTGTGACGAAAATTCAAAAACAAAATAATGAGACATCGTGAACTTCATGATGTTATAGGGGTAAGAGTAAAGGTTGACATTTAGCGATCTCGTTCGATTTAAAAATTAAATAACATGAAAACATTTCGATAAAACGTACAACTGATGGTATTTCTTTTCGTCACAATATCATAATATACGTTAATCGCGTGAGTAATAACTTTTATGAAGTCAAGTCATAGTGTACAATTAATAAACGAATTGTATGTGGATAACGTTCTATCTGTATAATTTGCGCGCTCATGTCGTTATTAACATTATCAAGACGATTATGACGCACCTTCGCTAAACATAGACGATAAACTGTCCGGGAAATCCCTCGCGTACCCAGTGCGGTCGTCGTTGGATGCGTTTCCATTGGACCCCTTCCCCCGTGCCGGTACCAATAGCTTGTCACGACGCCGCGACAACCGCAGCTTTGGCCTTTTGGACCGTCGAGTTCCTTTGAAAACGCCGTCACGAATTGCCGAGTACCAACTGCTGTCGTCTCATCGTCACCGCAACAGTCAACGATAGATTTGACGCTGGGGCCGCCGCTGCCGCCGCCTCCGACAATTCTCCGTTCGCGAGTTTGTTTAATATAATATTGTTATTATATTACATAACGTGAACACAAACTGTATTTATTTATAACGCTCCGTGTCATTCGAGAGCGCACAATTTTATCTCGGTACCTAAAGCCGGCACATCATGGGCAATTCCCGTAAGTATCCATTTTGACTTACACCGTGGTACCGTTTACTACCTGCACTCGCCATCGTCTCTGTATTGTGTCACATTCGCTTCTCGTTTGTACAGTTTCCGCGCCCATCCGTCAGCATCACCTCGAAGGGGACGAATTCGTTTTTCTTTCCGAATCGCGTTTTCACGCGAAATCTGCTCACGAGTAGTAGTTTCGAGTAAATTTTTTTTCTGTTGTCTCGTCAAAATTTATTTCTTCTTCACTTCGCTGTCGAATTCTAATTTTTTCTCTTACACGCTCGCGTTTAAAAATCATTTGCACCGGACGGCCGCAGCGAAAAGATATCTTCTGACGGTGAGTATTTCTACACACGCACAAACATGTATCTAATATTCACATCCGCACATTCGCCCCATTGACTTATTACTATTCCTCATCGCCCCGCTGCTATTTTGGTGAAATGCGTCAAGATTTCGACCAGCCGTTCGCGATCGCATCTTTCCGTTTTAGTCTATCCCCACCCCTCCATCATAGTTCACCCCACTGATTTTCGTCGATGAAAATCTGCTCAATAATAATTATAATAGGAAAAACTGATTTGCATTAAATTAACATCAGGTGTAGAGCTGTCTTCTTTTACTTTTCCGTTCCAATTAAATTATATTATAATCGAAACACTTAAAATTTTCTCGGCTCAATGTTTCCTAAACAGGTATTCCCATATCTATTATTAGTATAAATTCTTAATTAACCTCATTTTTAGGATTTAATTTAAACTGGAGATGAAAGTCTTTGGTTTTCAAGCTTTGCATTTTATTTAAATTGTTGTCAACTTTAATTTTTTACATATTCTTTTGACGTTATGACGAATTTAATTTTGATTAATATTATTAGATTCTAAATTAGAGTAATCGCGTTTGGTGTGTTGGATGAATTGTACGACATATTTTGGGTTAAAGTATTTTTAATATTTATTTGGTAAATTATTAACGATCTTAGATTTTATCATATTTCTTTATGAATGTATCTATATTTATTTTTTTTTTGAGGAAAACTATATTTATTCTTTTAATTTATATTCAATATGCATTTTATCATTACTATAGTTAACATAATTAATATCTGGATTAATAAAATAACGATTGGTTTTAAGGATAGAACATGATTGCCTAAGACATGTATGTAACATTGTCAAATTTATTAATTTTATAATCGTCAGTTTTTAATTTGGTAAAATAATTTTTAACTTATACAACTTATACAAAGTAATACAATTATTAATAATTAAATGAAATCGTGAATAAATATATTTGAATTCCCTGACGTTTATAACCTATTACTTTTAAATATTGAATAACAATTTTATGAATTTTATACTCATCATAAGCTTTTATAGTATTTTGAATTCTATTTAAGTCTTTTTTTTTGGGCGTATCCGAATTGGGTCCTAAATAATATTTATGATAAAGATAAAGAACTAATTGGATCCTATTATAAAAATGATAATGTACGAATTTGATTAGACTATTAAAAACCATAACATACTATTTCGGTCAAACAACTACGACAATAAAACCTGTAACTTACAATTGACACACTTGATAATGTTAAAAATATAACATTGAAAATTTAATAGGTTTGAGTTTGTCAAAGCACTTAATTTAAATGTTTACTAATTGTAAATTTTAAAATTTTTAATTCATTTTATTTATTAATTTACCATTTACCAGTATTCTAATTTTCAATTAATAACTCTATACCATGTATTAGAAAATTTAAAAAAAAAATCATACCTGTGTTATAAATTTATATATTTATATAATTTAATTATATAATAATTATATAATTATAATTATAATTTATAGATAACAGTCCTAAGTTTGTGAAAATGAGAAGGAAAATATAGTATAATCGATCTTGTCAGCATTTGAGTTACTTTAAATATGTGAATGACAACCAGTGGCACACACAGGATTTTTTTTTCGGGGGGTGTCAAGTTAAAAATATAACACATTTTACAATTGACAAAATTATGCAAATCCTTAATATATTTTGACTTAAATAATAGTATTGATAATAGAATAAGCTATTCTATAATCAATGATACTAGGTATTCAATACTAGCTTTTCATATTTCAAACTTGTAAAATTTGTAAATTTTAACCTAGATGTTGGATAACATTTTGGAGGGTTTACAACCCCTTCCCCCCTGTGTGCACTATTAATGACAACATGTGTTGGAGGAGGTGCACTATGAAATTATCTGTTATAAGTTATATGAAAACTTTTTGGTCTATTTGTGGTACTAAAAATGATAAAATAAACAGTCAATAATATAAAAAGTATATATTGTATATTGTATAAATTACTCACAAAGAATTCTGGAGGAAATAGATAATCCGGTTTTATATATGTTTTTATTACATTGTCTAAAAAAATGTGATAATAGTTTTTATTTGGACACGTTGCTATTAGTTCAAGAAAATCATCCTTAATTTCAGGAAATGGTAGATAAATATGTATATTGTACAAATGTTATTTACTGGCATGAAAATTAGCAAAAACACTTAATAATTCATACACAATTGCATTGTTAAAATCAGGTAACATTGTACACATTTGTGTAGTTTTAAAAGGTGTTATCGATTACAAATATATGCAATTGTGTTTTTCCTGATTTTTAAGCAATGCTTCTAAAACTGTGAGTCATGAAGCATTAGTGTATTTAATTTTTGTTTATAGTTAAGATCAAAACTTCTCCATTTTTTTTTTAATAATTTTGATGACAAAAATAAATATATATTTAGAGTCCATAACAATTTAACATTTTATTTAGGGACCCACATTTAAAAAAAAAAAATATATATATGTATTATGTAATATTGTAATATGTAGGGCGAAGGACTATTTGTAGTTCTTAAAAATCAAAAAACATGCAAGCACTTATGCATTTAAAAACACTTTAATAATATTATTGCATATTATGCTCTCAATATATGCACTTCAATTTTTTTTTTCTGTGATAGTATTTAAAATAAAATAACTAAACAATTACCTAATATTAATATATTTTAGGCTATTGTCAAGTAAATAAAATACATTTTTATTAATTATTTTAATTAAATATGCATTCAGCTCACTGGGGCGATGATGTGGTGTCAAAAACAATTATTTATTAATTAAATTAATTACAGCTAATTAATATTATTGTTTTATTAGTGATCCACAACTACTTCTAGGAAAAATGTGTACCTCAAACAATCATAAACCATATTATACGAGAAAAATTAAAAATAAATACAAATCTTTTTAGTCTATTGTTTGAAACAAAAATGATAGTAGGAAAAAAATTGATTTAAGTGAAATATGTCTCAAAAAGTAAAAATGTCGTATAAAAGTATTATGCCTTAAAAATATAAAATACACAAAATATGTATTTATATGCAAAATAAAATTTCAAAACTAGTTTTGTTAAAGTATGAAACATATTTGTTTCGTACTGTGCTATTTTTGTGACTGCAAAACAAATATGTAAATGCTACAAGTCCTCTGCCCTAGTAATACAATATAATAAATATTTTATGTAATAAATGTAAAGTTAAAGCTATTTTACAATATAATACATTTATTTGAATATCTGGCTTAAACATGATTTTCAAATATTTACATTACATACTTACAAATAAGGAAGATAGTATATATACATATTATTGTTTAATATGTTCATTAAAAAATAGTGAATATTTTAGTATAACTGCTGATTATAAAATAGAACATTCAGAAGAGAAAAGTTTATAATTTCTATAATTTATGGTATTACTATACTACAGTAGAAATTAAGTGAATTTTATCAATTAATTAAAAAAATAAATATATATTTTTTGTAACTATACAAAAGTTTTATTATTGGCTTACTTGAAAGCTTTTACTTAAAAAAAAAAAAAAACATTAAAGTAATGTTTATGGTATCTAGGATTGTTTGTAATAATGTTTGTAATAACTTTTTATATTGATTTATTATTTGTATTATATTACAACTAACATTTAACAAACTTTTCTATAATACTGGAGCTAGTTTAGTGGCATATAGATTTTTATGTGTGTTACATGCATTTTTTTAAATGGAAAACAACATTGCTTTTACTTTTTAAAACTTATCAATAATTTAATTCAAAGTTCTTTAAATTATTACCTTTTATGAAGAAAAATTATTAAAATATTACCTTATTTAAATGTAAATAATTATTTTATTACAAAATCAAAATATTTAGAAGTAGGGTACTAGTTAAAAAATAATATTTGTTTTATTCTTTATTTTTTTATATACACAATGTATTAAACTGTTCCATAAAAATTAGTTATAAAGATAATGAAAATTGTATGTAGTTGGTAAATTTTTTTAATTATTTTTCATGATATTCATGCTTATTTTCATAAAACTAAACTACAATTTTAAAGCTAGTTCTTAATTTTATTAGATTTACAACAGTTTCCTGACGAAAATTTGCAGTTAAGAAATCCACCCAGTCCAAAACTTGTAGTTTCCGGAACCATGAGTCAATCAAAGACTGGCTCTCCAAAGGGCTCCAAATCACCTGATGATAATTCAAAATCTGATGGTGTTTCTACTCCACCTAAGTCTGTACGTTCACCATCTTCAACTAAGTCAAGTCCATCAAGTAATAAGTCATTATCTCTTGCTGAAAGACTTGCTCAGTCAACTAGAGGTAAATCAAATCCAACATTGAAAAGCCCAGTGTCAAAATCATCGCCAGCAAGTCCTAATGCTTCAAGTTAGTAAAACATATTGTAATACTGTAAACTTTCATTTAACATTGCCTTGTTTAATGTTGTTACATTACTATAGTGTATTTTAAACCATCATAATTTATAATTTATTTTTTGATCCTATTCAGTAGTGTACCTAATAGAGCCCTGTACGGGCCATGCCTATCTTGGTGTCACCCGAACTGGGTTCGGTCTGGGCCTAGCATTTCACTTCAGTATTAGTTGTTCGGGCAAGGCCCCGAACCAATACATTTTTGTTTAAATGGGTAAAGCAGGGATTCTTTATGATATTAATTAATAAATTATTTCATTTAAATATATGTGTATTTTGTATTTTAATTAAAAAAGATGATTAATTTAGTATACTGACTAGTGACTGACTTGCCTACTTTTTTTTTTTTTTTGTACACTTTATTATTTACTTTACACAATGTAGGTTGTAAGTACTTGGTAATGGTGTACACTGTACAGCAGTGGTTTTTTAACCATTTGAATATTAGGTCAAGGTCAGATATTTTAGTAAAAATTCAGCCTGGGTCTGGCTATATAGTATATGTTTCAGTTATACGTATTGGACTTGGCTGAACTGTATATATAAGAGAAATGAAATCGGGCTGATCCGAGCCGGACTATAAGTGGGCGGACCAGGCCTAACTTAACCGAGCCGGGTATCATAATATAAAATTGTATTTTGGACGGGCTTGGACATCAAAAGTTAGGCCCGTGTAGGGCTCTAGTATCTACTAACATTTTGGAACTAACACTGGTTCTATTTTTAAAGATAACAGTCACTTATAAAAATATTGAGATATAGACTCAGGCTATTAAGATGTCTATTTTATCCAAAAACTAAAATAATTAAGAAAAGCTTAAATCAATTTAAAGTATATATGAGTATATAAAAATTACATTGTGGTTGCAGTTTTACTACAATATTATTGAACTATGTTTATTATTTAATTATTTAACTAATATCAAATGATAAATTATATTAGATTAATATTTGCTAATTCGTATGTTTATGAGAATTCTATTAAAATTAATTTTTATTCTGGTTATATTGTGTTAATGTAATTAAATTGATGTGTTATCTTTAGCTTCTAAAATTGCTATATCCAAAGAATCTCCAGATTGCTTAAAATCAGAGGATACCGAAAAAATCAATATGTACAATGGTTCTGTAGAGATGAAAATAGAAAATTCTCAATTTTCTGATGAACAAAGTATAACTATAGTAGAAAATAGAACAAATGAATTAAATGAAGGTAAACATGACATTGACAAAGAATCGAATGAAACCGAGACTAAAGAAAATGGTTTGAGTAATGTAAAGGAAAACATTGCACAAAATGATTTGAATGAATTTATAGTAAATGAAGACTTAGAAAGTTTAATTAAACCACAATGCATTGAAAACAGTGCTATTTTAGAACTTAAATCCAAGAAAGAAGTTCGTCAAAAAATTTGGGAATTTATGGAAGAAAACTCTCTAGTTGTTTTTCCAAAACCTTGCTATAATCGTATACCAAATTTTAAAGGATGTAACATAACATCACAATTATTAGAAAAATTGGAAGAATTTAAAAAAGCTAAAACTGTTCAAGTCACTCCTGATAAGGCTCAAGAAACAGCACGTTTTCTAACTCTTACTGTAAGTTAATTCTATTAATACCAGTACTGTTAAGTTAGGGTTTTGTGTTGTGAAGTTGTTAGTCTTAATTTATCCATTTCATTAAATTATTTATTATAATATATTAATATATAATATAATAATAATAATATTATATTATAATAATGTTTAGAATACATTTTATTCTCCTTCGCCTTTCTCCCAACTATTTGGGGTCAGCCACTTTAGTCCTAAACCTCCACTCATCTTGATTTTTTATATTCCCTATGCACACCAATGGCCCTCATTATTCACAATTGTATCAAACCATTTCCTCTTTGGTCTTCCTCTTCATTCTTTTCTTTAAATATATATTTTCCTAATAACTTACTGCATTCGTTTCCTCTCATCTCATCACATATCCAAACCATCTCAATCTATTTCTTCTCATCTTGTTCACTATCAATGCTATGCCAATACTACCTCTCACATATTCATTTCTTATCCTATCTTTTGTCATTCCACTCATCTATATAAGCATTCTTATTTCTATAGCACTCGTACTTTGTTTTATTCTCCTGTCAACAGTCCAACACTGAACCATACAGCATAATATTTAATTAATCATATATTAATATTTCTTCTTCAGCTTATCAGCCCATTAAGTGCCATCGCTGCCATCACAACACCTCTCCATTTCTCTCTATTGTGTGCGTCATCAAAAGATGACTCCTCTTTTATGTTTTTTTATATCTTGAGCGATACCGTCCATCCATCGGGTCCTTGGTCTTCCTAATGGACGTTTATTATTTATTTTGTTAACTAACACTTCTTTTATTACTTGTCCATTCGCTCTCCAAACATGGCCGAACCATTCTAATCGCTTGCTTTTTATATATGAAATAATATTTGACCTGTTAGTTGACTCCTGTAGTTCTTGATTTTTCCTTCTTTCGTATGTTTGTGATTCTGCATTGAATTTCGGGCAGTATATATTTCTCAGTACTTTTGTTTTGAAGGTCATTAATCATTTGCTGTCTCCTTTGGTCAGAGACCATGTTTCACTCGCGTATGTGATTATTGGTCGTAAATAGCTATGATAATATTTGTAAATTATATTTTTTCAGTGGGGAAAAAGGTTATTAGTCCCATTGCTTCGATTGAAAGAAGGACTTTTACAAAATGTGTCTCTGCCATTTGCTGAACCATCAGCTAAATTGTTAAGATCGGCTAGTACTCAGAAAGGACTTCGTAAATGGGGAAATAAATTAACAACTTTGGACAAAAATAATGATAGTCATCATATAGATATGATTATTTTAGGATCTGTTGCAGTTGATAGAAAAGGTAATATATTGTAAAATTAAAACTATTTTGATTCTTATATACCTAATGTAACTTAAATTATTTTTATTAGGTCATAGAATTGGTATTGGAAATGGATTTTGTGATTTAGAATTTGTCATTTTACGTTCAATAAACATGGTAACTGACAAAACTGTAATAGTAACTATTGTCCATGAAGTACAGGTAAATTTTATTGCAATTTATTTTGATTTAGTAAAATTGTAAATATTGAATCATATTTATTTATATAGTTTTAACTCTAAAATTGTCAATTTTATTATATCATAATTATCCTAATTTAAAAATTATAAAAAAAAATAATAATAATAAAGCTGAATTAAAATGTATTTTATATTACATTTAATATTTATTGCTTTTTATTATAGGTGTTTGATATTCTTCCGACTGAAATTTTCAAACCATATGATGTGCCAGTTGATATTATTATTACATCTAATGAAATTATAAGAGTTGAAAATCGTCTTGATCGTCCTAAAGATATATTTTGGAATTATATTTCTAAGCGTAGGTTGTTGGAAATGCCACCATTACAATTATTACGTGCTAAACAAGAAAAAGATAATGAATTTGATTGTACTCTCAAAGATGTAGATAGTGAACCTGAAGAAATACCGCCTTCTCCCAAAACCTACAAGAAAACCAAAAAGTAATATTTTAAATATTATTCATTAAGATAATACATTGTTCTTTGTTTACTGTGGGTGAGAGTAAATTTAATATATATATATATATATAATTCTTATATTGTCTTAACAGTATAATAATGTTAATTAATTATTTTTATTAATATATGGTGTATTTAAATTTTTTATTTTAGATATCGTCATAAGCGTTCATATTCTACTCGATCTGATACCAATGATTCAGTTTTTAAAGATTCAATTGTTTCAAAATATCATTCTTCTTCTAAGAACTCATCAGTACCTACTTCTAAAAATTCTGATTTACAAAGTAAACGTAATCGTGCTAAGTCAACTTCCAGCCAACAACAACGCAGTACCTCAAGTGATAAACACGCCAAACAAAATGATAAAAAAGAACATCGTTCTTCTTTTAAAAAACCTAATAAGCGTCGAACAAAATCAGAGTCTGCTAAAACTGCTGTATCACCAGTAGCTGAAACTGAATCTAAGAATTCTAATAACACTCAGGAAGATTCACCTTCTAGTGATACTCCTAAAAATAAACGACGATCTCGTCAAAAACACATTAGTTCTGATATCGAAAAAGAATCAATTCATCAATCTCGTTCTAAATCAAATGGTAGTACCAAACATATTTCTCGTAGTAATTCTCGTGCTACTAGGCGTGATTATATTGATCGTCCAGATTATGGTCGGGATATGTCTGTTGGGTGTAATACTCGTAAAGAGTATTACCCAAGTTCAAAAAATTATTATTTAAAAAATCATCATAGCAGCTATTCTCAAGATCGATCATCTCATTCTTATATAAGGTCTAGTAGCCGTAATCAACGATATGATTCTAATAGATCAACAGGTATGCAGTTAAATAGATATCCAAGTGCTGCTATTCCTGTTCGTCAGACTAGATATTTCAATGGATCAAAGGTACATCATAATAACTTTAATGGTCCAGTTTTACATCAAAATAATAGCAACAATCATCATGTTATTCGTCATAATAGTTATTCAAACGATTCAATGTCTCATCAAAATAACTATTATGGTGGAATAATTTCTCGTCGTAATAGCTATTCTAAAGGCTCAGCTATTCGCCAAGATAATTACACTAACTCTAGAGTTTTTCGTCCACCACACTATCGCAATGGAATTGAATCACAAACTGATGAGGTAAAATGTAGAAAATAATTTGTGTAATTAATTTAAAGTTTATTTAAGTGAATCATTTTAATTATATTTTTTTAGAGAGAGTATGTACGAGAATCAAGACCTCGATTCAATAACAATCGCCCTGGATACTTCAATTCAAATGAAAAACCAAGTTATTCTAGATCTATAAGTGATGATGAATTCATTCTTAAAGTTGGAAATATTGCAAATAATGTCAGAGTACGAGATTTAAAAGCGGCATTAATGGAACGAGGAGTTAAGCCACTGTATGTCTAATTAAGTTTAATTATTGATATTTATTTGCTGAAGAAATAATTTGAATTAAACATTTTCTTTAGACATATTACTTGGAGAGGTCCTAGAGGTTTTGCATATTTACGTTACAGTAATGCTGTTGATATGAATAAGGAAAATATCATGGGATCACTACAAAATGTGCGTATAAAACCAAATGGCATTGAAACTGCTCAAACTCAGACATTAATTGTAACTGAATGCCAATTTTCTTAATATTTGACTTTTCCTTAATAAATTTAATTTTTTTTAAAAAAAAAAAAAAAAAAAAATGCACTTATTTTAAAACTTTAAACAATTAAAAATATATATTTTAAATGGATAACGATAATTTTTAACCTCCATTTTATTTGTATCTTATTCTTTATTTTTCATTAGTGCTTTATAGTTAAATATTCTTAGTAGAAATTGTATTAAAGTTTTATCAAAACGTTTTTGATGTTAGCTTTTTTTTTGAAAAATGTAAGCACTCTTGTTTCAAATTTAATATTTATAGTTTGATTATTTTAGTTTTTGAGATAATATTATTCTTAACTTTACAAAAATATGTTATGTATTAAAAACAACTTATTGTTAATTTTTACCATAAAGTCTTAGGTATTAAAACAAAAAATTGTATCTAGTTTTATTATATCCCATTAATATATACATATAAGTTAAGTTCAATGAATTTGTAAGAATATTTAAAATATCCTAAATTTTAACACTTTATAATGTTTAATTTAGTTTAATGATTAGTGTTTGTCTTATAACATGTCATGCTCATATACACAATTTACATACAGATCTATCAAATATATGCTATCAAATTTATTGTTATATATATTTTTAAAAGTTATCTATTTAAAAATAAAACTATTTTAATGACTTGAATTTTTATTTTATATTTTCATAAAAAAAAAATAGTTTGTGTATAAAATCTAAAAACCATTATGCTTAGGACAATCCCAATAACAAAAACTATAATAATAATTATAGCAACATTAAATGTATTAGTAGCTGCATATTTGGACTGACTGTTGTATTGCAGAGATTCCATTAATTCCCATTTATTTTCATGATTTGTGCTTGATGTTTCATTTTTTTCATTCTTAGTATGGTTCTTGTTTAAGATTTTTAACTGCACCTAAAAAAAAAAAAAAATTAAACTATAAAATGTATATAGTTAAAATATTGATTTTTTTTATTTTATATTCACTAAGTGTGTGGTATGATACTAACTTATTCACATTAAGAAAAATCCCAGTTGGTAAATGAGGTATCAAGTAATAATTTTTAGGGTTCTAACTGATACCATAACAATTGATTACTATTAAAATAAGTTAAGTAATTAAATGGGTAATATGTACATTTCATTGCTCATTCTTTACATTGAATGAGATGCTAGGATAATGGACAGGTGTTGGACTAATAATTTTTACTCTTTAAAATCTGGTTTGAATAATTTTTATATATTTTTTATTTAAAAATAATCAAGTAATTTTGGTCATAACACCATTTGAGTCTACTGAACTTCACAGAACATTAAATTGCATATATATTAAAGTAGTATTTATATAATTTATAGTTTATTGGATCCTATTTTAATTTATTAATACATTTTAGTTTAGTATTCATAACTTATTTGACATATTTGACATTGATGAAACTTTATATAAGTAATTTAGGATCTTTTCCGTTAATTCACTACCGCTTGATAAATGTTCTATTGCTCTAAAAACTATTTTATCTAATCTAAATAATATGTGTATGTAGATTATTATTATTATTTTACCTTTATACAAATATTTTCTACCTTTCATATCTAAAACAGTGGGGTACCTACCGAAAAATACTAAACAGAATTACTTGGTAGTAGAGTACATGTAGCATAAATATTATGGTCCTTAGAATTGAAACAATGTTACAACACAGCACACTTCATACCCCCAGAATCTAAATAATATGTGTATGGGTTATTATTATTATTTTATCCTCTTAAAAATATTTTCCACCTTTCATACCTAAAACTAAATAAAGTTTTCTAATAGTGAATTAACAGAAAAGGTTTGTAATTTATAATATAGTACATACTAGTTTGAAGCTGCACCAATCCAAATTAAAGCCATTAGCACGGAAAAATCTTTCAACACTTGTTCTTTTAAAATCTTTAGGACATTTATTCATTTTTTGTAATGGACTAATTTCTTTTTCCAAATCATATAATATGGTTGAAAAATTGGAATGACTTCCTAAATTGACAACAACACTAAAGGATGACATATATTATCAAAATTATTTATGATATTTTAATAAAAACTAAATAAAATAATTTTAATTTTGAGAAAACCATTAGTAATCCTTGTTACAGTTTATTAACATAAAATTCAATTTTACTTTGAATTTGATGAAAAACAATATTAATAATTTAAATTATATTTACCCTTCTGTATCGTTTGGATCTAGAGGTAATCGTTGTCCTAAGTCGCTAGCAGATGCTAGAAATGTAACGTACAAATTTTGTTTACTATCCACCCACAAATATTGTCTGAATATATTTAATAAATTTGGTATGTGTTCTTCTTGAAACATATCTTCCACATTCAAATTATTAATTTTAAATCGAATTTCATTTGTTGCAGATTCAGTATTACATAAAATAATAAATTATTAAAATTTATGTAAATAAAAACAAATTTATTTTTAAATATATCTAGCAATATTTACCAGTTTTTTTCTAAAATGTTAAGTTGGATAACTTGTCTGGCAGTTTGGTATGTTTTTTTGTTCAATCCAATGATATCCAACTAAAAAAAAAATATATATTTATTTATTTTTTTAGAAACCTATAATTGAAAATATGATAAAAATATGTTTTAAATATTATACAATAAGTCAATAAATATTTAAATGAAATAAAAATTACTGATCTGTGTTGCAATTAAATTTAATATTGAGTATTTTAACAATTTAAATTCAAATAGTAAATTTGAATTTCACAAGTATTTGAAATAATTATACATAGATTAGTTGAAAAAAGGAAATGAAATATATGAAAGCCTTCTGTGTGCAATACCATAGCTATTTTTCTATAAATATATATATACCATTATATATTTTTATTTATGTACATCTATAGTCAAATATTTTAAAACAAATGTATTTCAGAGTTTAGACTTAGAATTTACTTAGATATATAACAGTTTCAATTCTTTGGTGGCGAACTCTTATAGTCATTATTTTTCTTTGGAAGAAATTGTATTTTCTTGTGTGCTATAGATCACTAATTTGAACCAAGATCGGATAATTTTTTTTTTTTATGGAATTTTTTGCTCTAGTCCATTTTTAATTATTGTTTGTATTGCAATGAAATTTTTATTTTCTCATTGTCTTTCAAGAATTGTTAGCAAATAAATAGTAAAAATATGATTATATGCATCCAGTTTATAAAATGTACAAAAACGATTACTTGAATCAGCCGTTCTGACGAGTCTGCAGGCGGAGTTCCATACAAATATCCATGTCTATTTTTAGTATTGAATTTGTAATGGATCCAATGCAGTAAATCGGGGTAATTCTGTAAGGACGGCGTGTAAACGAAATTGGTCTCGACATCTAGACAAAATTGACTTAAGGATAAAACAATTGGAACGATACGAAAAGCGGATTAACATGCAAATATCGAAATACCGTTCGTCCAGTTGAATTGCTCCGGTCGTATTTCGTAATAGAACATTTCGGTTTCATTGACATTTTTATTGACGGTGGTCGACTCGACATCACGGATCAGAGCTGTGAGAATGCATACGACGAACACGGACGGGAGAACAACGGCGGTAGAGCAACGGCCCATTGGGATGGGGATCAGACTGCGACGACTGAAAACAAAACGAATAAAATGTCAGACACACTATTTTAATTTTATGCTCTTATAGTATATTTTTACGATTTTACTATTTAATACCAATTACGCCGTGCCTGAAAGTTGGTTCGTGCGTTTCGGTGCCAACGTGTACGATTAGTTACATACCTCGAACGGCGCGCATTTATTTCGCTAGCTATTTATTACGCGTCCTGTAATAACGGGCTTGGGGCCCGTTCAATATAAATTTATTTATTTTTATTTTTTCCATTTAAATTATCATCGGCGATAAAAAATGAAAAAACTAAATAAATAAAACGGGAGTTTTAAAACGATCGTCGGTGGAAAACGCATGTAGCGCACATGTGTATTATAATAATTGTACTATCGTCTGGTCTGCGGTTGCTGTTTGATCAGCAGGTCGATGCGGTGCCTGCCGAGTGGGGGACGCGCTCATGTTTCCGCCGAGTATTTGTTTTGTCCGTGGCCGTGTTCCAAACCGGTGTCGGTGCCGTGACATGTGTGAGGAATACCGTCAACGTTTTTTTTTTTTTTTTGTGTTTCACGTGCACACACCGAACGCTACAATAATATTCGACGGCACGAGCAGTGGTGATGGAGCGCGGGCATAACGTTACTGTATATATAGCATGGCGTGTTCGGGTATTCGTGTATTGCTGAGACGAGACACATTGACGTCAGCACGTGTGGGCGTGTCGTCTTAATCACCTTATCAATAATGAAATAATCATAATATTGTATAGGTACGAGCGGCGGCGGCGACGGTTCAGCTTTTCAACCGTGCCGTGTGCGTGTGTGCGTGTAACACAACTAACGAGTACAACGGGTTGTGTTAGTAGTACGTACAACTGCGCGCGAGTATGTATGTCGGCGGACGCGCACCATTGTCGTTACGATCGAACGCCGTTAGCGGTCCTATGTCGGCGGGAACGCCGTCTCGTATTCCGCTGTAGTACGTGATTAATCGCCGCCGCTGGTGCTCCGTGAACGCCGGACCCGTTCCCGTCGAACCATGGGAAATCGCGACTGAGTAACTGTTGTAGCTGCTGCCGCCGCCGCCGTCGCCGCACCACATACCACTGTATATCTGTTGCTGCAATCGATTACTCGCCAGTGTTTCGGAATCGACATGGCGTGCGAATCGTCCACTCGCGTCTTGTTGGTCACCGCCAACATTGGTTCAATTTTTGAAAACGTGAGTCACGACTATAAAATATTATTACATTATGTGTAAACCGACAATCTGATAATGTTCGATCGAGCCTTACTATTCACCGGCAATCCGCTGTTCCGTGTACTGCTGCGAACTCGTGTGAAATGCTACACCGCCGTTTACCCGCAGAGTCGTTTAAACTGTGACTGTATCGTCGTATTATAAATTATATTATTCCGCTAGTTTTCAAATAAATCGTTAATATTGAAAAAGAGTAAAAAATATAATTTATTTATTAGTTAATAAACTAATAGTAGAATTGTTCAGTTTTCATTGCTGATCAATCAAAACTTCTCAATTGTTGGTATTGAATAATTTTTAAATTCAACTCTTATTCATTTCTAACTTAACAAATAGTTGAAGGAAGAAATCTTTTTTTTTATTTATGAAATAATTATACATATATAAAAAAAATATTTTGATATTATTTAATAGTAAATTAACATTACATATACTATACCTGTTTATCATTTATAACTCCTCAAATTTTAAAATATCTAAATTTAGAAACTCAAAATTGATAACACATTTTTAAAAATGATTGTTTTTTATTCTGTTAATTTTTGATCAATGGGTATTTTATTTTAGTTGCACTAATAAATACATTACCTAATGCAGAAGCATTCTGTGACTGAACATTGTTCTTACTCACTGTTTTTTTTTTTTAAATTTAATTTATGAAAAATTAGTTAAAATGTTTATGAGTAAAGTATGCTTAAATAGATTTGTATGTCTTGAGATAATATAAAAAACCTAAACTACTTTCAACTACTGAACCCGGGTTAAAATTTAATTTAATATTTAAATTGCTCCAAAAATTACTTCATGTCACCTATATCTTAAGGGCCTGATTATTTATATTATATACATTTTAAATTTATTATCTAGATATTATGAAATCTACTTTGATCAAAATTCTTCAGAGGAATAAAATGATTTTATCCATAACTTTTACTTTACATGTAACTAAAATTATCTTTATCATTTTGTTTTGTATCTGTACACTTAATATGTTGCTAATTTGCACAGAATAATTAATTTTTTTTTTTAATCAAATATCAATAGGTGAAGATTGGTTTTTGTATTATAATGCACATTTTATATATTGAGTAATTCATTTGTACCAAATATTTATTATACTTGGATGTCTACAATTAAATATGAATTTTTTTACAAGTTTTTCTACTGTTGTAAATTTTTCTAGTTTACCTTTAATAGTTTGATAATTTAAATTAATAAAAAATAAATTACTTTAGAATATTATTTTATTTATTTATTAGATAGAATAATATGTACATGTGTAAAAATAAAATAAACGGATAATTTTTCTATTGGCAATTTAAATTGAAAATATTTAATAATGAAAATGAATTAATAAGTAAATTAATTTTTTATGTTTGTTATACTTTTTATTTTGACCTGTGACATGTAACATGTTACATGTACTATTAAATTAAAAAATAATTAATTTACAATGAAGGTCAGGGGTGGATTTAAGGCACTGCGCCCTATGCGGCCGCATAGGGCACAAAATTATGTTGAGTATTTATTTTGTTTTTGTAAAATCAGGTACATAATTTTTAAAATTTTATCTATCACTCCGAAAATCTTTAAATTGTGGATTTTGTATTCGTTTATTTTTAGCAAACTAATATTTATATTTTCCTAGGAACTTGTCTACGACAACGACGATTGTATTTTATTATAGCTTATCTTAAGATACAGCTATATATGACATTACTGCGCCCATTTATAAATTACGGTGCGGAAACATGGCCACTACGGAAAGAAGATGAAAGAAAGCTGATAGTATGAGAAAGAAAAGTTCTAAGGAATATTTATGGAACGATGAAAGATAATAATAGCACTGAGTAGGGGAATAAGAACGAATAATGAACTAGGATTACTTTTCCAGAAGCCAAATATATTAGAGACAATAAGGAGTAGAAGACTATAGTTTGCTGGACATGCTTGGCGTAGTTAGAATCCCTTGCTACGTATAGTGTTAGAGAAAGATCCAGCTGGGAAACGACCTTTGAGAAGACCTTGTATGAGGTGGGAAGATCTGGTTAAAAAATATGTAAGTGCCTTAGGTGGAGGATCAGATTGGAAAGAACGAGCATCCGACAGAGATGGCTGGAGGAAAAGATGTTTGACGGGATGGTCCTAGCGGCCGTTTTACCCGAAGAAGAAGAAGATAGATAAGAAGATCTTATTGTTTATGAAATGTCTCGTAATACTATAATAAAAATCTATTAAAAGAAAAAAAACAATCGCCATGGCGAAACTCGAGATGGACTAGTAGAAATATCAGCGAAAGTTAATTTTAGAATTAATACATTCTATATTATACTTGATAGATTAGCTAGGTACTGAATTGAGTAATAGACGAAAAGCATATGAAATATTCTGCAAACCGTTTGATTTCTTTACTAAACTTTATACATTGGAAAACTCTGAAGTAAGGGTTAAAGCAAATAAGTTATGTTGCATATACAAATCAGACTTAGAAAAAAATGAATTTATTAATGAACTACTACATTTTCGTTCTCATCAAATTACAAGATTTAATGAAAAGAAAATGACACCATTATTACTATTGCTTGCAGTGGCGGAGCTACATATAGATAAAGGTGTAATTTCACATGGGCCTCAGCATAAGAGTGGCCTCAACGATTTAACTTAGAAAATTATAAACATTAAAATATAAAAAATTAACTAATAAGCTAATAAAAGTTTATTTTTAGTTTTTAGCTTTCCATTTATTTTTGTAAGTAAACTATTGCATAATTAGTTATGGAGGTTCAGAATAATAGTAATTTAGCATGATCAAATAGTTACTAAATCTTAATATAATATGAAGATAGGTAGATATTTATGCATTTATTTGTTTTAAATAAAATATCCTAGAAAAAAAAGGAGTTATAACTATACTAATGCAGAATAATTATTTTATCACATAAATAAATTATCGGTTGTAACTTGTATCCTACTGACATTTAATTCGGCAGAATTAACCAATCAAATCGAATCTTTTAGAACATTATTTGCTTTTGAGCTCGAAACATTATTCAATCTTTTTGATATATATTGAAAATAATAATCTAATGACAAACTTCTCGAAATTACTAAAGGCATTTTATTAATTTCTCATTTTACCAGTAACTGTAGTCAGTGCTGAGAGGTCGTTTTCAAAGCTGAAGTCAATAAAAGGCTACCTCAGAAACACTATGTCTCAAACACGTCTAAGTGGTTTGGCCATGATATCTATTGAAAACGAACGTGCAAAAAAATCAAAAATGTCGCCATTGATCAATACTTTTGCATAAAACCAAATCCGAAAATAAATATTCACAACTTAATTTCAATATTTACCTATTTATAAATATATTATTAATAATAATATATAATATACAGGTAATATAATATATATATGTATTAAAGAATAAAGATGTTACGAACAAAATTCTTAGTTTTTTTTTTAAATTCTGGCTTAGAAATTCGCCATGAAAATTTTTTACACGTGCCTCCAAGAATCTAGTTCCGCCACTGATTGCTTGTAATTTATGAACGTAATATGAAGGATCTATATCCAAATATTGAAATTGCCCTTCGAATATTTGTATCAACACCAGCTACTAATTGTACTGCCGAACAAGGGCATACCCAAGGGGGGATATTTCGGATCTGGACCTTCCCCCCATTGAAATTTCTACATACTCAATGATTTAATAGTAAATAGTATAATAATAGTATATAGTATATTTTAATTTCCCATTATCAGATAAAATAAAAATTTTGGACCCCCTCCAAAAAAAAAAAAAATCCTGGGTACGCTCTTGCAGCCGAACGTTCGTTTTCGGTGTTAAAAAGAATGAAAAATAATTTACGATCAACATCTCGCAAGAAAGATTAAATTCCTTGGCCATATTAACTATAGAAAGTGATTTAACGTCATCATTAGCGTATGAAGACATTATTGATGACTTCTCAATAATTAAATCTAGAAAAAAACCTATGTAAACTGCAAAAATTAACTATGAATTAAAAATGTAAACATTAAAATTAAATTAAATGTATTAAATTAATTAATATAATTAATTTTTTTTATTATAATAATTAAATTATGTTTTTCTTTTAAATATTGTTACTTTAAAAAAATAAATAGAAGATGTTATTTTTGAATCAGAATTTTTTTAGTTTACTTAAATGAAAAAATAATTTCATATTAGGTGTTGAAAACATTTATTTATTTGAGGATATTTTATTAAATAGGAGTTTAAAAGTTTTTTTTTTGATGGGGGTGACAAATTTAATTTGGCATAGGGGCGAAAAATTGTTAAATCCGCCCCTGATGAAGGTTTTGATTTTCACTTATATCTATATACATATTTTTTTTCTTTATTGAATATTTTAAATTTTAATATTCTGATTAATGTTTTAGCGTGTAATTTAATTTTTAGCCATTATTATCTGGGACAAGTTCATAGATTTTTCTCTTATTAGTTTTTGAATTAATCTTATACATTTAATTAGTTATACACACAGTTGTAGGTCAGTAGGTCTTATGACAAAAGATTTACAGTATAATAAAACCTAAAATAAAATACTAATCATAATTGAAATATTTTATACATTTTACGACCAGATAATTGTCTAAAATATGTGACAAAAGATATAAGAGAACTAAAAATAAATCTTTAAATTTTATTCCAGGATTCTTATTGAGTCATTTTATCAAATTATTTTAGTATTATTTTATTATTCAGAATTATAGATGGTTTGACTTTAATTTTATTATTTGGTCTTGCAAATAAAAAACAACTAATTTAAAAATAAAAAATAGTTAATTTCGTGAAAAATTTTATGTCTTCAAAATGTACATAGTCAGTGCTTATAAAAAAAAAGACGCGTATCGAATTCTGAGTTTTTTTAAAATTAGAATTAGAATACAATTTGAATAAACTTGGGTTAATTTTAAGGAAAAATTTAAAGAAAATATGTAATGTCGTTTAAGAAAATAATAACCGCCAAAAGGGCCACACTTCTACAATTATTTCACTCAAAATTGAATAAAAATAGGCAAAATGTAATTTGTCGGCTTTTTTTTTTTATCGCTCTGAGAAGTTTGATTTTTAGTAGTAGCTTACTGAAATAAAAATTAAAAGACATTAGCATTTGATAAAGTTTTAAAATTTTGATGGCATGAAAGATATAATAAATTATAAGAAATATATTTCTTCGTTCAACATTTAATACATAGGTATTATTATGTATAGAAATTGGATATTTATTAAAAAAATGCTGTTTGGGATATTTATTTAATTTCTTCATGATTCTATAAATACGCCACTTATATAGGGCATCTATAGACTATAGTTTATAAGAAATGAAAATTATCAGAAATAACGTAATGTGTTAAAAATGTTAGGTTATAATTACTTTACTGTATGAAATGAAAAATTGTTAATAGTTAAAATAATACATAATTAAAAAGAAAACCATCATTTAGAGTACATTTACTTAATTTATTATTTTCGTTAGAGGTTATTATATTCTATTCAAAAATGAAAGTTTTTTCATTGAATATATTAATTTTTCTATCTATGAATTCTTATGAACTCATTCCTAAAGGAATTTTTAATCAATTACTACTTTTAATACTTTTTCGCTTAGAAGTAATCAAGCTAAAATAATAATGCTTGATATTTTTTAAGATAAATCAATCCTTCTGCAAATTAGATATTCAAATATAATAATACTAATATGATATGACTAATAATTAGTCTAAACAAAAATTAATGTATCTTAATTTAAATGATGTAGTCTGAGGTCATAATGATTATTTATATTAATATGTTGAATAATTTATATTATCTACTCTTGGTTCTCATGTACATTAATTTGATTATTATATGTATGTTATGAATATTTTTTAGAAAAAAAAGTATAATGCATAAATCGAAATGATTGTCATTGTTATTAATAAATATTGTTTGAGCATGCCACAAAAAATGTATTTTAGTAGTTTACACCTGTTATGGTTTGTTTTGCGTATTCAGTTTTATAAAATAATAATTTATTTTTCCGAGTGTCTGTTACATGTTACAATGAACGATGATTTACAATTAATGAATGTCGTTTATGCTTCTGGAAAACTATATTTTTATGCATTTTATATAGTTAGCAAATTTCAAAAAAATATAAAACTTTTAAATTATTTTTCGATTATATTCACTATTGAAGTTTAATATCGATTTACCGATAAGCAGTTATTTCCAGTTAAATTATTAAATTCTATACATAATGATACCGATATTATAATAGGATCTTCCATACAATTTTCTATCATACTAGTATACGAGTGTTAAATTTAATTCCTGTAACTGTATTTTTTTTGTTCTCTTTATGTTATAATTAGCAAATATTTTTAATTTTAGCATTATTGACATCATTATGTATTGACGTATTATATAATCATAGAATGACGTGTGTAAATCGTGTAGATACGTCATACATTAGGTTTAGTTAAAGTTGTAATACATTTTTAATAAATTTGAAGTCTTTAACAAATATTACTAAATAATGTTTTTAATTAATTATTTATAATTATTACTAAAATTTGTTGGGCTCAAAGGTGTTATTATTTATTATAATAAAATTAATTCGGCAATTGGATACACCGAACACAATTTATATTAATTCATCTTACCAATTATCTGAGGCAACTTGAGTAAATTATATATTTTAGAAAATAATTCTAATACATTTTTTTTTTAAAAAACATTGGTTGGTCATTTTTGTATGATTATCTTATTAAAAAATAGATGATTTGAAATATTTGAATAATTCGGAAATATATAAATTATAAGTATTAAAACCAGTATGTATTTATTACATCTTACGTTTATTGGTACATAATAAGTTTCAAAATGATGGCCGTTAAGTTCAAAAAATTGTTCCGAGTAAAGTTATTTTTACAGTTTTCTAAAACAATGGGTATTGTCTCTTGATGTCGCAAATACTTATTTGAAGTATAATCAATATTCAATTTTCAATTTAATGTATACGTCACATAGTTTTACATTTATTTACTTACCACTTTATTAACTGATAAAAAAAAAACAGAAAATTCATAATTTTTCTTGTTTAGTACAGAACCTAAAATCTAAAATGTTTTCTAAATGCTTATCTGAAATACTAACCTTTACAAAGGCTGCATGTCTACTGATCAAAGATCGTTAAGTGACTTGTTTTGACCCGTATTAGACGTAGGAACCTATTCATATAACCTGTTTATGATTTTTATTAATAAATGATTTCCTGTATTTTACTATTTTTTTCTGATGTATATTATTTATAATATAACTGTTAATTTTTTTTTAGCTATACTTTACATTTTAGACATTAGGTAAACGCATTTACATAGTATTGACATGATTAAACTTAACATTGTTATTCTAGTTTTTTGTTTTATGCATACGTATTGTGGACTTAAAAAGTTTACCCTAAATAATAATAATATTTTTAGATAAATGTTTATTTTTGAATTAAAAATTTCTATTGTGAGCATAGTGTATTGTTATTTCTAAAAAAATAATTACTGATAACTGATATTAGGACGTAACATAATATATTAGGTATTGTATACTTATTCCTTATTAAGTTAAGTTTTATTTTTAAGGCTTCGTTTGTTGGGATTATATAAGAAACATAATTTGAAATAATAGATCTTTTTAATATTCAAATTTAAAATAAAAAGTAAAAATGGTAAATCCGAGAGTGAATTTAGTACAATTCGTGACTTTATTCTTTAATGTTAAATATTTTAATATATATTATATTATAAGATTATTTACATGTTATAAATATAAACTGTATGTTGGACTCTGTATTTTATTATTATTATACTGACAAAAATAATTAGGAATGTGAATATGGTAGCCTGAGCCATCATAAGGATTTTTAGGGCTCAGGGTAAATGAATTCAGAGGCTCCTGAATCATCACATAATATATGAGTATAATAAAAATTACACACCAAGTTTGCAAAATGTTGGTAAATATAGTTTTTATTTAAATTGTTATTTAAATACATAGATACAATTAATTATATTTTAATAACTTCTCAACAATATGCTCTAAGTTACTACGCATAATAAAATTTTTATTTATTTCTAAATAATTTATATAATAAACAGCCATAGAAAATAAAGATTTGGATGTTGTCACGTTATTACTTACGTTAACGAATTTCTACGTAAATTTGAATAACATTATGTCATTCTTCACACTCTGGCAATAACCATAATAAATTGGAATTATAATTATTTGAAAACTAAAATAATTGAAAATCTAATCTATATACTAGCGCTTAAATATAAATTTAAGTTTTAATTTAATTTAATTTGAGTATTTTTAATCAATTTGGACTTTAAGGGGACTCCCTTTACACTTTTCTAGACTAGGCCTGGAGCAAAATTATTTTGTTTCCCACCTTGGCGACTGTCCTGATGGTACTTACCAAAATATTTATATTTATATTTATTTATGAACGGGCGGGGCCCTATACAACAGTTTCACAGTATACAATTTACAAGTTAAATAATCAATACAAATAACACACATTGATTTAGACAACATAGTAATACAATAATTGTTAAAGTATAATAGTAAGTATTTAGATTATTAAAGTAATACACCTCATTTTACTAGTCTTGATAAATGGTGCTCTCATTGACCAACCTTATCATGCGGTGTAAAGGATTATTTCTCCCATAACTTGTAGTTTGTATAGGAACTAAAAAAGGAACGTATTGTGTAGTAATGTGAGAAGGAACTTTGAAATTAATCGACGAAAGGAGTGATGGAAAATATAGTTTTATTATTTCTCTTTTATTTCGAAAATGGCCAGAGCATTTAAATAATTACAATTTTGTTATTCCAGATTCTCAAATACTAAAACACTTTTGAATGTTTCGTAAAAATAAAAGGATATTACATATTATGACGTTGTTTATCATAATAGTTTGACTTCAATATGAGATTATTATTTTGATTTTTATTGTTTGAAATCCCATTTAATTTAATGCACCAATACTATAGGCAAGTATACACACAAGTTGTTAGTAATTATGATTTGGTTATAAACTTGAATGTTGAAAATTAATATAATATATTTAATATTTTATTATTTTTATTATAATAATAAATATTTTCAGTTAGCTATATAATTAGAAAGATAAAGCTTTTTTCAGTGTGTTATATACACCATTGCATTTAATTGTGTTGCCAATCGTACCCGTACTCAAGTATAAGTCATTATGGTGTGTACAAATGTTCAAGAGTATACAATATTTTATTAAATAAATTAACAATTTTAGTTTTTTATCCACACATTTCAATAATTTAAATCGATTTGTAACTAGCAAATAATATTATTATAAAAGTTAAGAATGAATAAAAATGTTGTGATAAATATGGATATATAGGTCATTTTGGTGATCGTTCATAGTTAAAATATTGTTAATTAAATAACATCATAAATAATTTTATCTATTCTTGTGCATCGAACTAAAAATAAATAATAATAAAAAATGAGTATTTTATATTGATAATATTAATATTTCTTTTTTATTATTTTTGCACAGTAGGTCTATTATTGACTATCATTGATGATCATTGACTAAAAACTTTTCACAATAATTTGTATCCTTATTTAGTATTTCTTGTTTTTCAGCCAAGTGTAATGTTAAAAATATGGACTGATGAATTTTTAAACGTAAGTTTGAGCATTGTTGTATTTCATTGTGTTATACTTGTTAGTATAACCAAAATAGTTTAGATATAATTTAATTTTCTATAATTTTAATTATAGACTGTAAGCAGATTGGACCCATATTTTATTGCTTTGCATTGTCAAGAAGTTGGTGGAAAAAATTACGAAGAAAGCATGAAACATGTCGATTTTTTCGTTAGGTAAATATATTATTTTTTAAATTTTTTATTGATAACATGTAATTATTTACATTCATTAACCAGGGTAGTCATATACTCATTTTTTCATAGTTTTAAGGATGCCACTTGTATGTATTAGAAAACTTCTTCAACAACTTAAGTAGCTCTACATCTCATATTTGTTAATGAATATTCACGTAGTCTGGGTTTAATAATTTTTAGGCTGGTCAAAATTTAAAACGAAGTGTTAGTACTTCAGATTATTTTTAAAGAATCAAAAGGTGTATGACTGACATAGTTAACAGTAAATATTTATTGCGTTGTAAATTAATTTTACTACATATGCATATGGAATAACATATTTATGCTCATTATTATTTTTTTTAAACCACTTTTGTAACTTATACGTGATAAATATGGGAATATTTGGTTAGTTTTCATACACTAGTATTTCTTGTTGTGTTACTATGCAACAACGCATTTTCGTATAACTGCCTAACCTGACAGCATGTACTCGTTGACAACAATTATGTTCATTTTTTCAATTCAAATTAATAAACTTGATTCACACCATATTTATTTAATGTGTCTACGTTAGTAATGCTTGTCTTGGTGAACCAATCTACAAAATTAAGATACAACTAAAAAAAATAAAGGTCTGGCAACTGATATAATTGTTTTAACATATTTTTCATAAATTTAAGAACGTTCTAAATTATTTACAATTAGATGTTTGAAAGGACTCCCGTAAGATACTTTAAACTTAATTTTATTATTTCTATAGGTTTTGTGTACTTACAAGTTACAGTTATTTCAGTTATTACTTACAAATATTGCGTACGATTGTCAACTGTAATGTCAATTTAAAATTAGTATACTTGAATTTTTAAATTACGTTATTGTAAATTTATTGAGCTTTTTTAAGTATATAAATGTAAAACATATTTTCTTTAAACATAGAAATATTAATTAATAATTATAAATATTCTCAATATTTTCTGAATTAATTTGCTCTAATTTTTAAGTAAAATAATTAATAATTTTGATAATTAAAAAAGGAAATATATGTAAATTGTTCTCTATTAGTAATTACCTAATAACATTTTAGTGTAATGACAAATGTTTAAACCTAGAATTTATTATGATAAAATCAACAAAATATTTATGAGCGTCAGTTAAAGAAAGCAACAAAATGTATTATACAAATTATAAATCAACTATTTTTAACAATTTGAAAACAAATCTGAATTTAATAAAAAAATTACTTGTAGGTACTAAATTATTTTATTGTTAAAAATACTTTTGTATCAACAACCATAGATCCACGGTTTTAACATACAGTATTATAGTATAAAACTAAAAATTATTAGTTTTCACTATAATTTACCCACCAAAATATATCGCATAATTATCCAATTTTAGTTATTAATTAATATAACTTAAAGTTAACTTTTATTCATTTGAATGGTCAATTATAATAATTTGTTCAAGGCTAATATATGTAAATATTTAACTGTTATTAGATATTATTGCTATAAACATTTAATTTATAAAAGTAATAAATAATAATTTATGTAAAATACATTTTTAGGATACTATTTTTAGAATATTAAGACCTGTAATGTTTTTCCAATTATTTTCAGGCTTTATACTGCAAATAAATGAATTATCGAAGGGTGGATAATTTTCTGCATTGCCTATTTAATATGATATTGACGAGCACAGAAATTGATTGTTGGGTTTCGGATTCAATCTTCAAATAATTATTAACTACTAATTATTATTTTATCTGCTGAAAACATAGTTCTATATTTTCCACTGTTTTCCGAGCATTTCGTCCTATACAATTTGTCTTATACTTTTCAACAACATTGCTCTAGTTTATACACCGCTGGTATGACATATAAAATATAATTAAGTGTTAAAGTATATAATATATACGTTTTAAAATATTTCTGTAGATTTTCTTTGAAAATGTATATTATACATGGTGTGAGTTTACAACTTATGTTTAATGTTGCTTTGGAATAACTCTATATTATTTTTGGCTTTATTGTTCTACATAACCATAATTGAAATTTACATGGCTTGATATTAATCTATGTGATGATGCTAAATGTTCGTGTGTGAAAAAAGGGTGTACGACTATTAGACCATGTTAAATTTTTAAGAAATTCCTACCAGACCAAAGTCCAATAATAATTCTTATTAATTTAATTTATATTATATAATTAATAATATATTAATGGATTTAAACTTTTAACTTTAAACTAAGAATTTATTTATTTTAAAGAGTAAAAAATGTATTTAAAATTTCGTTCGAATCTACTGGATAAAAGGAAAATCAATTTCAAACATTTTAATTGAGACATTTTTAATTAAAAATTTCAAAGGGAAAATAGTTTCTGATTCCCAAAATTTAAAATTTGAATTTAATAAAATTTACTATGATCATAATTAGTACATAAAGTTAATAATTTTTATAAAAATATTTTAATAATTAATCAAAATTAATTTGATTATAGTTTATTGATGTCAAGCAAAGAATTACGGATCTTCAACAGAGCTCAAATATTTCTTGATGAAGAATTTACTTCAGCAGAAAATTTTACAGTAACTAGCCAAATATAATTGTTACGGTATATTTTTATTTTCGATTTTCAAATGCAACTCACTATTTATGACAAATTTTTAGTTCAATTGAAATAATTTCTTTAAAAGATTTTTAAGTGCTTGTATAATGTATATACTATATTCATGCATTTTAATTAAAAATTTTTTTTTTCTGATACATATTATAAATTATATATTCAAATTTATTGAAAATTATCTTGTTTAATAACAAAGCACAACATAGAATAACGAAAAATTATTTTATAAAACAAAAATTTTAACAAAATTCACTGAATGTATTATTGATATTATGAATGAAGGTTTCTTTCATTAATTTTTGTTTATAATTAACAGCTTGGAGTAGAATATATTTTTATTTTTTTTTCGTGTTATTAAACGAAACATTTAAATTAAAATTTTTAATATAAAAAACCTTATGATGAAAAATTTTAAATAAAGAAATAAAAATAGTGTGCTGTTTTTGTAAAAAAAAAAATTAAACGCTTTTATTTTTTGTTCATTAATATAATTGTTCAAGAATTAGTGGCGTCATTTTTTTTGAAAGAATTCTGTTTTCTGATGTTAGGTGTTAAGAGCAGCTACTCAGTTCCTTCTAAATGACGCTACTTCTAAGAAATTTGGTTATGCGGGCTATTAATTTACCTATATAATATTGTTTTTATTATTTTACAGGCTTTGGGGAATTTTTATTTTATACATGAAGCTATAAAAGAAGTATCTTTATGGGATTTTAATGGTAATTAAATTAATTTATGACATGATTAAATAAAAATATTGAAATAATTTATTTAATGATTACAATTTTGGTTATCATAAATTATAAAAAAAAATATATTAATTATTAAAACAATGTTTTAAACCCAAATGACTTTGACTAAGTTAAAATAAAACAGGTATACTTATAAATAATCTCATCCAAAGATCAAAGTTACAAAAACTTAAATCAAGACTCAGTATCTTATTTTTTTTAATTGTTGGTACCGTATCAAAGTTTTATTTGTATGTTAAATTTTTCAATTACCCACATTTAAAATAAAGCAACTAGGTTTTATTTGTTGAGGTCTATAAAAATGAAGTTTGTATGGTCTAGCATAGTAAGGTCACATCCTGTGTTCATACTGCACTTGTATGTCCAATTTTTTGATGACTTATTATCTAGAAAAATAATCTTTAAACTAATATTTTTGTCATTAATTATTTAATATTTGTAGTATGTAACAGCAGTTCTCAATCTTTTTGATTCCATGACCCCCTATTTGTTACCAAGATTTATTATAATAAAATTAAAAACTAGTGATAAATTAATATGATTTATGTATAATGTTTTTATTGAAAATCCTAAACTTTTATCAATTGTAATTCTCAACATTCATTATCATGATGATATTTACAAAAATACCTTACTAGTTATTTTATATATTGGCGACCCTATGAAGATTGCTGGTGACCCCTAAGCAAGTTGTGACCTCTAAGCGAGATGCGACCCACTGTTTTAGAATCGCTGGTATATAATACTTTGTTTGTTTAGATAAAGAGTTTTTATCTGTCACTGAAAAATCTAAATATTCTGGAAATATTGAACATGTTACCACAAAAGAAAAGTCCAAATTTCCCCAAGAATTTTTCCCAGAGGTAGATATTATTTTTTTACATTATTCACATAACTATTTTTAAATTATTGTTATTTATTGATTTGTAGTGCAAATGGTCCCGAAAAGGATTTTTGAGAACTAGATGGAAGCTAAATGGTACAATATTTGATCTTGTAAATATTCATTTGTTTCATGATGCATCAAATTTTACTGCAATGGAATCTGTAAGTAACTTTTAGATTATTAGTAATTCAAATTCATTAATTACAAAACATTATTTCTTGTAAAATATTCTAACTTATAAAATAAGTACTTAATAGACGTACTATAAAGTTGTGAGAAAGAAATGTCATCGCTTTTGATAGTTGTATTAGGTTCCACTAAAGTTTAAGATTAGATTATTTATAATGATCATATTTTACACATAAATATGTCCTTTATAACAAGTATTAATATTTTAATTTTTATTTTTAGCATTCCTCAGTTTATTCCATTATGAGACAAAAAGCACTTGAATATACTTTAGAACGGTAAGAAAATAATCTTAATAAATACCTAATGGTATTTCAGTAGAATAATTTTGATGTAATTTATAAGTTATAAATAATAAAAAAATAAATATTTTTGAGCATTATATACAGCTACTTTTATTTTATCATTAATAGATAGTATGGTTTTAGGTTTCGTAATTATGAATGTGGATTTGCTCCATTTTTTTTATTTGGAGATTTTAATTTTCGAACTGATACTAAGGCTGTTATAAAAGTAAAAATATATATTTATATTTTTTTTTACATGGTTATTTACTTGTTTTAATTATTTAACTCTTATTATATTTTATTGTATAGAAACTAGTGGAGGGGTTGGATATGGTTAAAGATGACGTAGATAAAGATAATTTAGTTTTTCAATACACTGATAGTTCCAAGGAAGTAAGTATTCATAAAAATGATTACTAAATTGAATAACATTTTGAACAATTTGGTTGTTAATATGTTCATATTAAGTTTGATTTTAGTATTATTTATATATTTATAAAGTATACATTATGTTTTTGACATTAATAGTATTTTATTTATTTTTTAGGTTATTTTTACTTTAAGAAAAAAAGAATTTTGTCATCTAGATCATCAAAATACATTTGTTTCAAAATCTGGATCATGGGTAATATATTTTACTCATAACCATAGGTTTTATTCTTAGTATTTTTTATTAATAAAAATAACTTAAGATTAAAAATCCTATTCGAATGAAAGTATTGTAATATATTATTTATATAAAAAAAATTTAATATATAGATACTATATATTTAATACTATTCAATAGATTACAAAATCTCAAATTATGTTCATCAATGATTATAAATTATAATAAAAACAAGATGAACTATTGGATTTTAATTCTATATTAGATGCTATATAATTAAAAAAAAAAAACATTTTTAACTTAGTAAATAATACAATTTTATTATATTATATATTTATTTATTATGTATATTTATATATAATGAACAATAACAATTTTAGTTTGGATTAATTTCCAGTTTTGAGGAAAATAAAAATATAGATTTAATGTGACAGAATTAATTGTACATGATTTAGTTGTTGTATGTTTAAATTAAAAATTATATATTATTTTATTTTTTAATAAAATTGTGCATAAATATAACTATATTATTAAAATATATTTAAACAATATAATATGTTTAAAGTATTTTGTATACATATTGTATAGAATATTGGTCAGATAAAAATCAGTGATATCTATCACCATATGTCCTCTGTTATAAATATCAATTATATATTGATGTATAATAAATAATACTATGGTAAAACGAGAAAAAATCAAATAACAAATACTTAAATACATTTTTGAAACCTTTCTCTAATTATAAATTGACAAAAATTATGATATTATAGATCACATAATATAACATTCTTGTATAGCTTCCAAATAGAGCATCAAAATTTACAAACTGATGCTATTTTATATTATTTATATAAATTGAATTTAAAATAAACTGAAATGTTTAGTTTTGATAAATGAATATTAATGATTTTGATAATTTAATACTGTTAGTACTATTTCATATATAAATTTGAAGTAGATATTTTTTTATTTTCAGTTAAAAGATTTTGATTATGAATTAAAATCCTTTAAGGATCAATTATTTGAATTTCCTATACATTTTCAACCAAGTTATCCATTTGAAGAAAATGAACATGAAGGGATGAACTATATGAAAACCAGGTGTCCAGCGTGGTGTGATAGGATTGTTTTGAGTACTGGAGCTAAAGTTTTAATAAATGAAAAGGTAATTTTTTTTTTAACTAAAAAACTTATTCAAGAATATTTAAGTTAACTATTGATTTTATACTAATCTATATGGTATATAGTATAGAAATTTAAAAACATATGAGTCATGACTCATATGCATTTAAAATTTTATAAAATATCCTTCTATAGTTATCATAAACCTTTAATAACTTAAATTATTATTCAAATCCAACTATTTATTTTTACAGTAAATTTTAAAATAATAATTTAATATCAAACTTAATGAGTCGCTAAACTGTTAAGTACTTTCTTAAAATTAAATTTTTATTGGTATTTTTTGTACAATATTATTTAAGATTTACTATAAAGGATGAAAATATGCAGATGCTCAACCACCATTTAATATTAGACTGTATAATCAAATCGACCTACATTTTTTGTTATACTTTTTTATTTGTGTATTAGCATTGATTAAACATACATATGATTGTTTAATAAATGGTATTAGTTACTTATAAAGGATTTATTTTAAACAGTTTTTGTTAGTTATCCTAAAATAGCTAAAATCAATGAAATAAAAAAAAATCAATAAATATATCAGTTTCATAAGCAATACTTATGAGGAATTAAGATTTCAATATAAGTTTTAGTCCTTTTCAATATTGTGAACTTTTACGTTAACTTTTACTATTTTATCCTTAACAATTGTGTATCTATTCATATTCATAAATAATCATAAAATTCACACTTATAAGCCATACATATATTATGCAATTCTATCCGTTTTTATATGAAAATAAGTACGTACAACTTTATACAGTAACATACGATTTGATGAAAACTACAGGAAATGGGATATATTTGCAGTGTATTAAAAATACAAACGGCGATCCGTATAGGCAATTCTGGTACATTCGTGTAGACTAATGGTTTTACGCCCTGTGTATTATAAAATAATTTTTTAATTTAATAAAATTATAAATTACCTTTAAAATAAAATTAGTAAATTGTTAATACTACTCGTTAATAAATATATAAATAAATAGTTTATATGTAGAAATAAATAAATAAAATGCATAGTCTGAAGTATTAAGATGTATACCGTGTGTTCACCAATTTAAGGAATACTGAATTTCTCAACCGGATTATGCTGGAATAAATCAATTTTTTTTTTACAAACTAGTGGTATATAAATACACATTTTCAGATAAATTTAAAATTTTGAACCCTCTCGGTACGCGCATACGCAATGCAACTTATTTTTTTTTAATAGCAACCGGTATCTTTGATACCAAATTCGAATAGACTGCATTTTTTTTTTTAAGTCATTTTGACCAATTAGCCATGGTTCTAAAGTCAAAATTGACTGGATGAGAGCCATTTAAATTTTAACAAATAATACATTTTTTAATTCATTATAAAATGCAGAAAATCATGTAATCAATTTTAATTAAATAATTGTATATCCATATTATGTTAATCTTGTTTATAAAACTTATAAAAAAAAAAAAAAAAAAAATACGTAAAAATATTCAAAAAGTAACCAATAATAAATAATTATAAATGGTCTTATGCATTTTATAATGAATTGTAAAAATGTGTTATTTTTTAAAATTTAAATGGCTCTCATTCAGTTAATTTTGGTTTTAGAGTCATGGTTAATTGGTCCAAATGACTTGAAAAAAATCAGTCTATCCGAATTTGGTATCAAAAATACCAGTTGGTATTCAAAAAAAAATTCGATTTATTCCAACATTCAGTGTTCCCTAAATTGTTGAACACACGGTCTATAAAGATTGGTTTTAAATTAAAAATTCATCATCATGTAAATCACAAAGTCAAAAAATGATGACTGAGTATGAAAAAATAAACAAAGGAATAAATTGAAAAGATTTTGTTCGGACTATATGGGGATAATTTATTTTAATAAGAGAGATTGTTTAAAATTATTTTATTAATTTATTTATCATTAAACTTATAAATTTAATTGTAAATTAAATGTAAATGATTGTTTTAGAAGAGAGAGTTACACATAATTCCCAAGATCTTGATATCTTTCTCCAAAATCATAATTTGTTAATTATTTTATTTTAAAAAAAAAATATATATATATATATATATCAGTAAGACTTTATTTTATAAAATAAAATTTGAGATACAAGGTGTTAATCGCTTATCAATGAATATATTCCTTTATTTATTTTTTTATATTCAATCTTGATTTGTCAACTTTGTGATTTACATGACGATGAATTTTTAATTTAAAACCGGTCATAAAAAATTCACATCTTTTCACTTCACGCTTCATATTTTATTTATGAATTATATTATCTTAATGTTTCATATTTTCTAGTGGTGATGATTCAATTCACTATTCTTAAAAATATGGTTATCTATGTCCGCAAATAGAGCTGTCTAGTTGAGTTTTAGAATGTAATTACTTAATATATCTATGCACAATAGATACTATACTAGATATTTTTGAATTCCTTGTTTGAAATTTGATGATTAACTCTGGTGTAGGAGACTATCGGTCAAAATTTGCTTGGAATACAGAAGAAAATAATCTTGTTCTAAATTTTATACTTACTTTCCCCTTAGACTTACCTATTTAAAATCATAACTGTTTCCGTGGGTCCTTAATATATAATCATTTTATTTTAAGACATTGATTCGAACTTAATAAACATTTAATTAAGAAATATGTTAACATTCCAAACATAATATGCTATGATATATTTATTCACATTTGAAATATAACTCAATAGTTAATCTTAATTTTAGGCATTTGAAGAAGATAATAATTCAGAAGTGGAATATGATCTAATTGGAAAGAAAACCGGTATGGGAGATCATAAGGTATTTAAAAATATATATATAACTGTAGTAAATACTTTTATTACAGTTATCTATCATAAATATATTGGAAATTTGATCTTATATTGATTAAAAAATAAAATGTTGAACTTCATGTGGTCTTTAACTTTTTTATAAATTTTTAAGATTTCTAAAAAATGATCTTATAAATATTTTATAACAATTTGTTATATAGAGAATTTATAATAAGCGTTGTAAAAAGAAAAAAAAAAGAAATTTATGTATACTTGCTTCTTGGCTATAGTACTTACTAATGATCTCGATACTTAACTGTTATTGATAATACTAATTTTCATGTTCACATTAACTAGTTAATAATATACTCAATACTTTTTTTTATAGTTATAGTACATTTTTCTTGTGTAATGTTAATAAAAATACCATTTTGTTTTTTACAGCCTGTGTACTTGAAATGTGACATTAAGAACAATGCAGGTATAGTGGACAGAGTGGATTGTGATTGTAAGCTTATATGTGTGCCTCCCAAAACCCAAAATCCACTGCATGCTTTGTTGGGTGCTCGTTTATGCGTAGATTCAAATGAGTGTATTCCAATAGTAGATACAATTATCCCGGAAAACACTTTAGTAGGAGAAATTAAAATTACTCCAGAACCAACTACGTCAACATCATTACACAGTTGTGAATTTAAAATTGTACCAATAACAGAAATTTGTGTAGAAAGTCGCACGAAAATAAATAAGCATAATTTTATACATAAGAAAATTTCTGATAAACACAGAACAAATAAAAGTATATTTCCTATGTCTGATTGCATTTGCTATACACACAAATGGAAATTTCCAATGATAATGCAAAAAGCATGGAATCATAATAAACGTGTCAGACTCAAGTCAAATCCTAGTTTCAATAATATGCCTTTACAGAGGTATCAGAGTCATCATAGCTCATCAGACGAAGATTGGTTTGAAGAAGTGGCAGATGATGAAACTATTCATTATAACGATAAGAAAAATAAATGTACTAGTAATGAAGAGATAACCTTTACAAATGCTAAAGGATTTCCTGTTAATTTTGATAGCAAATCTGATCATGTAGCTTCAAACAGATTTAAATGGTGTTCTTCATTTGCTTTTAGGAAATTATGTGATAAACGACCATTAACAGAAACAAAGATAGGACGTAGAGACCCGACAAATTTTTGTAAAATAACATAATCAAATTATTTTTCCATACTAATAATTTGTTACATAATTTAACATACCTATAGGATTAAAATAATTATAATTTAAATATTTTTACATAAAAACCACTTATTTATAATTTTGTAATTGTTTGACTTGTGAAAAATTAGATCACTTAATTACCATTTATTAATCTCACGCTTACAATATAAATATAATATAATATATAAATTGTCATTTATCATATTTCAAGTTATATATTTATTTATTACCATGGATCAAAAACAATATTATTTAAAATTTAAAATAGATTTAAAATATAGTAATAATAATCATTTAATTATATGTGGCAAAATAATCACATATATACATGCCTTTAGTCTTAAACTCAAAATACTTACAAGCCATGATTTTTTGCTCAAAATATTGAGACTTAAAAATAACCAATGAATATTGTATTATATATATGTACTTATTTATTTATTATAAACTTCTTTATTTTTTTTTTATTTTTTTAATATAACTATTTAAATTCAATTAATGTTAAAAATTGTTATTAATTACATTTATAACTTGATAAATTTAATCTTTTTTTTATACTTTTAAAACATGCATGAACGTTTTTCGAAGTTCAATGTAGTTTTTACTGTACATTTTATTTCTCATATAATTAGAGATCTCATACCTTTAATTTCATAAAAAAAGAGAAATTAATTACTATGTATGAACTAGTATACTATGTTATAATGTTCTACAAATTTATTTGATAATTTCTCTGACTAATGCTATCCTATTTTGTTTTTAAATTATAGATTTTGATGCTATATTTTTATAATTGCATTTTTGAAGTTTTGTTTTTATTTTCTTAACATATTGTGTAAGTTTCATTAAATATTAGAAAATAATCAAATTTTCCAAATTATTTATATCTAAAGTTAGCAAGGATTTTTATTGATAATTAATTATTTAATTAATAAAGTAATCAAAAATAAATGTATAATGTTAAAAATGATAGATGATATATTATTCCAAATTTTTTACCTAATATGTTCTTATGTATTATTATTTTGATTTATTTAAAAATGTATAATTGCGTGGCAATTTTATGAATGTATATTTAGATTTAAAACTAAAACCTTTGATATCTTTAGATGTAGATAGGTTAGGACTAGAAGCATCTTATTGTAAAAAATAAAAAATTAGGGTTAAGGCAGTTAAAAGTTTTTTCAACTTTTTGTTCTACCCAAAAATCTAAACATAAGTTACCCTTTTCTCACCATAAAAAAGGTTAGAATTTATTACATAATTTTAATTTGGCATTCTATATAAGTTTTAATGTATTATATTTTCTACAAAATAAAATCTAAACTGATAAATGTTTATTACAAATTTGTTTTGTTCAAATTATTAGGTTTATATGGTCCTTATTAGAAGTATGGGAATTCTAATCTTGATTCAAATTTTCAGTCTAGATAAAATTCCGTAGCACTTATCATTTAAGTATTTGAAAATGCTTATAAAATTAATAAAATATAGAAAAAATAGAACAATATTTTATTTATACAAAAAAAATTAATATATTAAAACTTAATATGTAAGTTGTTTTATATAAATAAACTATATCCAATACTAAGAAAACAATCATTAATATATATATATATAATTAACTAGCCATCTTGTATTATACATATTGGTCAATATATTTTGCATGAGTCATTCTAAAATTGGTTATTCACCTCGAAGAAAATATTCACAAAAGTATGAAGTGTATATTTCTGTTTATCAGAATGATTTTTATTACATTTAAATTTTAGACATAATTGTTTATCAAAGCGAAATACAATAGTACAAAAATGCCTTAGTCCACTTATTTAGATCTAAATTGTTATTTTATCACTTTCAATTTAATTAATTCTGTGCACTTTATGTGTTAAAAGTAGTGTTATACATGGTAATGCAAGTAGCTTATATTATTAGAAATAAATGTTAACTACTTGTCCTTACTTAAATATTATCACTTGTGTTGAAAAAAAAATTATATCTCATCTTAGTAACATAACCATGACAATATACTTAAACTTTTTTACATAAATAATATGATATGGGTGATTTAAATTAAATACAAATAGTATCTTGAATTACGTTTTACAAAGATTAAATATTTATTCTTCAATGCTATTATATTTTTTTTAGAAATATATTTAGTCAGATAAAATCAACAATGTAAACCTTATCATCTCTTTCTTTTAGTTCTTTTATATTTTAAGAGTATTAATAATTATTTAATTTCATATATTTGCCAAAATACTATAAACTATTTTTTAAAAAAAGGTTCTTAAAATTTTTATGTAGTTAGAAAAATCTATTAATTAAAGTAATTTTGTTTATGTACCTAATTATTTTCATCTGAAACCTGAATTCTGAAATCTTAATTTATAATAGTTACTGCTTACAAATTGTACCTTTTATAACACATTTTACAGAATAATCTTATTTTTGTTAAGAAATAATTTTTCTTTTTAATATTTATTTATGTTAAAATTGTAAACTGTTCTTTTTTATAAATGTAAGTCACTCTTTATAGAATTTAAAATTGTATTTACTAGTTGTTTTATTAAATATTTTTCTCATCCTTTTTTTTTTTTTTACTCAAGTGAATAAAGTATTGCATTATTTGTTTGTTTTGCACTTAGATTAATTTTAGTTGATTTTTGATGTTTGTTATTTTTGGGATATTTGATATACCACAAAACACTCAGTAAATAGTGTATGCACCGAGCACAAATTAATTGATTTTGTTTTTCATAGTGTTAAACTATTTGATTTTTGTGATTTTAAAAGGTTTTACAGAAGTAAATGTATGGGAAAGAACATTGTTTGAGTCTAAACTTCCCGATGACAAGAAGTTTGTACACTTAAAGGAGACAACTGTTTAAATCAAGAAATAGGTAAACTCCAAAGATTTGTTATCTGATTAATCATATTAATATTATTAATATTTATCATTTCATTTTGAGATTTGTTGCTAAGTGTACGTGGTAAAATTATATGAAGAGATTACTATTCGATTTATATTCATCTAGATTTAGTTTCTTAATCATTAGGCTTAATATAGCTTAATTCATTAAGCATTATCAACATATATTCCCCGAATAATAATTTATCTAAGGTTTAATGTATACCTATCTTATCTAGGTTCGATAAAGAGACAGAAGTAGGTATTGGTTTCAATAATTTTAAAATTACTTATTAATATAAGTGAAAAAAAAATAAATATGTTGGTACTTAGGACCATTGCCAGGAGGGTAAAAGGTAACCTACGCCCCGGGCGCAATTCCTGAGAGGGCGCGAAAATAAAAAATATTCAATTTATGTAAAAATCAAAAACGGTCAATGTTGTAAATTTTATTTACAACAATTTCAACGTCCTTTATATTAATTTAAGCAATTGTTAAAAATAATATCTAATTATTATAATATTATTAATATTATTAAATTAAAAATACATTTTGAAGTTTCACTCCAATCACCATATTTGGTTGCTACAGTACTGTTGATACTAAACAATCCATACAAGTATTATAATATGTTATCTATTTAAATATCTAAAAAGTCAATGGATACAAACATAATTAAAAATGTTTAGTGATGTGTTCAGGGAGGAGGTCATATATACAATTTGTATAATATTTATTCTTGCATCATGAATTATAAAATATATACAATGTATATACTATATGTATATTATACATATAGTAGATTTCTTCTTAGATTATCTGTAAATAAATGTATCTCTAGTTTTTAAATTTATTGTTTGCCAAATCACAAACAATTTGTAGTAAAAGAAAATTATTAATAATTTCATTTTTATTAACATTTTATTTGTTTTAATGGTAACAGTTTACAGTATAAAAATATTTATTTAATTTTTTTAAATTATTATGTTTATTTTTGTATGAATCTATACTTTGCTGTTATTTGCTGACAGATAATAAATTTAATTTTTAATAACTACTAAACAATTTTGCAGTTATAATTACTTGCATAACTACCTATTATAATGAAACTTATTATTAATATACATGTATCTTATACATTAAACCTATTTTTTAACAAAACTCATTTAAGTATTTAATTTGATACCAATTATAAATAATTAGTAAATAATAATTATTGATACCAAAAATAGCTATATTATTCAGTACATAAATTCTAGAATACTACTAAAGTAATATTTATATGTTTGTATGAATTTATATTCTTTACATTTAATGATATGAAACAGCAGTTTTCATCATAAAAAAAATAAATAATATTAATTATAGAGCAATAGGTATACCTATCATATTAAAATTATGAATTTTGTTCAAGCATTTATATGGTCAAATATATAATTTAAAATCAACTTTTGTTTAAAATAAAAAACAAAAATTACAGAGTTTTAAAGTTATTTGATCTATTATAACTAATTATTATGCATCCCATAATTATTTAAGTTTATATAGTATTCATTTATCTGTTTTTCAAATAGTATAATTTTTTCTTTAAAATAAAACAGTTAAAAATATACCTTGGCATATATTTATAATAATGATTTTTTCATTAAGATTTTAATCTGAATAATATAATGTTATATATAATTGACATTTTGCATAATGCCTAGGTATTTTATAAAATACCTAGGTTATATGTAAAATAATATTGAAAATCATATGTTTTATTTACATTGCCAAAAATGGGTCGGCAATTTGCATAATGCCTAGGCATTTTGTAAAATACTTAAATTATCCATATTGCCGGTAACATATATAATACTATTTGATGTGTTTTGAATATATAAATTAACTGATTCTAAATATTTATCTTGGATTTTTAAAAAATATATAAATATTTATATAAAAATATTGTGACTTAATGTATTTATTTGATTATCAGGTATAATATTGTAAATGAAATATCAAACCTTAAACATGAAAAGGTTAGCTGTACACAAATCAACATTTAAAAAAAATAGACTATAGTGACTGTAATTTACAAATTCATAATTAGTTTACATTTTTATTATTGATTTGTTTAAATTATTAAATTAATTTATAGTTCCTTTATTTTACTTATATACCTAGTTTCTATCTTAATATTTTTTTTGTAATATTTGTTTATAATTGTAAATAATGTAGAAAAAAACTTCATTCAAAATTGGCAAATTTCAGATTTTTAAATACTTT